AAACAGTTGGCCTAGCTGCAGCACTTGTTAGCTATGTTGATTTGACCGCACCCGCAATTGTAAAAAAAAAAAACCAACCATTTCTGAAAGAAGAAGACGATTTTAACGTAAAGTGAGATGGTATCGGCTTGAATACGGGTTCAACCGTATCTTACTTCCCTTCACTACTCCCCTTCTGATCCTATCAGAAAGAAATTGACTTGCCCGGCGAATAAATCACATCTTAGAGAGAAATCCAGCTTCGCTGTTATCGGAAAAAACTACTATCACGTGATCGTTCTTCCAAAAAGCTGCTTTGCACCAACGAGCTTTTGCCCAAAATACCACCCATCATCACCACCTCATTTGCGATGGCTGACGCGATGGCAATGCAGTCGGCAGTCCGTCTGCCAACTCCGCCGCCAGGTGTTTCGTACTCGCCGCGCGCATCCGTCCCTCGCAAACGGTCACCTACCTCGCGTTCTCCTTCGCCAGACCGTCGCCGTCGTGCACCAGCTCAAGCAGAAGCAGGGAACGGCCAGCATGAACCGGATGCGAGAGAACAAGAGTTGGCGGAGCGATTTCGCCGACCTCAAAGGCCTGCTGCCTCCAAGCCCCTGACAGAGGAGGAGAAACAAGCAGCCGCAAAGGCTGAGTATGAAAAGCTCCTGACCATGCGCTCTGGAGGTACATATATACCTCCTGCAAGACTCCGGGCTCTCCAGGCTCAGATAACCGATAAATCGAGCAAGGAATATCAACGTATGGCATGGGAGGCTCTGAAGAAGTCGATTAACGGGTTGATCAACAAGGTCAACGTTTCGAATATCAAGCATATCGTGCCGGAGCTGTTTGGTGAAAATTTAGTTCGTGGTCGAGGCTTGTTCTGCCGTAGTATCATGAAAGCCCAGGCTGCCAGTTTGCCATTTACTCCAATATATGCTGCCATGGCCGCCATCGTGAACACAAAACTACCCCAGGTCGGAGAGCTACTCTTGCATCGATTGGTCGTGCAGTTTCGTAAGGCGTTCAAGCGCAACGACAAAGCAGTTTGCATATCCTCAACTACGTTTATTGCGCATCTATGCAATCAGCAGGTGGTGCATGAGATGGTTGCTGCTCAAATATTACTTTTGCTGCTCCATAAACCTACCGATGACAGTGTCGAGATTGCCGTTGGGCTCACAAGAGAAGTTGGACAACATTTGGAAGAAATGAGTGGCCCCATTGCTTTAGCTGTGTTTGACCAGTTCAGACACATTCTACACGAAGCAGACATCGATAAACGTGTACAATACATGATCGAGGTCTTGTTTCAAGTCAGAAAGGATCAGTTCAAGGACAACCCTGCCATTAAGGAAGAGCTTGATCTTGTTGAGGAAGAAGATCAGATCACACACCGCGTTGGCCTGGATGATGAGATCAACGTTCAAGATGGGCTGAATATTTTTAAATTCGATGCCCAGTGGGAAGAGCACGAGGAGGCCTACAAGAAGCTAAAGGCTGAGATTCTTGGAGAGGGAAGTGATGACGAAGATGAGGACGAGTCAGAAGCTAGCTCTGATGAAGAAGAGGATGAAGAAGAGAAAGAGATGGACATCAAAGACCAGAGCAACACCGATCTCGTCAATCTACGGCGAACCATCTACCTAACAATCATGTCCAGCATCGACTTTGAAGAATGCTGTCACAAACTGATGAAAATCAACCTTCCTGTTGGCAAGGAATCTGAGCTACCATCCATGATCATAGAGTGTTGTTCACAGGAACGCACCTATTCCAAATTCTATGGTTTAATCGGTGAACGATTCGCCAAAATCAACAGATTATGGGCTGATCTTTTCGAAACTGCCTTCTCTACGTACTACGATACCATTCATAGATACGAGACGAACAGGCTACGGAACATTGCCCGATTTTTCAGCCATATGCTCAGTTCCGATGCTCTGGGCTGGCACGTCTTGTCTATCATACACCTGAATGAAGAGGAGACAACCTCTAGTAGCCGTATCTTTATCAAGATTCTCTTCCAAGACCTTGCTGAGGTTCTTGGAATGACCAAACTACAGGAACGGCTCAAAGACCCTGTTCTCCTACCTAGCTATGACGGAATATTCCCGACTGATAATCCTCGCAACACCCGTTTCTCTATAAATTACTTCACCAGTATTGGAATGGGCGTTCTTACCGAAGACATGCGTGAGCATCTTAAAAATATACCCAAACCAACCGTGCCCGCCATAAAAGCACCTGAATCGGATTCTGAGTCTGTCAGCTCCTACTCCAGCTACAGCTCACGCAGTTCACGCAACCGGTCACCTCGTTCTCGTTCCCCATCCCGGGGCCGTCGCAGTGCCCGCGGAAGGTCAGCGTCGTACTCCCTCTCTCGCACCCCATCAAGCAGATCTAGGAGCCCATCTCGGAGGCGCCGCAGAAGCTACTCTAGATCGATATCACCAACCCCTCCTCCACAGCGCCGAGCTAGGCGTGCATCTTCGTACTCCCTCTCCCATCTGCATCTGCATCACCACACCCCGCACTCGCACCCGACGCTCACTTTCTTACTCACGCTCTCGCTCTCGCTCAGTTACTCCTCCCCGGTATCGCCGCCGGAGGGAAAGCGAGTCACGCTCTGTCTCCCCCTCTCCTTCACCCCCTCCCCGTAGAACCACCAGAGCTAGGGGCCGCAGCTTTTCCCGCTCGCCTACCCCTCCAAGACGTGGCACAACTCGTCGAGACCGCAGCCGCAGCTTTTCTTCATCACGATCACCATCTCCCCAACGAGGTCGACCAAGTCGAAGAGCACCATCTACTTCCGGATCACGGTCGAGGTCGATATCAAGATCTCCACCTCCACGTGGTCGTGGGAGATACAGGAGCCATGATGGGCAACCCGAGGCATCGTCAGCCCGAGCTCGTGCATCGGATTACTTGTAGCTCCATCGATATCAGCCAAGAGAGCCGTTTCAAAGCGTGACCATCAATTTCCTGTACTTTTACCATCGTCTTCCGCTTCTTATCCCGTCATTCATCATTGTGACTTACCTTGTTCCCCCTATTGGCTAGCGAATTTGATTCTGCATAACTTCTGTATACAAAGTACGTAAATTAATATCAATCAAACCGGGAAGTCAAATGCCATCAAGAGTCATAGTATAGGAGTCCGAGTTAGGAGTATATAGCGTTTTATCGTTATGGTCACACCTTTTTATCTCTATAGATATATCCAGGTTGTCCTCTATCTTCAAAAAGAACAGCCCATGATGAAGCCATGGTCGTCCCGAGGCCCTTGTGACCAGCAATCCTAAACAGCTTTACTACTGTGATTCATAAACCCCTCCGTATAGCAAACTCCTCGCCGGCGTGAGCCTCAAAAAACAATGCACGGTTACCGATTCCAAAGGAGAAAAACATCCCGACATCTTTTAAGTTTCTTTGCACCTCGGGTCAAATTTTCAGATATATATGAAAACAAGCTAGAATATGCGAGATGTCGTGCAGGAAAAGGAAAAAATATGAATAAGGTATCAAACCCTCCTCAAATCCAGTCGCTTACGAGGCGAGTTTCAGCCCTGGCCTGTCTATCTATTGGGAGTTAATAGTAGCTGAGTACTCGGGCATCGCCGAGGGAAGGGGGATGTGTATGATTGCTTGTGTTGGGGATGCCGAATGCTATCCTTGTCTGGAGAAAGGTCCGGGCAGGAGGCAGGATGTTGTCATGGTGGGTAGGATGACTCGTAGGCCAGGAGCCAGACTTCGTCTTGGGAAGGGGAAAGCAGGACGGAAAATAAAGTCACATATTGAGGGGAACTTCTGGGGGATGGCCCATCGGGATTGTTATTTGCTAATGGTAAAAATGTTAAAGGATGTTTAGTAAAGCCATGGTAGATTTATGTACATACATACATGAATTGTAGTCGAGACATCTATACCAAGGCAGTGAAATAATCAACCTCTTTACCTCTGACCAGATATAATTGGTCAAGGCGGAAACAAGCAGCCCGAATTCAATTTTGAAATAATGTCCATAAGCCGGTAATTATGGAGGAAGTTGCCCATAGTAGATAAGACTAATCACCTTCCTTACTGCCTATCCAGAACACAACAGGTCTGCGAGCACCCGTCCTCTAGTGACATCTTTCTCATATGATTCATTCAGCTAATGGCCGGGAGGGGAACTCGCAGCGGATGATATGACAGCTTCTCCAGGGTCGCTTCACTATCCATCGAGCGAGCTTGACCTCCGCTCTCCAGTAATGAAGTTATACGCAGCCCTCTCCAAGCAGTGCGTTGTCGACCGCGGTTCGCACGTGGAACAGGTGGTATGTACGTTAGGCAAGTCCTACCTATATTTGATGCAAGTAATTAAAGTAGTGCAGGAAAAAGAACCATGGAATGGTTCGCCAGTAGTTTGGCGGCGCTTGTTTTGGGATTCAAGGTAGGGACTTCGTTATTGCAGCCAGTTGTGCAATACGTACTGCATAATAAGATAAAATGAACGCCTCTACAAAAATAGTGGCGAATGCCGTGGTATGCTGCAACATAATATCATAGCCAGTCTCAGAATCATCAATATGCAGCCTAATATCTGCGATCGGCAACGGGATCAGGCTGGTTATCGACATATAGATGATGATGGCGAACATGAGAAAGCTGGCGTGAAACGCACGGCTTTCTGCAATGCTGTGTGCGTCTACCCTTTTGACAACCTGTTTAAGGTAACAACCAATTGAGTAAATACCCGGAACATATTCATATTGCCGGATATAGAGCGAACGACCGGAAAAAAATTTGGCACATCCCCAGCAGTAGCCCTTCCCTCTGCTGGTGGTATATACTCCGTGGTAACAGGCGGATGAGTCCCTCGACAGGCCAATAACTTACCACCTTGGTGTAAAACAGAAAAAAAGGAAGCACACCGTTTCTATGCGAGAGCAAGTAAAGTATAGTATAAGGAAGAAGAAAAGAGCTGTGCTTCCCGTATGCATGTCGGGCATCACAGAGCCTGCAACCGATGCCTGCGGAAGGAAGATGCCTTCTCGTTGCAATCAGCCAACAGGTACGGGGTATTATAACCGTCTCTCTTATCTCCCATCCGCCCCAAATGCGGCTTGCTGACGATGGCCTTCAACCACTGAGAAGTGAGATAAGCCGTTGTACTCCATACTCGGCCTCGAAATCGCCCGAAAAGAAAAGAAAAAAGCCAGCATATTGGGGGCGAGCTGGGGCCTTGTCCACGGTGGGCGCGTAGCTGTGTCTCTTCTCGTGACGGAGAGAGTATCTCAACCTCCAACAGGTGTGCAACCGAGTACTAGAAACCAACGAGAGCAAGGGAAATCTCGGCTGAGACTTGTACAGACCACAATGCTAGCTCATTGTCGACTGTGCCACCAGCCTCTCGTCCACTTGTGCTGGATGAATTAATTCTTCTCTCTCCGCGACATGGGCCGTCCAGAGGAAACCGTCACAGCGGCAGACAGGCAGCAAGACAGACACACAGCCCGTCGGCATCTAACAGAGCCTATCACCGTGTCTCAAGAGCCGCTGCTGGTGTTGCTGCTGCTGGTTCGGTGTCGACGGTTGATAGAGACCTGAGGTCGATCTACGGTGGCGGTTACTAGCCGTCGCTCTCCCTTTTCTTTTCTTTTTTTCTTTTCTCTTTTTCCTTCTTTTGGCCAAAAAAACTATCGGTCTTGGCGGACGAACGACAACGTCCAACTTCTCCCTTTTTCACGCTCAACCCACATCGACTAACACATACTCAACACACTCACAGCCAGAGCTGTACCGGAGCAAAGAGAGACAGGAAGGAGAGGGGGGCCGTTTGCAACAGTTGGTGAAGAACTGGACCCTGACAAGGCCCCATCTGTGGCGTAGATGGGGCCCTTGCTGGCGCCCGATGCTCAAGCACACATCCCGCACACAATCGTCAACTCCTGCAGAGGCAAGGGTAGGCGGCTGATCACCCTGTCTGCGCGACAAGATGGTCGCAGAATCCAGACTACTGATCATTGTCTAGTGCGTACATAGTATCTCTTGCTCCACTCGTGGCTGACGGATGACGGTCGAGGTCCCTGGGACCAGCTTTCTACCCTTCTTCTTTCCTTGTCCTCTTGTCCAAAAGCTGTTGTCCCGGGAATTGATGTCCACCCACTCAAGACATTTTCCTCGTCTTATTCCCCCGTAAGACGGTGTTGGCCACTTAGAGCTGCCAGAAATGGGCTCCTCTGTCCTACGTGCCAACGGAAGCTTGGGGGAAGATAGCCTTTTCTTTGCTTTTCTGAGTGACCAAGCTCGTCCAATCCCTGTTAGCAGGCCAGGGTTCTGGGTGACTTTAACGTTTGCTTTTCGACTGGGAGAGGCCTAGATAAAATACACACATGCTTACATACGTACCGACATATACATCCCCAGGAAAATACGCAGCAATTTTATATGGAGTAAGCCAGGAAGACGAGGAAAGGGAAGAAGAAGGTGGAGGTAAAAAAGAAACCTAGGTTGACGACACGACTCGGTATAGAATTCTGACCCCTCATATCAGCAATCCAGATGAGGCGTGGTTGACCTGTCTCGTCCAAAGTTGAAATATGCCCCTTATTCAAGCTCTCCACTTCTGCGGCACGCACGTACTAGTTTACTAGTTATCGACAAGGGCCCTATGCTATGTATGTGCGTGGGATAGTCGATTGACTTATTTCCTTGCCGGGAGCATGAACGGCTAGTTGGCCTGAATACTCCGTACGGATAGGTATGTATATATGCTTTGCATTATTCATCTTACCCGCGCCATGGGGAACAGCACATCATCACGGGTGTCAACAGAGAGGTATTTGCCCCATCGCCGAAACGGTTCGCTCTCATCCACTCCTTTTCTCCCCCGTCTGGGGCAGGGAGGCAAATCGTATCGTATCAGCCTTGGGCCTCACTCGCTTTTTTTTCCTTGACTTTGACGGGAGGAGGGGGCGGCCGCAGGAGGAACTTGCTTAGCCAACACTAACACAGTTACTCAAGACGAAGCGCAGTTGCATGCTCTTTCCTCCTGAGTCTGTCTGTGCAGAGCATATACACAGAATATGTACATAGTACATGCGTGTATGTATAAGGAGGCTAAACTGAACTAAGTAGTTCGTGCAAGAAGCGAAGACCCTGGCAGCTTCAAGAGGGAGCTAGTTGACCAGTATATGCATATACTTTCTTGCCTATATCTGCATCGTTGGTCGCATTCGCGATCCATGCGCCGATGGACTGGATTACGATTGTTCCTCTTCTACCTGCTTTTTTTGAGATTATGCGGTTTACAGAGTTACCTACCCCGTCCATTCGAACTATAGAATCAGCGAGCAACAAGCGTGCGCACTTCGAATCTCAAATGTTAGATTTTCCCATTCTGATCTGACCTCACACATCTGACTCTTAAATCATACATATATCCAGGACTCGTATTCTGCTAAAAAGCAGCAGCCTTACCTTGAACCCATCCTATCCTGCGGGAGGCTTGCAGAGATCGGACCTCAGCCTGCGTCGACTTCTATTTGGTTACCCGAGGAAGAAGAAACCAAAAGAAGAAAAAAGAAAGCATGTTAAATGGGATGCAGAAAAGAAGAAAAGAAAAAAAAAAAAAAAAGGCCCGAAAAAAAGGGCGCCGCCGCCTGCCCATCTATCTTCATGGTGCAAAATCAGCTGGCTCGTATGTAATTTTCGATCAAAACCAACTTTGCCTTTCTCCAATCTCCCGCTCTTCCCATCCAATAACTTTGATTCCAGCCCAGTTGGTGGGATACACAGGGTAAATATTAGTTATTATAGCAGGCCCTATTTTGGTTCCTTTCGAACTGACAGCGCCATAGTCCATTAGATTAATCCTTACTTGGTCCATACAAAAGTATGGGGGGAAAGGGTAGAAGGTAGGTAATATTACATCCCTTGTTCTTGTTACATAGTAGAATCATTATTTGAAGACTTGCATATACAACTCCATACATGAGGCTTACTTTTTTTTAACTATGACTTCTCATTCTCTCTCTCGCTTTTTCGTTTATATTTTTATTCTTTTTTTTTTTTTTAAATCTTCATCATCGTCCCCAGCTCTTGGACATCCCAGTCGTCTTTTTATCTTAAATGCTTTGGACTACTTAATATTTGTCAAGCTCATGCTTCCCTTCTTATGAAGCCAGAGCCCCTATCCCGATATCTTCCTCCTTTCTCTCTCTCCCTTGAATATTATTACAATCGCATTTTCTTTCTGTGTGCTTTCACAGGTACAACAAGATTCTATTTTTCTTACTTCCATTCACTTCACCGGGTGATCCTGGCATTCAATATATATAGCCTTATATTCTCTCCTTTCCTTCTATACCGTCGCCCTAGCTAGCGCAAAACCGTGCTTGACCAAACCGACTTCGTCCATTCTGACTTGAGTATCTTTTATATATGAAATATATACCCACTTCTCTGGCTCTTCCCTGAGATCTAGTACGACTTGAACACACAAAAAAACAAAAAAAACAGGAAGATTTAAACCTAGCCTCCCTGGAATTCCGAGCCACTCGAGCCCCTCTCAGATTCAACCCTCGGGAAGTAAGTTGCGTACGCTCGATAACAACAATAAGCCAGCCTGTTTTTTCCCTTAACATATCCACTCTTCTTGTTTTTCTAGAGAGAAGCAAGGGAGCAGACGCCTTGTGCGAGAGGATACTTTTGACCGGAGAAACAAGCTGCGATCTTCCCCGCATAGTTCGATCTCTTTGTTCATCTTGCAACCTATACCGCCGGAAGCGGTTGCGGCTTAGATATTTTTAATCTGTCTATCCCGGGAAAAGGTAGTCTGGCCAAGGAGTGACGAGGGTCGACGGGGCAAACTTGGAGATAAAAGAATTTTGTAGTCGAGCACAAGGAAACGGCTTACTTCGTGGAAGAATCCGGGGGTTAACGGAAGAACGCAAGCCTCAAGAGAAGACGCTCTGTGACTTGGAAGCCTGATATAAGACCGCCCTGAAAGAAGTGAGAGCAAGATGAAATCCGGTGGAGTGATGCCTCTCTCGCCACGGCAGAAGGATGGGAAAGATCGGAGCCCTCGATCTCTTGAGGATGAATACGTCGTCTTCCTTCAAGGGGTGAGTGACCTGTTCTCTTTGAAGCGTCAAAATCGTCTGTGGTCTTGGATGAGCATGCATCTAATGGTATTTATGGTATAGATTCCACCGCAATGCCGCTGGCAGGAGTTGAAAGACTTTGTTCGCCAGACTGCATTGCACATCCGCCAAGCTGTGGTGTACGATGATTGTCACGGCCATCCGACGGGCTTGGGTCAGATCATCGTAAAGAATGAGGACGAAGCGTGGCGCACGTATAGTACGTTGAAAAAACAGTGCCATCTCTTCATAATCGGAAGGGTATTAGAGCTTGCGTTTCTCCATGCTGACCGAAGCTCACAGACCGGCTGTCGACAAATGGGTGGAACGGACATAGCCTCACAGTGACGCTATCACTAGCCAGCGAGCCGACGAGCCCGATAGCAGGGCCAACGAAGAGCCCTTCGCTCGGCGGAATGGCGTTTGGTTCAGGATTCTCTGCCCCTCCGGTTACTTCAGCCGCCATGGGGACGAGCCCGACATGCGTTCCCAGCCAGGAGTAAGTCCAGGCCATCTCCAGCTGAGTGGTTCATCATTGAAAATAGAATAAAATAAAATTATAAATGCAATGCCCAGTTGGCTAACCCAGATAACCGGGAACCAGTATGCCCACATCACCAACATTTACTCAGCCACCAGACCATCAACACCCACCATACATGGCGCCCTTGCCGAACGCCTGCCATCCACAATATGTTCAATTCCCGGAGTCAGTCGGGTACCACGTCCCCTTCGTCTTTCCCGGAGAGAATGCCTTCTTTATTCCCCATCCTACATTCTATCCGTCATCGTTTGATTCGTACCAGTTCGGCCAGCCCCGATACATGGCGACGAATGGCTGTATCCAGGCCTACCCAAGCTTCTTCCCACATCGACATAGCGTCTCCGGCCCGGTAGGCGTCGCCTCTGGCATGAACCACGAGTATGGTGCCCCAATTTCACGAAACATTTTCATCCACAACCTCAACCATGAAACGACTCCACAGCTCCTGAAGGAGTACCTGCGCGCTGCAGGGGTTATCGAACGATGCGATGTATTCGACCGAAAGATCGGCGGCAGCACCCGGACCTGCGCTATAATGGCCTTCCGAAATAAAGAAGAAGCCAAACGAGCTATTGCGCTGTTTGACAATTCCATATTCAGGGGCTCGCGGATACGAGTTCGTTTCGATAGGGAGCGGGGTGGGAGTTTGGGGACAGCGCACGGCAACGGCAACGGACACAATTTCAACGTCAATAGAAACGGCATGGCAAAGCATGTTGTGCCGATTGCCCCTGCAGCCGAACGTGCCGGCACCGCAAGGCATGAAAAAAACAACATGCCTCATCCGATAATGACTTCTGAAACTCTGCCCAAGGAAGGGCATAGGTCCGCAAGCGCAACACCATCCCCGTCGCTAACAGCAGTAACACCTACATCGACGAGTGACGAGGCGGAACCGAAGAGCGAAAGGAGCAGTTCCCGTAAGAATAGCACTGAGCCATTAGTTGTCAATGGCTCCTGCGTTGTGCCAAAGATTCCAGCCGCAGACGTCAAGGGAGGTTAGTACCAATCCTTCAATCTTATGGATAGAATGAATTTGATATTCATAGTATCAGCCTTTCCTAAACCTACACCGAGTTCCGAACATATATACTGACTGGCTCAAGTAGATGAACTCTCCCAACGCACTCTTGCATTGCACCTGTAATCGCCATCTCGTATATCAGATCAGATACTCCCCATCATAAATATCCTTTATATCAAAAAGATGACCTGTGGAGACGGATGGCCCTCCATGCTGGGTTGATGTGCCTGTGATTCCGTGGACTCTGATATGGAGAAACGCACTGGAATCCACGGCACCCGCAACAGTAGTGTAACCGGGTGAGTTGAAGTCGCCTTTTTCTGGAGGAAGTATTCTGCTTTATGGGGTATATTATATTATGCGGATATTTTTCTCGTTTCACACTTGGGTTTGCGGTTCTCTGCTACGTCGTTGTCATGCATCTTTTTTTGTCCAATGTTTCCCTTTTTTATCCCTCATCTTGATTACGCCGACCATCGACTTTCTTATGAACCATTTTCCTGCAAGTTTATCATCATCTCCTTGGAAGCATGGCGTTTGGCCCTTTTCCTCTGTCTCTTTGCTTTACTGTTCAGCTTTTTTGTCAGTTTTTTTCTATGTAGGAGTAATGGAGGTTGCCAATATCACATGATTTCCACCTCGGAGCCAAGCTCGCCGTTAAAGAGTGAGAAGAAAATAAAAGCAGAATGAAGTTAAGAGTTGGCAAGCGACAGGCGAAAGGGGCAAATATTGACAGCTTGATATGTATGGTACATTACTATGGTACTACCCTCCAGCTTGGTGATCTATATGAAGTAACAATTTCCGGCAACTGTAACCTCCCGTGTCGATGCGTCTAGATACTCTCTCTATCAGAGTTTCAGACACATCTAGATGGGTTCAACCCGGTACTGAAGACGGAGCCAGACCGGTCCATCGTAACAGCTTTAAAGAGTGCAAGGTGTATATACATGACGATGTGTGTGGTATTGTCTGGAGGCGACTGGACCAGGCGACCCGGGTACCTTTCACCGAATATACATGATAGGCTGTAAGACGGGACAGGAGATGGGATAAATTATGATTGAGAGATGCAGATTAGGTGTGGATTAGCTAACTTTATAAAGGCTAGGCGTAGTGATAAAGGTTGATGCCGAGCTGCCAGCAGCAGGTAATGACATAGATAGATATTTGCATAAATCGACAAAGCGAAATATGTGAGGGGGCGATGGATGAGAAAAGGGGAATATAGAAATGCCAGATATTGGGGTGAATGGGCCGTTTTCTCCATCTTTTTTGCTATTTGGGACACCGCAAGAACACCATCATGATGGGATGGTGGGCTGAGTGGCAACTGGCCACCCCGCCTTTCCTATTGTTTCCGATATACTGGGATCGAGGCCGTTTCAAGCTTGTTTAAGAGAAACGAAGCAAATAGTGGTGAAATATATGTATGTAGATGTGGCGGTTGTTGGTAATCCGCCAATAGACCCATGACATTTGCGTAATGCTCCATAGAGGGAGGGATATCCACTGTGATTCTCACTGCATGTGTGTGGTGGTAGAAGCTCGTTTCTCTCCGATGAAACTTGGCCTGGATCGCGGTTCGTCGACTCTCGTGGACAGTAGGTGAGTTGGTTCAGTCGTCGACGTTATCATCCATTTGTATAGAGGATGTTATATATACCTCATTCGAGTGCTATTGTCGATAAGGTTGAAATGTATGAAATCTCCCATGAAGAAAGCTCCAACAACTTCTATCTCGAGATGGTAAATGGTATGGCTCCAGGTATGAAATCTCCCTATGAAGAGATCCCCGCCCACCAATATCTCGAGATGGTAAATGGTATGCTCCGTAATCTATATAATCTCCTATAGGAGAATTCCTGTCCGTATTTTATCTCGAGATGGTATATGGTATGTTCTGTAGTGTGTAGTCCCCCTGTTACTCTTCAAATGGGGCTTATCTTTTCACCTTCCACTTGGACTGGCCTCTTCATCGGTGGAATCCGACCATGGAGGCGCATCGGTTGCAGTAGTAGCAATTTACACCAAATTGGACTGACTTCGAGCCTGGAGAGTTCAAAGAGAGTTGACATCTGGAGCATCGGACCGTGTCGAAAGTGGGATAGCTGGAATGGCATGGAGTAGAGAGGCCAGGCGTGGAGGTGCTGGGTGCCTGGCGAGGGAGAGTTGAGGAAGACATGGTGATGTGTTGGGTATGCCGGAGCATATGCTGAGTGGTTTGTTTGTTTGTCGGCCAGCGCAGAGTCAAGTTCAACTCTGTTGTAGCAAAGTGTTGTAAACAAGAAAAAGAGAAAGGGAAAACCAGAGAGAGGTCTGGGAAGGGCAAGATATTTATATATCAAAAATAAAGCGCCATCTCCGAGGCGGAGGATGAAAAGCTGCGGAAAAAGAAAATACCAAAGGGGGGAAGGGGACCTTTTGTGATTTCCTCCACCGTGCGCCGTAGGGATGATTTTTTGGCCTTCTTCTTTTTTTAAAAAAAAAAAGATACTTGCTTTTTCTCTCTATCTGCTGCTGCTCCGTCTCGCTCATCTGGTTTGATTTAGTCCAAGGCCAGGCTTGTAGATATTTGAAAAAAGCAAAAGAAAAAAAGAAAAAAAAAGAAAAAGAAAAGTATAAACCCCAAGACGAGACGGCAAGCTGAGCCACTTCTCGCAGGGCAAGGGAAAAAAAAAAGCAAAGAGAACAAGAAAAAGGGCCAAACAAAAAGGCAAATTTGGTTTCAACTTGGATTTCGAGATGTACTATGTACTATAGTAACGGGAAGAAGCCTTGAAAGGGACATGGTAGCGTCTAGACAGGCAAATCCACTGCCAGGTTGTATATACTTGAAGAGAGTATAATAGGGAGAAGCCTGGAGCGAGTCACGGCAAGCTCTGGTCGGATGGTTTAGCCAGGCAGCTCTTTTTCATAGTGTTTTTTTTCCTGCTGTTCAAAGTCTCATGGTTGTCGAGTCTGGATCATCTGCATGTTCTTCTTCTCGTATGTGATGGCTGAGTCGATCCGGGACGTGGACGACCATGTCCGACAGTAAAAAGGACGAATAGTGGCTTTTTTATTTTTCATGTACGGAGCAGTATACATGTATGTTAGTTGTTCCGAATACAGGAACCCTTTTTTTTAGCAAGTAGAACGATCAGAACAAACTCCCATTGGGCCTGGTTGTTGGGCTGTTGGTAACTCCGTACTATGTATGGTTCAATAACTCGGTGTGATGCCTAGAAGGTGAAGTGATCTGCTTTTTGGCCTACCAAGCTCGGGCATGCAATGTGAAGCAGCTAAACACTATGCGTGTCGTTGTCTGTCTGTCTGTCTGATGCATGTGTCGGGCTTGATACTGGACATGTAAGTACTCCGTCCCCTCGCCACTGTCCGCGACAGGTCGACATGACATGGACATGCTCTGTAAGGAGTTTGACAGGCGCTGTCTCTAACCGAAGCTATCTATGCATGCAGAGTACTACACGTAGATACACACACAGAGAAGAGCGTTTGCCTCTTCTGCTCCCGGCTGAAAGGGAGCAGAGAAAATCAATAAACCCAGACATGTGGATGAAACGGCCTGGCGGGCCTTGTTCCCCGGTCCGACGGACAGATCAGGCATCAGGGTCTATCTCTTAGTTATCCATACATTACAAGTACTTGAAAAAGGGGGAGTGGGAAACGGGCGACGCTCACCTCGATAAGAACGTCAGCTGGTTCACATCATCGATCCTGCGCTTAACATTTGAAACTATCGACTTATTTTCATCCTCCCTCTGAACCATCGGAGGAACGCCGTCTGGGTCTATAGCCACGGAGGTAATGATGGTTATACCATGCCGTGTATTATGCGCCATGCATCTCAAGGGAGATCGCGGCTACGATTAAATCTGACCATGCATTAACAACGTATATAAACACATATTATATATAGGGTGCATACGTGCAAGCATGCACCCATGCCGCGGCCCTCCCCCTGCGCTGCTGCAAAACAATAATATTACTATGTAATATCTAGGCGAGAAAAATATCCAAAAAAAAAAAATACCACCAGCTTATCGTCTTCCCATGCACTGTGACGTTATCCTATGTAACTATTTCTTACTTCATGACTCGCCGAAAGGTACTCCGTAGAATAGGAGGAAGTTGATAGGACCATGTCCGCGCCCTTCGCAGAGAGTGCGAGATGTTCCTCTCCCCTCCCCTCCTCAGATCGTTCTGACTATCGATATCTATCGACTTTCTTTTGTTTTTTTTTTGGCTTATACTTCCTTTTTATTTCTTTTTGACCCGTTAGTTCGCTCGGGCCGGAAGAGCACTATTGCCTATCTGGGGCAAAGGATGCAATCTATCGCTGTTATCAACTGCGATCCTCTTTCAATTGCCGGCTGGATAACGACCAAGGCGAAAGAAAACATCGACGATGGAGGGGACAGAATCATCGACGGGAGACGGACCGTGGCCTTGATGATCGACAGATTATAGATTAGGCACACACATATATGTGTTACTATCTCGGCACTAACATATGTGGGAGTATGGAGTGCAGTGCAGAATCACGATGCAGGGCACCTCAAGAGGCATCTTCACCATAAAGATGTACCATACAGTAACTTACACGGCGAAAAATGGTGATTTGGACTGGATGGGCTACTTCTCAACCTCGCCTGGCCAACGAAGCATGGGGGATGGATGGATATCAAACCCCGGTTCACGTGGACTTCTTCATGCCGTCTTTTTCACGGAATACATACTATGTACTCCGTTGTATGGAGAAGATGGCAAGGAACTGATATCGGTTTTATCCTTACTCGAGGGGGTTAAGGGCTTGCCTGTGCTTCGGAGGCGATCGATGTCTGCAGATCAGATCCTTAAAGCGGGTGGTTTGTCCCGGGTTATTTTGGCCCTCTTGATGGTTCCGTCGCAAACGAGCAAGGACTGGAGTATGTACGATCGGATGGGACATCCCAGGTTCCCCGTACCATAGAGTTCGGCTGCTGTTCACCTGTAAATGCATCTCAAACTCTGGAGTTGGACTGGAGGTTGCCATGCCATGTATGTACTTGACTTGTGTATATAAATTTAAATATGCTCTGGAGATACATATGCGGGGGGCTAAAACTACTCCGCCCATCTGATGTTATATTTACTTGCCAACTCATCCGAGCAAAACCCTCTGCCGCATTCTCCATCTCTCCCACCCGCCATGCAACATGTACTCCAACCCGTCTTCTTCACGGGTGCCCCCATCTTATTTCTTTTTAAGGTTGGATGTCATGCATACCATTGAGGGCGGCAACAGGCATGGTAACAGACAGGCAACAGCCTGGGCAGCAGACTGGGCAAAGACATGGCAAAGACATGGGCAAGCAAGGCGAAGATGCATGCTCGTTGTATTCTTGTCATGTCATAAAAATAGGAACTGGCTTCTTCCGACATGGTCTCGAGAGTATCCAAAATACCCAGCTCGGCCCCCGATTCCTGCTGTCCCCATTCATGCAGTTGCATCTCTTCTCGCTTCTTCGGCCTCGGGCGATTGATCATTAATCAATCAATCAATAAATGGCCCGCGTTTCTTTTTTTCATGACACACCAGCCATGGCCAGTGCGGATGTAAATTTCATGTCCAACTAGTTAGATTCGTTTTTTTCTTATCGTCTCCCAACGCCCCAGGAACCAGCCATTATCGCCGCAGGAACAAGAACCCAAAAAGAATTAGCGAAAGACAACTATCGATCCAACAGAAAAAAGAACTATACACGAATACACGATGCAAAAGCAGGTTTTTTTTTTGCCTGACAAGCCAAACGGGCGCCCTAGCTGCCTGAATACGATATCTTGGAGTCCAGCGCCACTTCTTCCTCCCCACGGACGACTAGACCTTGGCCATGACTTTTGTTCAACAAAAAAAAAAGGAAGAAGCCAGGGAATTGACAAAGTAACCACCAAATGTCGGGTTCCTGGCGAGATGAATGTTTATTAATAAAACCCACGCGTTCGACAAGCGATGCGATGCGAGCAAAGCAACGTCTGTCAAAATGTCCCCTTGTTTTGATATGTATGAAAAAGATGGAAAAAGAAGCTAACTCGGCAATGGAGTTATTATCCTTCTTTCCCCCCATACCAGGAACGGAAAATATTTCCTCGGAAGGGACCCAGTTATCTTGCTTCAAAGTGTGGCGTCGCCTTTTCCAGCCCTTTTTCAACGGGTGGACAAGAGCCAGGCCCAGGTCCAGGCTAGGATGAGGCTGTTAGGATCTCCGTCTATTTTCCGTAACGAACTAACCAAGGGCGTTTGGGCAACAGTGTGTCAGAGCGAGATTGAAAAAAAAAAAAAAAGAAGGATCCAGCCGGTCACCTCCGGGTAGCCAGCCTTAGTACGGAGTAGTATATTGGAGGATGGGCTGAGAGAGTCCATATGCCTGTTCTGTCTAGCTGGGGCTTTGCAGGGCGCTGGCACTAACGAGCTTGGTGAACAAGCTGAAGAGAGCAATTTCAGCCTTGAAACCACCTCTCCGAGGCAACGAAATGGAATAGCCATCCCCTGTTTGTTGATTTAGCTGTCGAAAGTGCTTAGGCGGCCGTGTTTGTCGGTCGAGTATACTCCATACGGGCGAATATGCTTGATCGTGGTACAGCATATGCAGGCAGCCTCTTCTTCCCCCTTTCTCATTTTCGTCAATCCTTGGTTGCATTCATCCTCCCCAATTATCATCCTGTGGCCGGTTCGTCGCCTTGTCGGCCTTGAAACAAAAAAAGGAACATTCTGTGATAAGAGTGCAGATGATCACAGTAGCGGTCTCGTCACTTCGTGTACAGATGACTCTTTCACACTCTCTCTTACATAGCATTGCCTTCTCTTTGTCAGCCGCCTGCATTAGCCCGATCCTCTTGTTTGAGCAACATGTTACTATGCGGAAGCTCAAGGATACGATGCGTTGGCCAGATTCGGGCAAGTCTACACGCTAAAGATGTCTCTGCGGCATCCCCCGTTTGTTGTTGTTGTGTGTTCGTTGCTCCGTTACGAAGGAGGAGAAGATGACATGATCAGCTGATCGCTTATGGAAACCGTTGATTGGCATCTAAATATAATCATAATCATAACCTCATACCCCTTGCTTGAATGACCCAAAGCCGGAGCTACAATTAAAAAAAATGATGACAGCCTCCTCGAAAGGCGCGTGGTCTGCCAGCCAGGTGGTTGCGACGTTAAGCTTGCATAACTTTTTTTCGTTTTCTTTCTCGGCTCTACTAATACACAGCAGGCTGCATGAAAAGAGGCAGAGTAGCTGACGAAGCTCCCTGACACAAGGCAGCTACGTACGCACACCGAACTTCGCCAGTAGATCCCTTCCTCCCTTAAAGCCCGACCGGGCGTGAGGGGGATGCGCGTTGTACATTTGCAATTTTTTTTTCACCGAAACATGAATGGCCGCACATTTATGCCTCACGGGTCAAGATATCGGAGTCACCAGCGTCGAGGATGGCCATGGTAGAGCAGCGGAAGAGCTTACCACAGGCAGTTCCGAGCTCAATCTGTATACGAAACAAATGGTTCAACCAGTTAGCCAACGGTCAAAGCTCTCCAGCAATATCCCAGCACACGTTATAATATGTGGAGGGAAATCCCTTCTCAGAGCAACTACTACTCTCCAAAGTCACACAAATAGTCCACTAAGTGTCCTCGTGTAACTTCTTCGCAGAGCAAATGGAGGAGATAGAGCTGTCTTGCTTTTCCCCCATGCACATCACTCGACGATTGCCGCATGGAGTACTTGTCTTTTCCAGGATTTTTTTCAGGACAGGCAGTTATTGGCACTTACGTTGTTTCCGTGGAAATGGTGGACTGGGACCTTGGCGAGCATAGCATAGTCTACATGCAATCAATTAGTCCATATGCTCCTTAACCGCCGTATCAAATATTGGTCCAACGCGACTTACACTCGAGCTCGGACTTGCGTAGAGGTGGGCAGTTTCCAGCAATGAGGATAAGCTTGGCCTTGCCAGAGCGGAGGGTCTTGAGGGTAGACTTGGATCCCATAGTGACTGGAAGAATTGATTATCGTTAGATATGGAAATCCTGGCACTTGTTCCGGACTCATAATACGTACCCTTTCCGGACTTCATCACAAGCGCAAGGCGCGAGGAGAGGGTATCAGTGGTCTTCTTGGTCTTGGCCATTGTGAAGGATGTCTGGTATTTGTCCTGGTTGGGAAGATAGGATGGTCAATCTGAAGGCTGGCTGGTCGGTCAAAAAGAAAGAACAAGAAATATAAAATATTCGTTGTGGAAAAAAATGTGAACAAATTTAGCGAGTGTGTACGATGACTAATCATCCTGTTATGGCTAATAGTCACGTGAATGAGACTTGGCCTTGTTATTATATAAGCAAGTTTCTATCATGAAGAATAATTCCTGTCTAGTTATCCAGGCATCATCCTCAACAGCTGTAACAGCCGATTTCGCGGCCAAAAACCTGACCATTCTATAGTTACATACTGCTAGCCTTCTTCCGAAGTTGCTTTGACGCAGAAACATTCTACTTCTACTTGTCAGTATTCAGACAAATCAGACAAAATAGCCCATTTCTTGCGTCTTCGCTGTCACAAGACTCCTTGTAGCTTGGTCGGTGGATGTGCTAGCTACGGAGGATTATGACCGTGCTGCTCCGAGGGGAACAGAACTAGGCGGGAGGGAATTATACCCGGTATTGCGACGATGAATCATGGTCAAGTCCCAGGGTCATGAAGTCACCTCGCTAGGTTTCAACCGCGGGATTCATTGGCATTAAACAGGCCAGGAAACGTTTAATGCTCGTGATCCCAGATAGCATAGGCATCCTACAAAGTATAGCCCGATATACTGGTCTTCAACTGGCGCGTTCATTCAGACGGAATGTGGAAGTTAGGCCAATGAAGTATGACGAGCTGGCAGCATTCCCCGTGGTACCGACTAGTGCCTATCAGCCTCCATCTCCAGCAGCTCTCAAATTCGTTCACTCGGCGAACATCGAGAGTGAATGTTCATCCCTGAGCAAGCATAATGCTTGATAGAATACAAGATATTTAAATGATCAGTTAAACCCTACCAATCAAGGAACTAAACTGGGGACAATTGACTACTCATCAGCAGATAAGTGAATAGTTCCTTACTCGAATGTTATCCTTATAGGCAATATAATAAAAGGGTTAGGGTTAGGGTTAGAGAGATGTGTTGAAATAATGAAGCATTATTGTAGATGCAAAATCGAAGTATGTGATAAGAACGTGATACCGTAGCTGCTGAACATTATTCTTCTTCATCAGGTGCAGGTCTAAACACTACCTAAGAGTTAAGTATGATACAGGATGAAAATGGGGTTCCATTTAAAATTGCCAGCTAGTTACCATTTTTAGGATCTTTAATAATGTCAACCAATGCCGGACAAACTTCGTTCACTATCCAAGGATCGGCTTTAAATTGGAATCCATTTTCAACAATATCCATAATACGGAATTGCGTGCTATATGCTGACCAGATGGGCTCCCCATAGAGGAATTGGTGAAGATATGCCTGAGATTGTTGGGCAATGTTATAATTCACAACTGGTGTGGTCTTATTATTCACGAAAAAGAAGTCTGGCCGAGAGAGGCATTAGTTACCTAGTGAGGTCTCAATAGATGGAAATGATGGGCCTCTGACTTACATCGTAAATCTAGGCCATGGGTTCCGGGTGGAATACTCATCACAAATCGATATCCATTATCCCCATACGCGCTTGCAACACTCACAGCATTGCATGCAAATACGACAGAGGTGATCCAGTCCCAGGCAAGGCGTTTCGGATTATTTTCCGGGAAGGGGAATAGCTCCCTAATGCGGCGAATTGTCTTGTCACTTGCAGTAGGGAAGTACATTCGAACCAGTTCAGGGAACCCCCCGGGCATGTCACTATCTATAGCCATACCCTTCCCTTCCAAAAGGGTATTTCCAGTAATGACTCTTTGAACTTCGTTGTGGTATTTACCCTGCTCAAGGAGTATTATAGGTGATTCTGGAACAATATCTCCGTCCACATAAGGTGCGAAGCCTATGCCAGGGCCAAAACACATTTCCCCGGGCCCTACGGGTGTCTCAATTATCAGACGATGGTTAGCTATTTTAAGAACCTCAGGTGGAGCGGCCCTTAGACAGGCAAGGTTAGTACAGTTAGCGGCCGTTAAAACTTCGTTATAAACGCTTTGTCTTTGGGAAGCTACGTCTCTCCGAGGCATCAAATCCGGAGAGAGCACCATAGCCTAGTTTTAGTAATATTAGAGTCTAGAGCAGATACATATTTGATGACGGACGTTACCTGGGAAAAAGGAAGCTCGCCAGCGCCACCATAAGCGGTCAGCATCAAAGTGATTATACCTCCTCCAGCACTTTGCCCAGCAGCAGTGATTCTTTCAGGGTCACCGCCAAACCTAGATATATATTGTTTCGTCCACTGTAGCCCAGCAAAGCTATCGTGCAGCCCAGCATTTGCGGCCATATCTTCATCCGGGCTAGACATCCATCCATAAAGGCCTAGCCTGTATAGTAGTAGTTAGGAGAGAACCAGTTGCCGGTAAAGGGGCTTGTAGAGTGACTTACCGGTAGTTACTTATAACGAAGATGAACTTCTCATGGCTTTGATTAAAAGTATCGAACAATCCCTCCGGGCTAATCGCGCCATCTCCAGCATCTTTGCTGCCAAAGGAATATGAGCCCCCAAAGATCCAGTGGATTACGGGAACCTTGTCTCCTTCTTTGATGCCCTCTGGAACGTGCACATTTAGGAACAAGCAGTCCTCTTGACCCCGAATATTATTTAAGTCAGAGACTGGAGCCGATGGGTACGTAGAGTAAACACACTCGGTAGAAGAATACTGGCTGCCATCTTGAACACCAATTGCTCGTGGAGGAGGTGTCTTGGGCTTGCGGAAACGAAGGTCGCCTACCGGAGGATAGGCGAAACGAATATTGTTATATTTTGCAACTGCCACGCCCGAAGCAGTACGGTTGATATATGTAGGTTTATGGACGGCGTATCCCAAGTCCACAGTTGGAAAGAGTTCGGGAACCGCAGAATCAGTAGTGCAAAGTGCTGGAACCGCAAGCAAATCCGGGAAGGGAAGTAAACCCCAGAAGGCGAGGAAAGCCTGAACGCCGGCGGTTAATAGAAACATGTCCGGTATGGCAGCGGTAACAGGGAGCTGTCGGGGGAATCGGGAGCCATATTAGAGGCGATAAAACTCCTTTATGAGGTCTCTATTGGTGGTTATCAACCCCAGGGTATCGTTGCCATGTAAGAGAAAATGGCCCAATTTTGAGATTCAACCGATATGAGATCTAGTTAAGCCACTGCCTCTCTCTCATAATTGATCTGTACAGCCTTTTTTGTACTGTATTCTCCTATAAATAGGCATATATAAAGCCCTTGATTGGCTATTGGATCGGGATTTTCCATGTTGATGGCAAATATTCCACTTTAGAAAGTGACTGCCATTGGCCTTATTCATCATCGTTAGCGGTGCTTCGGTGGAGATCTCGTAACTACCCATCAAATATCAAACTGGGCCATTTTACCAATATTACAAGTGTAATATTATAAAATAAGTAAAAGAAGCTTACTTTTTTTTAAGCTATACATAGTATATACAATCAATAAAAGCCCTTCTCTTACTAGCTAAAAGTTCTTTAAACCTCTGACGGTGAAGCTGTGAGAGTAATAGCTATGTTAAAGTATGTTCAAGCTGATGGCTTCTGGAGCAAAGATTGTACGGGATAGACTTGTCAGGTTATTAATTAATGATGGAATATAGGGGTTTTAGGTGCGGCCTGGCGTGGATGGTGCGGCGTCAAAAAATCCTAGAAGCCTGACAAATTTTCCAGAAAACTGCTAATTAAACCCGTGGAACTAGTACGGAGATATGTCGGGTCAAGCAAAGGTAAGCTTGCATAATATGTTAGTATGAGATATACAAATAGCAAATCGTGATTCAAAGGGGGTAAAGACGTAGGCTCATAAATACATGACAGGTTGGGCTAGCTATAGCTAGAAATAGGGAATGCCAGAGCTTCGGAGGAATTATAGATGCAACAAGATGGAGAAATTATATGCTTCATATGCTTGGGAGTAGAGGACAGTTGATTAGGCCAGTCTCTTTAACTCCGCCGAACCCCCTTTTTGGTTCCAGTTGAAGTATGGCTAACGGCCACACCGACGAGGCTCTGCGATGCAGGTTCGTCAAAGGGAGAAAGGGGGCTAGTAGCCTCTCTTTCTTTATCACGTTTATTTCTATAGTAGGCTAGCCTCGCAAACCTACTGAGCTGAGCCCAGAAATGCCGACCAGCTTCGTGTGCTGATATTCGATCAAGCAGTTCCACTGTAGCATCGCGCACGGTTGAGTCATTGTGGAAGAGTCCCATGGAGAGATAGAAGAGACCCGCCTGGGTTTCGGGTATAACTGAAAGAAGTTGGCAAACGGAATTATAATCTTTTATAGATTTCGAGAATGCAATGTATACTGCTTTCGCCTCTGCCTCACTGAGCTTCAGTGTGCGAAGTCGATCGTGATGATGTTGGACGTCAAGTCCCTTCAATGGTTTTCCTGCAAGATGCATAACTGCGGTATCTTGGATAAAGTAGTAGTATGACCGGGTATTTCTCCAGCCTTCAATTCGCGGCACCCAGGCAGCAAGTTCACGCTGTTTAGTGGCCTCATCAACCCAAACGTATCCGTGTCCGCGTAGGCTCGATTCTCCGGGCCGTTCACGCATAGGAGACGAGTCTGGAGGTGGTTCTTCTGGCGCCACGATGTCAAGAGCTGTCGCCCCATAGACGATTTCTTCAAAGGCAGCAGATATTCTCGTGAATTTATTGATGTAGGCGCGCCATTTTGCTCGGATGACACCCTCACTGTGCCTGGAAGCAATACTCTTGAGAATATCATCCATGAACTGTACGTCGCCGGTAAGGTCGGGAGGGGCAGATGAGCTACCGAGTATAGATGATGAGGAGTTCTGATTTTGTGGTTGAAAGTACTGCATCCCTTCTGTCACTGGAGCTGCCTCAACGCGGTTGCTGATCTTCATTCTTCCACTGGGAAGGTCACAAAGAAGGTCCCACCACTCATGGTGGTTAGCGAATGTCGGGTTAGTGACACCAGCTACAAAGCCGGGCACTTTGATAAGTTCATCAATCTTTGTCAAGTCTGTGTATGGGAATGCGTGACGAGTGAAACCTCGTAGCGTGCCCCCCGAAGCGAGTGCACAGGTTGCAAGGACAGCTTCCGCAACCTCCCCAGATGGCCGGTTATGCCCTAGGAATATAACCCGTTTCTGAGTGAGTAGTGCGTTCACCAGAACAATTATGGGATGAGTAAAAGGCCCACTGCTAGTGAGATGAGGGTGTAAAGCGAATGGTTGTGGGGAAGCCGCATGGGGACCAGCGAATGTTTGTATCAGTTTAACCAGAGAGAAGTCACCCACCGTTTCCGGAGAAATAGCAGTGGGAACTTTGACTGGGATTGCAATATCATTATAAACAATCTTAGATTCAAACTCATGGGTATCGCGGGGTACGGTGTATCGTGATGGAGGTCCGGCCTTTTGAGGGTCAATACCCTGGCGTTCAAGCTCGGCACGTTCGTCTGCAAGCCGCTGCTTTATCATCCTCTCGAACTTTTCCACGAAGAGGTCCTTTGTTTCTGTTGATTGGAGTATATGTCGCTCAAGGTATGAGAGACAAGGCATTAATGAAAGGTCCATTGCATTGAGAGAATCATATAGCTTGGCTAGCGTCTCCGGGAAAGGGTGTTTGAAATAATCTTCCAAGGCAAGTAGAAGTAATGGCTATGGTTTCTATTAGCAGACATCAAGGTTAGTTGGGGGTAGAAAACAAACTTTATATATGTGAAGAAATGAGTGCCTCGTGCATATTGCCATTGCTTTTACCGTCGCACCGCTACTTTTGTCAGTGAATTAATCCATAGTCAGAATTGAAAATGTTCCCGACCGTACCGTTTGACTGATGTGTCCTGTTTCGTATTCACGAGATTCAGGACATACATCAGGGGTGGTTCATCATCTATACCGGCACTCCCTGCATCTTCTTCTCCAGCGTACTCTTGAGATACATCATCTTGTTGTTTATCTCCATCTTGTTCATCATCTGTATCCTTATCTTCGCCAAACTCGGCGTCGTCTTCGGGCCCACCACTATCCTTATGTAAAAAGAAAATCGTCCAGTCCTGGCTGCGTACATGTGTTTGATCCGGTAACATAAGTTCTGCCAACATGCTCTCATCGCCACTGATGGCGCTGGGATACTGGTGTTCCATTATAGGCCCCCTATCTACGTCGAAAGAGGCCACAAGAATGTACTCGACATGTGGCTCAGGGGAGTCAGCGGGGTACTGAGATTTGTACCTCCGCTTCTGGTTCTGGAAGCTGCCATATGAGTGGACAGATCGCCTCTGTGATGATTCGCCAGAGCTTCCAATGGACTTATGGCTGAGAGAAGTCTGCGATCGATTCTTCCGAGACCCAATTCCAACAGACTGATGCGGAGATATGGACGATGGTGGGATGGAGGTGAATGAAGTGCCGCGGTCATGAGAAGAGCCAGTCGTAGAAGGCCGTCGGGCCAATGAGTTTGCCATGATTAAAGATCGTAGATATAATTATAGAATCAGAAGTAGAAATGAGAAAGCGCATTCTATAATTAACCAAGGGAGTTAACGTAACCACAATCACCTTGATACCTGATAACACATCCGGTAACATACCTCGCTGTCAACGCAATGCGCAACTGAAAATGGTACCCTATTCATCCACCAGAAGATCAGGTATGAAAGAAAGGTGCCGTCAGGGAAGCCCCGGGAGCAGCTCTCTTTCTGTCTGTGTATGTGTTTGAACCATTTCAAGTCCCTTTTCTTGTACCTGCGGCTTTCTGGCTAAAAACAAGCTCCGATTGGCTGGTTTAGCGCTTTCACGTGCCATGAAGATGATTGAGACGGAACAATGTTCTTGCGGGTGGAAAGGAACATTATTTATCCGAGTGTTTATTGATTTCCGTTTTGGGCCATACCTAGGTAGTAGACGATAGTTGATAGGCTTATCAGAGTAAGATAATATCAAGAGACTGACTGGTGTTCGACAAGGGCAAGAAGAAAAGTACGGATTTGACCTACTCTTCTTATTCTTTATTTGAATTAGCTGACTTCTATCGGAGAACAAAATGGTAAGGTGGTGTTTACCAACTTGAGCGATTATAGCACTGACCAACGGCTATAGGGTACACCTAACACCACGCCATATAAACCGTCTCCTCTCTCGTTTGGATCCCCTCGCTCTTCTCCTTTTCGTCGACCGTCATTTGTCTCTTCTCCTCCTCCTTCCTCACCCGGAGCGGTTATCCGGCCAAATGCCCCAGCGAGCCCCAGCAGCAGGGGAACCACGCCTACACACTCACCCAGCAAACTGAGCCACTTCCAAGCACTGGAGAGTGGAGATGTATTTACCAATGGTAGCAATGGGCTAAGATCCTCGCCAGGTCCTAGGTCGCCCCAGCTCTCGCCTACAAAGGGAGCAAATGCTCAGGATCGATTTTCAATGATGGGCCACCCCAAAACACCCGAAAGGTCGCCCAAAAGTAATGATTTGCTGAGCAAGATTCCTCCCGGTCAATTGCGAGAGATGCGCGAAGCATTTCAAGTGTTAGATCGGGACAACGACGGCTTGGTAAACAGAGAAGATATAGCAGATGCCTTGAATAACCTTGGTTAGTCACCCCTATTTAGTGTTTAATATATATCTTATATATTCACTTGCTTATATATCTACGTTTAGGCCAGGATTCTTCATCTCTGGCAACTGGTGCATACTTCTCACCGAACGGCCCTCGATCAATCAACCTACCAACGTATTTAAACCAAATCGCCACTTACTTAGCACCTCTTTCATCTTACCAGGAGCTCCTTAATGCATTTGCAGCCTTTGACGAAGACGATAGCGGTCAGATTGACCTAGCCGAGCTTCGAGATGCACTACTCCATACCACTCCCGAAGGAGATGAGAGACAGCTAACAGAGAGTGAGATTAATGAGGTGATACAAGGGTTTACTGGTAGACGAGCGTTTGGCGCTAAAGGGAAAGCTGCCTCTCTTACTGGATCAAGAAGTCGAGCCGAGGTGTTTCGATATGAGGAGTTCGTTGGGAGTTTAATGGGTGGTCCAGGTGATCCAAAGACCGATAAATCAAAATCCAAGGAAGGTTGACCGCTATTTGTAGATGGGTTTATGTTAATCGCATGGGTAGTTAGGAAGTCCACTTTTGGTGTTTGGTTACTGATAGTTACTATATTGAATACATCACCAAGTCAACCCTATGCTTTCTTGTTCCGTCTAACACAAACAACGCTTCAGGGGGTCCATATGGAAGCTCTATACAGCCCTATAAGCTGTCTATTATCCCTAACTTCTAGCCTCTTTACTTTCTTCATCTTTCCTTGCTCTTAAAAGGCCCAAACTATCCTCCAAACTCTAAATAAGCTTGATATTGCCAAGGATAGAAGCTACACGTGACTACTATAATTGGAAAGGCTCCATCGCGAACGCGCTTGGGCAAATCGATCGCGATGAGGCTGGTTTTTCGGTTTTCAAGGCAGGGATAAAAAAAAAACCTAACTTGCACGCCAGGTCTCGCACATATCACCAGGTTATTTCAACAACTACTCACATATACGCCCTCTAAGGGCATTATCTGGAGTCCAATATAGGGCCCTAGTAGCTCGCTCTGTTGTTGAAAGCATGCCTCAACCATCCCAATCTCGTGTCCCCGCAGCAGGACCAGGCGGACTGCAGCCACCCCAACCCACTAGAACACTTCGCAGATTCCAATCACACCAGAGCCTATCGACATATTCAAATAGCTCGGTCTTAGGATCCCGACCTCCGATTTCCCGAAATGCAACCGCCATTAACACTCGGGATGTTTCAGAGCAGCAGGCACCTCATCAACCAGCAGCTTCTGCAACCACGCCAGCACCTACTCATGGCCGTGGGAGATCGAATAGTGACGTTACCGGGGCGGCACCTGGAGGTGCACAACCACGCAAGCGACCGAGTATAAATCGGAAATCAGGATCAATTGGCTACCTTACCAGACGTTCTGGCCTCGAAAATCTGTTGAGGGAAGGACCGCCAAATAATAATATAGCAATTGGGCTTGAGGAGTTGCGATACCTGATTTTATCGACTAGAGTTGACGCAGATAACGATGGAATGGTAAGAGTGTTTCATCATCCCGAGACTAGTTTGGATCCCTTACTAATGTTGCACGGTTGAAGTCAACCCATCGGATATATATCTGGCTGGCCCTCCTAGATATTCCTCCCTTACCCACGGACGAATATCTCTCCCTAGTTCACCGTGGCCGGTCCCCAGCATATACCAAGATCCGTAACGATACATTCCGGACTCTAGCAACTGATCCATTATTCAAACGGAGGGTGACGGAAGCAAGTCTCATACGGCTTCTCAACGCAGTAGCGTGGAAAATCCATGACTCGAAAAATACATCTTCTTCTCACCAGATTTCTTCCTCGCAGCAGTCAAGTTCAAGGAGGACGTCCTCCATCTTCCTCCCAGATATCCAGGCTGCTGCTGATGGCCAAGGATCAAACTTATCAGATTCAGCTGCAATATATGTTCAGGGAATGAATGTGTTGTGTGCGCCTTTTTTGTATGCTTCACGGAGTGAGGTGGAAGCATACGCGTTATTCCACCATTTTATCACTGTCGAATGCCCTGGATATGCGAGAAGCACCATGGACGGAGTCCACAAGGGCGTAAAACTGGTAGATCGGTGTTTGGAGGTTGTTGAGCCAAAGTTAGCGAATCACTTGTTCAGCAAGGGAATGTATGCTGAACTGTATGCTTTTCCATCCGTTCTTACGCTATGTGCTTGCACGCCACCTCTACCAGAGGTTTTACACCTTTGGGATTTTCTTTTTGCCTATGGACCGCATTTAAATATATTATGTATTGTTGCACAACTGATTAGGATGAGAGATGTCATCCTGGCAAGTCCAAGGTAACTTCTTATTACCCCTACTATCCAAGTACCTCTAGATATAGCTGCTAACTCTATCTAGTCCAAACAAAATTCTCCGGTCATTCCCACCTATTGATGCAAAAGAAACAATTGCTTTGACAGTTTTGGTTGTGCAAAAAATCCCTTCAGATCTTTATGAAGAACTACTTTTGCATGCAAAATAATAAGTCAAGCTTTTTTCCTTGTGTTTACCCTCGACGCCTTTTTTGGTATGACCCAATGTTATTTGATGATGATGATAATGAATACTATATTTTTAGAGGCATGAAATCACAATTGCGCCATAGTACTTCTCGCGTTGAGAGGGTATAAAGGTTCATTAAAATATGGCAACCTATTTTAAGCCCTATGGCAAGGGAATATATACCGTTATGCTAGCCCAATTCATTCAATGTGGAAAGCTGAACGTGTTATACTTCCCCTTCCTTCCTCTTGTATGCTCGCGCCAAAGAATTCTCCAAACATGCTTCTCTTGACATGTTCTGGGGTTCCCTTCGGACCTTTTAAGGTGTCTTTTAAATTCTTTTCAGAAGATATCCTCCATTTCTTCTCCATATCTCTTGCGGCAGCTTCCCTTGTGTTGTTATCTCCCTAGTACCTTGCACAAACCCAAGGCCTGCCTAGCCATTGCAGGATATTTCCAAGGGCCCGGTTATATCTTACATCTCCAAAATCTCATGTCCCAACAGTTGAATTTTTAATTTCAGGCTGAGCGTGTGGAAGGATTTGAGTTACTCTTGTTCTGCCATCTGACCCAGAGTATGGAGCAGTTTAAAAAACCACGCCACCTTGGTTTAGGGCCCCGTTGTGGCTTTATAATGTATCGGTATTCCCAGTAATACATGTCTCAATTATGGTAGCAATTCCGTCATCATTTACAATATTGCTTCAGTGGTAAGAGGACACTCTCTTTCGGTAATCAGAATCCTATGCGCATCTATTATATAAACATGGTGAGGTGGCAAGGGTAAATTTTTTCCGAACTTATATATCCCAAGAGTGATGCCTCGATTGAAAGAGGCTACGGAGGCTAAGAATGTACACATGGAGGCGACTCTTATGGTATATCCTTGGAACATTGTAGGTTTGATACAGTATGTAACTGGAAGCCAGACAGCCTCTTGCGTCTGTTTCTCTCATATATCAAGCATTGGCTCACTGCAGAGAGTTCTACTATATAAATTTTACTTTCACTGTCCTCCCGGTATCCATCGTTGTTGCACAATGACTGGATATCTAAACGGCTTTGTCCGAAGCAATACGATAGACTGTGCAGGGGATAGAGTGATTAGTTAACGGTTAATTCGATGATTGAGTTCCGAAGTTAAAGATAGAACCTGTTCAGCGGGATACTTCGTGAGATAGGTATTATACTCTATACAATATAAGGTGTCTTCCCCTATGTCGGGACTTTACCCCGACCCTTGCCAGCTAGTGGAAGATCTTCCAATGAGCTGTCGAGTTAAGCTCGTCAAAGTAGGCACAGCCCTAAAAGCTTAATCCTTCCGCCTCCACATGGAAAGAACAAAGTTTATATAAAGGAAGATAGCTAAAAAACAGGAGTACGTACATAGTGTTAATACGGACAATATTGAGGGTGTCTGGCTTGAGGAACCAGGCCTAAGAAGTATACTTTGCCAGGGTCGGAGTAGTGAATACCGCTCATCGGCTAACATTACAGCCTTCAGCTTTCTGTCACCTCTCCTTTTACAAGTATCTATGTAATTCAGCAATATAGGATCAGAAAAGATGGATATAAAGGAGAAGGTATACCCTCAGCAGATGGCTTCTTTTCTCTCTCATCATAATCAACTCAGCTACCGCATCAGTCAAACAAGCATACTTAGAGGATCCAACCACATTCCACGTATGAAGACTTACCTCTACCCAAAGCTTCCGACACAATCACTAAACTATTGTATAGGTTCCAAAAACGTTCAAACCCAATACCGACAGGATGAAATTCACAGTTGCTACCATCTTAGCTACAGTCCTCGCCTCTACGGCCGTTGCTAGCAACGTTAGTTGTGTCTACCAGAAGGGAACCAAGGGTGATCATATAGTTGGACTCAAGGGTGCTGTCCAGGCATACGGCGGACAGTATCGCGTCTCGGGCAGGAATGGCTCTACATTTGCAACCTATGGAAGCGCCAAATTGACTCTGCGCCGTACTGGTCAGCACCCTTCGGTAAACAGCTACACCGATGCTGCCACTGTGGCCAACAAGATCCAAGAAATCATTGATTGCTGCTACAATCACGGCTATACCGAGTGTGTTGGAAACGGCGACATCAAATCCTATTCAGATGACGGCCCTATTAACGTGAACGTTGCCCATAATTAGACATCGGCTCGATGAGCTTAAGGGCAAAGGAGAAAGGGCGCGGAAGGGGGTATAAAGGAAGATGTAACTAGAGACAGCCAAGCAAATTAAATCTGGTTCATCATATAGGAAATTATCTATCATCCATATAGTTTTGTGCAGACTTCTTCTGTATAGAGTAATATTGCCAGAGGTGTTGACATGGCATACCGGGCGCTAGAGATCATGATAAGTAGGGGTTGGGCTTATATAGAGTCTTACTGACTGTAGGCTTGTGTACTCAAGCATGTCACGCCTGTGCGGCTTCCCAGATACAACGATCACATAGACAGGCACCTCCCAACGCACCCATCGCCCATTCACGTCTCTTCTTTACCGGAAGACTAACGTCACAGTAGTGGTTTAGAATTTCCTCTCCCTTTTGAATGCCACCCTTAACGGGGCTAGGACTCCGACCCCATCTAACCTTCTCTTCCTCAGTCCTAGCAGTAAATGTAACCTCGCCGCCCCATTCCCACCGAACATTCGGATCGCAGCTGTGGTTTGCCAAGCACCACAGGGGGTGTACAGCACAAACCTCAGGGCCGCCATCCCACGTAGATAAACGACCAGATGCAGTCCCACGGAACTTGGCGTACAAGGTGTTGAGAACCCAAGTGTCGTATTGATCTAATGATTTAAATGGGTCGATTCCCATCTCATCTAGAATACGCATAGGTTGGACAATGTTAAGTTGGAAAGAAAACGGTAGCGTTGCGGATACAGGACACTTAGTGAAATTTGTATCCATATAATCTTCCTTTTTATCTGAGGCGGAGAAATCGCCCCATATATATTTGATTTCTGGAAGTTCAAGAGGGTGGACCCCTTGAGTAGCCGCCATCGCAATCGCACGCTCAAGTAATAGAAGATATAAATAATCGGCCTTGTCCTTTGGATCCGGAATATCTTTTCCGATAGATTCTAGCCCATCTTTCCCACACATTGCACCATGATACAGATTCTGCGCAAGATCGTGACACTTTTGGCTACAAAATATAGTATCATAGCAGTCCTCACAGGCCACGGGCGGTTCGGGCGAAGAGAGGTCTGGCAATCGGCCATTGCAAGCATCACATATGTCATCATGTAGCCGATTTGTTGCCGTTAACATCGATGATTCCTGTAAAAGAATTTCGCCAGGAGCAATGTCTTCCTTGGCAAACAAGCCGAGCTGGATAGAAACGCTGCTACCTTCCAAAGTGATGTCTTCTCGAATCTTTCCATCCACAACACTCTCATGTAAAGAAGGTAAAGCAATAGTCCGTACCTCGCACTTAGGAGCTACCTGTACCAGACATTCGTTCAAAAATTGCACTACTGCCGGTTTGTTACGGTCTGGTTCGTGGGTGTTCCATGGGTATAACGACCTTCTGGCATGGCCTTGAACAGGAAGTACCGTAGGATCAAAACTGGATACATCACCGGTATGGGAGGCAACAGTTTCTTTAATTTTGTCGAGCAAAGTTTCTAGCTCTATGTTTCGCGTAGTTTTGATTCCTTCAATAGGCAACTTCATAGCCTGGACACAGATCTCGTACGCATCTCTCAGACAACCACATTGCGCGAGGGATTTCACCAACAATGCGTAAACGTCAATGATATTTTCGTTATACTTTTCGTCTGAGATCAGTTCATAATTTTGGTTATCATCACTGCCACCACCATCTTGATTGCTATCCGTATCGTCCTTTGTAGATAGCGCCGCTAGAGATTGTTCTAGGCCTTGAGTAGAACTCGAGTCCAATGAACTTTGGAGCCCAACGCGTTGCTTGGCCGGATAGTCACTTGAATGCGGGTCAATAACGGAATCAAATAGAGTCAAAGCACGATAGGCATCTGCAGCAGCTAAATCTGGGAATTTAAGCGCCTCATATGTCAGGCCGCGTCGTAAATACCGAATTGGGTTATATGGATCAACTTGGATCAGTAAAGAGCATTCCCGCTGCTCCTTTAATAACTCAGCCTCGCACGTCTCATTTTGACCCGGGGACATTTCCATCCCATTTACTGCTCTCCTGAGCTTTCAGCAATTCACTGGTGGGGTACAAGCTCGACCTGGAATAATATGAGAGATGGATATACCGTAGAAACTAGTGGCGGTGCAAAAGAACTTGACAACGGTTGATATTATGAGTTGGCATGGGATATCGTAAAGTGACTGGTTTAGATAGTCGTGTGCTCGTTTGCAGCCCATCATTGCCCACCACCCCGAAAAAATCTGTATATCACGTGATATTCAATTGCCTGGAGTAAGAAGGCACAATCATAATAACATAGTGGCATCCACTTAAAAAAAGAATCATAACTGTTCCTTGCTATTGGTGACGCCTGGATAGCTGGTAGCTAGTATTCAATATTTCCTAGTATTCTTGAATATGCAACTAGCTCCATTGCATACAAATGATAGAAAGTAGAAGAACGCAACACCAGTCCCGATGCTTTTCCTTTTGTATTTTGTGGTTGGGAATAACATCAAGCAAAGTAATAAGGGAGGGTATAGGAAGAAATATGCACAATACGGGTAAAAGTATACTTCGAATGCCCATATATGCCCGGTAAATGGATAATTGATTCCTACAGAGGCACTATTTGAAGGTATAATCACATAATCTACATATAAAGATCGATTAGCTGATGACTGCAGACCTAACAAATACCGAAGTAGATAGACTTACAGAACAGTTCTCATCTAGCACAATCTGGTGTTCATCTCCCCCAGCATTAGTACCAGCGAATCCAAGCCTAACATTGTGTCTATCCCTGAGCGTTGCTGCTACACGGGCGAGCATGCTTCTCTAAATTTTCAAGAAATCCGTAAATGAGTATGCAAGTTGTTTTAAAATCAGGGTGAAAGGTACGGGCGCATCTGGGTTGGCGATATATCGGGTGGCAGGATGGGTTTTGTTTTAAAACAATGCTGCCCACTCGGCAAATGATAACCCTCTTCGGAGGATGGTTAAGGGTTGTAATAAACGTACCGTGAGAAAGGCCTCATTCATTCCCCCTTGGCGGTTCACGTCATTCTGGCTTAAAATCTGATAGCTGTCGTGTAGTCGTTTTCTACTCTCAAGTCCAATACCCCGTGCACTTGTTTGCCCTTCTCCTAAAACACTCTCGACGCCAACAACAAGATTGGATTGAGCATCAGGGTCAGCGATGTTAATACCATTGCTAGCATCATGTTGTGCTCGGCTATCGGGCGAAAATATTTTGATTGTTTGGTCAATGCCTGATACTGCGAGCGTCGGTTCATAAGGGTGACCTAGTTGTTTCCAAGTGAGCACATAATACCAAGCTATAAGATCTATATCTTATCAAAAAAAGGGCTCCTCGTACCTTGCACAACATTTACAACTTCGCTATCCCCGTTCAGAATGTTTAGTAGATCAGATGTCTTTCGATCCCATATGAAGACATTGCCATCATCGCTTCCACTAACAACATATTCGTCATCCAAGCCAAAGTAATTAACGTCTTTAACAGTTTTGACATTGCAATGCCCTTGGTAGACGTTTATATGGGAAGAGCAGGGAACATGCGACTCAACTGAGTTGCGCCACGTTGACGGTAGTTGAGTCGATATTCCAAATTCGTCATCTTCATCATCCCTAAATCTCTCCTCCTCAGAGTCATAATCACTGCTATCGCTATCACTGTAGGAATCGTCATCGTCGTCATCTTGATCTTCGGATGAATTTCCATCATCATGACCCTCATCAGCATCAACATCAGAAGTGACTTCTGGCTGTAAATGACGATTATGACGTTGTGGGGATCTGGTGAGAATGTGGAGTTCGGAGATTTCTTGTTCTTCCTCATTAGGATCAATGTCCTCTTGTAACCTTTCTCTCCCATCGTCCTCGTTATCGTCCTCCTCCAACGTAGCTCGAAGGCCGCCAAAGGCTCGATTGACAAATTCGAAATTGACACCTTCACCAACGTCCATCAAAATGCCCCTTCCTACTTTTAGGCCCCAGAATCTAATCGCAGCATGGCGATCAAGAGCAGATAGGTTAGAGACATCACTTAACATATCCTCACCCTCAACTGATGACAACGATGCTGAACCAGAAAGATCTTCTAAAGGGAGCTTGATTGCCTGAGCAAAGGCGTTTACTGCATGAGACTGAGAGGTGAATATCATCCGAGACTCGTCAAGCTCGAATCTGGACGTATCAACGTTCACTATCGGGTTGCCTCCGGCCAAACCCTTCAAGTATGGTATCAAAACGGTATCGATAGCCTCATCTGTTGCAGATTGAGTAATAGGAAATCTAGCTGAATTGCGGCGTTCGGTAGGAGACTCTTTGAAGCCTTCTAGTAGGGCTGATCTCCCGCCTTCAAGCCAAAGTAAAATAGCCTTTAAAAAATCGTACCCAAATTGGCTGCTTTGATCAATGATGCCATTTTCAGTAGGAGCCGGCTCAATACGACGGAAAAATTGCAGCTGTGGGCTGTCACCACCCGATGCTGTCTGAATTCTACCGCCAAGGGCCCTGGCTAAAGTACCGGAGGCCTGGATAAATCGACGAGATGATTCTCGATTACTGCGTAGAGCTTGTTGGAAAACCACTTCTGCATGAGTGGGGTTTAGAGGATACGTCCACTTCCTTATTACATCGTCCATTTCGGGTAAATACGTTGCTGCGAGGCCAAGGACAGCAGTAAACGAAGAAGTATATGGTGTGGGATCAGAGGTTGGCTGCTCCTCGGCCGCCTCACGAGTGCAAGAATCAACTGAAAAAAGTAACTTTCGAACTTCAACAAGCCCCTTGGCTATACGAAGGCTCAGCTTTTGCGCCTCATTGAGGACAGATTCACGTGCTCTTTCTAGGACTTCTTGGGGAGTGTCGGCAGAATTTGTGCCTGGAAGTGAGTCGAAAGGGATATCTTCAAGCTCACCGTTCCTATAACGGACTCTAAAAGCTAGATCTTCTGATTCGTTGCTTTCAGGCCGGAGACGCGACTGATGACGAGATCCGCTGGTAGTAGAGCTGGCGGATCGGGCTTTTCCGCGCTTCCTTTTTCGGTTCTTTGACTTCTTGGCTCTTCCGGAGGCAGTGCCATTCAAACACTCCTTTCCATCCCCTTCTTTGTGGCCCAGCGCATCATCGCTACGAACCAAATCAAAACTGTAAATATGTTCTCCAGACCAGCTGACAATCATCTCATTTGGGTTAGCATTGCTAATTTTGCAAGCCGTAATATGTCCGTTGTCTCTCTTCTTCATCCTCTTCTGGCCTCGTGGGGCAAATCTCCTAACACAGCGTGTAGCCTTGCCCATAAGCTCGTTTTCATGCCAAGACTTAGGAGGGCTGTAGCTTCCCGGCTGACCGCGCTCTTCCTCTAAGTCACGACCTAGCATCCGCCTATCGTGTAGGAAGCAATGGAGATGAGCACCCCCAAGAGCAATGTAGTGTGGTTGGCTCGAGGAACAAGATATGGTATTCAAATCGAGATTATATCGTTTATACGATATTAAGGGTGGAGGTACATTGGAGTCGTCGTGTCTCAAACCTGGTCTGAACGCCATGAACCCCTGACCACCACGGGGAGATGGATATGCAGACGACGGTTGACGCAAATCCCATTGCCTCACTTCCCCATCCTCTGAACAAGTTAGAAAATGATGAGGTGAATTTTCCGTCACAATTCGCTTGACTCGATCGGCGTGAGATCTGTACACTCTGGAATTTGTGTTATTTTCTGTTAGATAGCACATTCCACTGAAGAAATTATTAATCCTTCGTCGTCGAGCAGAAGTAAAGGCAGGGGTCGTTGTATTTGCAGATCTCCCTTGATGTTCGATATCAAAAACACGGACTTCGGAATCGCCGGCACAGGATATCAGTGTCCCGTCATTCGAATGTGGCATAAATTTCACAGAAAATATGTTTGCTGAATGGCCTGTAATAACAGTTGTTTTGAGGAAGAACGATACGTCACTTGATTCCGGTTGATAAGAGAAGATGTTCAAGTGTTTGTCATCGGAACCCGATGCAAGAAGCTTTCCAGAGTTTGACCATCTATCAAATATAATCAGTCAGCATCACTACCAATTGGCTCATTTATTATTAGGGAGAGGATTTGAAACTGTACAACATACGCTAGAGCGTTGACGCAGCCATTATGCCCTCCCAGTTCATTAACTATGTCCAAGTCGTCGATCCACGCCTTATCACCATATATTCCACGAACACTGGAGTACAAAGTATTATCACCTTGCTCCCTAAGAAGCAAGCGTTTATGTAGTGTTGACTTCATGATTGCGGTTTTGAAAGCTGGTTTCAAGCATTCCCTCTGTATTCTCGTGTATGCATCCTCCAGTGTTGCACCCTAGTGCACGAAATTTTTTAGGCTCCAAGCGTGTTATAATCACGCTGAAATTTTTATTGCCCCGACTCGAAATAGGTAGTTGTGAGGTGAACGTAAAAACGGTTGTAGTTGATAACGGTCAAGGTGTTGTCTGAATTGACCCGCACTCAGAGCTTGAGGATGGTCGAAAAATTCTCCTTATCTCTCCGGGAAAGCAAAGTAATTCTTTATATGACTCGAGCCTTAGGTCTATATTCTTGGGAAGCTCCAAGCCCCCTGGCAACAGCTCGAAACAAGCTGCAACTCGGCCTGAGGCGAGTTACCAGGCGAGACTGACAGGCTAGATGGTGAATGGAGAATTGGAGGGCGGCTGAGAGGCTCCAAGAGCCCAGCGTGCCTTGATACACAACCACAACCAACAGTCTGAGTGCAGCTTCTTCTCCGTGTCTGCAAGTCAAGTTTGTTCTGATAGTTAGTGACTTGTAGCTTTTTGTTGTCTTCAACTTTCGGCTTCCGCTTCTTACCCCACAGGGAATTCTGATTAGCTAATATATCACGTGAACAATGATGATCTCATCGAATTGGCACAATTATTACATAATTAATTAAAGCTACATATACATAGAAGGAATTATTTACTACTCTTTGGATTAACCCCAGGAGAGGTGTTCATTATCAATATCATGGTCGTAGTAGATGCGTGGCGGTCATATCCATAACATCATGAGTTCAATATATCCATGGATTCATCATCGCTCGGACATACCCCCAACACTCTCCAGCGCCCTCTCCATCCACAAGATTTCAAATTCCATAATCTCCATTTCAATGCTATGGATCATATCCAACTCCTCGATCATCGAGGTAACTAGTGATTTATGCCCCATAACAGTCTTCACAAGAGCAGAGCCAGAATAATCTATTGGCCCGCCGAATTTGTCTGTGTCTGGGGTGTTGGGTATATCCAGATCATCCAGGTTGCCAGACAGTTGGGATAACTGCACAGATAGAGCTGCAATATCCTCTTTCCACTGTTGAGGCAAGGGCTCAATGAATTGCAGCTCCCCTTCTTCGTTGACGTTTGAAAGGAGGTTATCCCTGTTCACATCACCATCATCCTTTAGCTCTCGGCTTTGCTTCAACTTAGCAACATGCTGGGTCCATTCTTCAAAAACCCCGACAACAGTATTATACTGGCTGTCATCCGACTCTGTAAGGTGGGTAACCTCCTGAATAACCCGCGACAGTATTCCCATCTGTATATTAAAGTCATGTCCGCTGCTTGAGCTCGCCGATTTCTCCTCAAACTTTTTGACAGCTTGAAAATTCTGGTACCTATGTCTCTCCTGCTCCCGCCGGTAGCTAGCCTTGACCGACTCATGTAGCTTCCTATAATGTTTCTCCGCGCGTGCTTCCCATTTTGCTTTGGTCTGAAGGCCTTGTGAATGCAAAACGTGAAGTTGGAGTAGTTCGGTTTGTAACGCAAGTGTCTGTGCAGGAGACAACGAATCCTCGTCAGGCGTAGGAGAAGGCGAAGGGTTCTCGAAAACTATCTCAGGAGAATTGGTGCTACTTTTTGAAGGTTTTTTGAGACCAAATCGCGCCTGGTACGTGGGCAATGGAGCTGCTGACAACTTGGATGTTAACGGATGTTGCAAGCTGAGTCTACTACCACCTGCCTGTGGCTTCGATTTCACCGCATCGAAGTTAATAATCTGGCTATGGTGCCTCGAGTGGGATGTGGGATTGACTAGTTTCGGCGCAGGTGGGTGCAGCAGCGACGAGGAACGCACTGATCTTGCCGGGGGTGCAGAGTTGGGTGGTCTCGCAAGGGCTCGTTTGGGTTCCAGCTTCGTAGGAGACCTAGTTCTGGATGAATTTGGATGCGATTTCACACCATCTGATGGCGCCGGTGCCGGCCTTGTGGGCTTAATAGCATCTAATCGACTCTCCCCCGGCTGCTTCAATCTTGCGCTTTTCACTGTTGAGTGCGGTATCTGTAGACTCTGCGGCCTGGGAAGCGTGCGTCTTTGAGGCAGAAAACTCTTCTTCTCTGGAGTTCCATTCCCGCTTCCGCTTCCATATACGATACCAAACCCGCTGCTAGCTTCGTACTGTATCTCCGAGCTGGTGGTTAATCGTCTTAAGCCCGAACTTCGACCGCCCCGTGGTAGCTGCGACTGCTTTGTAGGTGATGACGGCTATATACTCCCCATCTCAGTTAGCTTATCATTGCGCTTAATTGATATTATTCACTTATTTCAGTTTTCCTTATGCTGAGCTGGAAGAATGAAAATAGCTTGCTTGTGACGGTCTGCGCGTACCCTTGAATCCTCGTTGACCGCTTGTTTTCTCTGAGGTTCACGAAAGGATAGAGATCGTGTTGGGATTGGCATGACGTGTTCTTCTTGTAGTGTGTCTGTGGGATATAATAGAGAAAATCAATAGGCCGCAGGGCTAAGTAATATATTTCTTAAGAGGAATAACCCTGGAGAAGTGGTAGGTGTTGGGATGTGGTTGGGGCTTTTGGCGCATCCTAACCTCAAGTCCAAGCAAGAAGGCGGCCGGAAATTAATCTAACACCAGCTCTGGACATCACACCATTAATTACACACAAATAATAAAAGGAAGTTTGTGGAGATGCATTCAGTTATACCCCTTCTACCAAGTCAAGTGATGAAAAAGAGAGGCAATAATTAATTTATACTGGTGGCTCTAATAAAAATATTCCATTGCCGAATGTACCAGTGCCCTTTATATGCCCTGTCCGAATGCACCTGGCCCAATGGTCCTCCTCTGTTTATTGTTTCATCATCACACAGCCCGGAAGAAGCTAGAGGTTCTCGCGCTTGGGGAATTTGACGGCCTGCGAGGCAGCTGAGTCGGTGAACCAGCTAACCTTCTCACCGCCGGCAGCATTTACCATTGCACATGGAAGCGAGCTGCCTTCATTCTCATCAAATATCTGCGCCAACACATCCTTCTTGCCTCCACCAGTTGCAACGAAAGCAATCCTCAATCCGTGCGTGACCACAGGCAGGGTCAGCGTGATTCTCTTCAGCGGTGGTTTGGGTGAGTCCTCTATAGACGCAACCCACGAGTCCTTCTCCTGCAGCAGTTCATGGCCTGGGAAGAGACTGCATGTGTGCCCGTCTGGCCCGCACCCGAGCAGAATAAGGTCGAAAACGGGTGTCTTCACACTATCCTTGGCAGCAAATGATTGTCTCAGCTCATCCTGATACTGGTCTGCAACCTCCTGGATATCGTCATTGAGTTCAATTGGGTGAACCTTTGGCTGGCCTAGCTGGCTTGTCGGTATCTTGTCGAGGAGCTCGGTCTTCAGTAGACCATAGTTACTATCCGGATGGTCGAGGGCCACCACACGCTCGTCTGCGAAGAAAATATCCCACAATGCGAACCTGGGCGTGTCTTCGTCTGTGCCGTCGCCGGGAGCAAGCAGAGAGCTCGCTAGAACGGCTGGGAGTGAGCCACCCGAGACTGCGACTCGAAAGGTCGAGTGTCTTGCTATCGCAGCATTCTGCGACTGGAGCACGTACTTCCTGAGCTGTTTCTTGAGGTTGCCCAGATCGGGGAACGAATAAAGGCTGGGGGAACCTCCCGTCATGATGCTGAGTGTGGTATCAAGCTAGTTTGTCTCGTCTATCGCATCGTCTGTTTCAACTTGTTTACTTCTTCTGGGTTGATAGAAAGAGAAGGCGGGGAGATGGTCACGTGGTGACGAAGTATACAAGGAAGAGAAACTGAGAAGAAGAAAAAGAAACAGGCGGAAAGCGATGAAGAGGCATGAAGAAGCATGGAAAGAGGGAGAGAGAGAGTATCTTTATGGGCATTTCTCTAGGTAATGGTTCATGCCTACTTGCCCACTGCTAGAAGCATAGAAGGAATGGATGTACAGCAATTGGCCGGATCTCTACTTGTTGGCAGCAACATTCAGTGCCATATTTGATTGACTGACATGATATCAGGCTAGACTGTCGACCAACCCATGTCCCGATGCAAAAGGCATGAAACGCCGCATGCCGTCGTGAGAACATGCTCTCTGGCGATAATTGCCTGGGAGGAATACATACTATGAAGTATATGCTGGGTAGCGGTTATATTGCCCAACAAGGCTGTTATAGCGATTGGTTGCATATATTGTTACGATATTCTTACCCAGATGTACCCATCCGTATGGAGTACTTGCCCTTTGTACAGCTGGATCTCGCATATCAACGTTGCAGGGCCTGGCCAGGCTCCCATGAATCCGTTATTAAATCGCTACATGCATGCAACGAAGGGACGGCTCTGTACCCTGGAAAACTAACATGCGAATTGATTGATTCCAGGTATATTACATGCGAGTGAAAAGTGTTGGATAATGCTACGAGGGTCTAAGCGAGTGGACAAGGCAGGGTCGTGCTTCGTACCCGGTGCCTGACGTCTGGCCTTCTTTACAGACTATTGATTCTTCGCATGCTCCGTACTGGCACGGACTGGGCCCTGTGGTGGAATGCTCTGGAAGGAGAGTGGCTATCCAGCGACAGAATGCTGGTTGAAGTGGGCGTTTTGTCCTGGACTCCTAGTAAGATACCAACCCATCGCCTCCTTGATAGTTACTACATCATGCTGATATCCGCCAGTTATATCCGCACGTCCGAGTTTGCGGATTTTTAACTCTTCATGACTTCTCAGCTCGGTTATCGACCGTGCCAGAGTCATATATAGTATGGAGGAAGGTCATTGATCTGGAAGAAAAGATGTCCTTAGTCCAGACATGCTTAAAAAAGAAAAGAGAGGTCCATCTGCGACAGGCCATCAGCCAAAAGACACAATACGAGGAAGCCCCTGGAATAACGTGTCAAAGGCCAACAACTACCACACTACGACAAAGATGGATAAGGCTAAGGGTGGGAGAGAAAAAAAGAAAAGAGAGAGGAGGAAGGGTAAGGAAAAAAGCAAAAACGTCTTCAACTCTGGCTGGCCATGTGTCCAACCAAAACGTAATCCATCTCAAACCCTTCAACTGGCTCAAATATCTGGAGCCAGTGCTAACTAACGCCTTTCATGCGAGCCTCCGGGCGGCGCAAGGCCAGAACCAAAGGGACTATATTTATCCTCTCTCGTCCGCATCTCCCTACATCTTCACTCCCCTTTCTCCTTTCTCCCCTTCTTCTTCTTCTTCACCAAGGCGACAGCCAGGGTCGTTCACTCTTTTACTTTTTTTTTTCATGACCCTGTCAGCCATATAGTTATAAGTTATAATCTTCTTTTCTGCTCCCCTCCTCTTCAAGAAAAGGACGCCGTTTGATTGACACATTCGTTTACCTCCCTACGAGACTCAGAAATTCAACATCTACTCATTTAATGCTATAGTTAAATTAATTCGACTAATTTTGGCATCTAACATAAAAAATATATATTAAATGGTCGGATGGCGCTGCGTCCCATGATGCGGCTGTCGCCTTTTCCACCCGCAGCCACTATTTTATCTTGGGCTTTGGCGTTCAGCCTACTCGGTGGCATAATAACATCTCCAGTTGGCGCACATAGCATCAGGTTCCCGCTAGAATCGAGCATCGCGACCGTCGAAGACCCTCACCATCAGTCTGGGTCTGGCCCAATAGAACCCCGGTTGATCAATGTCGATCCACGCCATCAAGCGCCAGCAGACACCATCCAACACTGGCTGGAAGAAAGGGACTCTTCGAACGATGATGAGGATACAGCCACAACTACATCTAAAAACCAGCATTCCAAGCCTACCACAGCCTCAGGAACTTCAACGATACCGTCTATCTTGATCCCAACGCATACCGGTCCGATAAAAACTGACATCGTGACCGCATCTCCCACAGTATCCCTTGGGCCCTTGCCTACGGCCTTTGATACCAACCGCAGTGACAACACAACCGCTAGTTGCGCGACCTTCTTCGATAATTTCCTATCAAACTCCACCTTCAACGAGTGTGTCCCCGTATCCGTCCTCCTGACCACATCCAACTCCTTTTTTCAAAACACCAAATCTTTCGCCCTCATCACTCGCACGCTCGATGCAGCGTGCGATGTATCGGCGGACAGATGCACAAGTCTACTATCATATTATGCTGATATGATCGGGAGAAACGATGCCTGTGGTGAGGACCTGTCTCGGGGACATCCATTAGTCATTGCTGCAAAGACGGGTTTTCAGGCATACAAGGCGATGCATGATGCAACATGCCTGAAGAACCCGGAGACGGACAACTATTGCTTTGCCGAAGCCATCTCTGACCCAGACATGACGGCGAACGTGTACATCTATCACCTTGGACTAGGCAACTCACTGTCTGCTGGACGGCCAAAGTGTGGGAAGTGCCTAGCTGCTACCATGCAGGTGTTCAGGACGGCAGCCCGGGACAAGAAGCAGCCTGTTTCGGAGGTTTACGTCTCAGCTGCAAAACAGGTCAATATTGCCTGTGGGCCGACCTTTGTGTCAACTTCGATCTCCTCGGGCACGCGGTTGAGCTCTCGGTCACAGCCGCTTTCTCTTATATCCATATTCATTGGCACCCTAGCCTTCTTCTTACTCTCCTGATTGATATATATTTTAATACTTTCCTTTTATTTTTTTGCATTTCCTATTTATTGATGCAAACACGCTCAGCCAACGCGAGCTCTTATTCATGTCCATGCTTCTGTTTTCTCAAGGTATATATATTTATCCCCCCCTTTTTCATTTGGCGAACTCGGAGTTTTACCCATGACAGGAACAAACGGAAAGCAGTGTTAAAAAAGGCGTATCACACCGATTCATTTCTGGCGTATAGGACTGGACTGGACTTAGTTCTATAGTGACATTAGAAGTCGCCTAGATCATTAATTATATACATATTACTAAAGACTAAAGAGTGAACGGTTCATATGTGTGGGCGGCAACAGATGTTCAACTCATAAATCTGACCTGCCACGTAATAACATATTACTCATCCACATATGTCACATATTAGCCGTGCTTACGTCACCACTCGGTGACTGCTCAACTTGGAAAAACTACCAACTTTGATCAATACAACCAACAACAATGTGAATGCCATGCCATGGTCATGAATAAGAGTACCACCTATTCCAGCCTTATTCCTTGATAATTTTCATTATCATTACGTCTTCACATCTGATCCAGATATAAAAAAAATATGCCAATTGTTGCTTTAGGGGAATCCACCATCAGGGCTATCGGCTCTGCGTCCGCTCTTCCCGACCCTTCATCCGTGGCCAAAGAACTTCTAGACAATGCCCTAGATGCTGGAGCTACCTCCATCTTCGTTGAAATCTCTGTTAATACCCTGGATATCATTCAAGTGAAAGACAATGGATCGGGGATACAACCTGCTGATCGCTCACTTGTTTGCAAGCAAAACTATACAAGCAAGATTCAGACAAAGGAAGACCTCAACACCATCAATGGGAAATCTTTGGGGTTCCGCGGACAGGCACTTGCCAGTATTGCTAAGATGAGCGACGCAGTGTATATTACGACACGTGTTATAGAGGAACAGGCTGCAAGGATTATAAAGTTTGGGCGTGACGGCAAACCCATAAGGTCAGTTCGTCATGCACTTGATTCCGCTCTAATTCTTCGGGGTCTCACTCTCTGGAGTTAATCCATTGGGTTCTCTGAGTGAAAATGTTTCTAGAGATTACATTTCTCTCTCCCAGAGTAATCTACATTGGCTCCTTTTTACCTTTGGGTGGCCAGTTCAGTAGGCTTTACTACTCAAAAGATACCCACCTATTAACTAGAGATGAGAGATTGATTTTCATTGGGGATATCTTCGCCCTTACGTCTCTACCCACCTTCTCAGCGTTACAATGATACATATGCTTTGATGCGCACATTCTCTTTGTTTCCAGAGGTCTCTAAATTCTAATAAGAGGAATTCCAGTGTCCGGGAATGTACACGAGTTGCTCTCTTCTCAAATGTGGAAGTATGAGCTCCCAGTTGGTCAGAGAGTGAGATTCCGAGGAATTGGGCATTGTTGTGTCTATCCTTACAGATTTCTTATAATATCAGTGACACCCTAGCTTCCCACCCCGTTGGGACCACAGTTCGCGTTATTGGCTTTCTAAAATCGTTACCAGGCAGAAGACAAGAAGCTGAGAAAAAATCTGCAAAATCTGCATTCAATATAAAAAAGTTACTCCAGAGATATGCGATAGCACGGCCGAAAACACGGTTCTCCTTTAGACTGTTGAAATCCAAGGACAATGATTGGGTTTATGCACCAAGCTCGGAAGCGTCCGTCCGTGATGCGATTTCCCAAGTTATTAGCCCCACAGTGATGACTAGTTGCATTTCCAGAAACTTATCATACCCGATACATGAAGAACGCAATAGTCCATATACTGAAGAAGAGGTTCATGACGTGTGTACTATCCATATTTCGACAATTATACCGAACCCCAGCGCAGGTAAGCTTAAATCCAGCACAAACGCCTAATCAAGCTAACCGGTCCAGAATGCCTGTCCAACGTTGACTACAAAGGGCAATATGTGGTTATTGATGGTCGACCAATACTAACATCTAAGGGTTTTGGTAAGGAAATATCCAGGCGTTTCAAGACACGCTTAAAACAAGCAATAGATGAGTCCAACGTTATTGCCGACCCTTTCATGTTTTTATCCCTAGACTGCCCACCTGGTATCTACGATATCAATATTGAACCATCTAAGGATGACGTTCTGTTTGAAGACCATCCAGTTATCCTCCAAATAATCGAGACTGCCTTCATGGACGTCTACTGCTTGGGAGCTTCTACCAACTCACATCTCATGGATACCCATAGAAACATTCCCAATAAAAATGATGAGCAAGCCAGCTTAAGTACTGGTGTTAGTAGCCCAGCATTATTTAAAGGAAGCGGATGTTTGCCAACGGTTATTGCATCCACCCCAACAGCTAACCCATGGAAACTATCCCTTTCTGCTCGGCAGCTTCGTGACCCTGGGCCTCACCTTTTAACTCCAGGCCGTGAGCCTCAATTGTCAACCAATTCTTTACCCTTAGATAGTCCATGCTACAGGATTACTCATAACAGGAACCCTATGAAGCAGACTACGCTCAGGCTGGACGGTTATAATAAATCACTGACCCTCACGAAGCAAAAGCCGGAGGCAGTCAGCAATGGCTCATTTCCAAGGGCCATCCCAACACAGGAATACCGTATCAATGTTCCCCACACTATTGGCTCCTTTCTACACGCACCTGTGAGGAATATAATAAGGGGAAATGAAGAAATTCATCTGCTACGACCATATCCTCATACAGCACCTTGTTCAAAAATCTCTTCCGTAGCCAAAAGCCCCCAATATTTCAAATTTTCGGTTTCTAATAGCTTCGAAGAAGTTACTCTCTCGGTCGGACATTCTATTCTCAGACATGCTCCTCATAATCATCGTATTGATTATGGAAGTCCAGGCTATATCCAAGTACCACCTACCTATAAATCAGTCGTTCCTGCTGATATATCCCTACGAATCTCCTCTCCCGATCTTACATCAGACTCTCAAAGGCCTTCAACGAACGGATATAACAACTCGGACGGTCGTCCCGTATATGGAGGTGAAAATGGTATGAACAATATTTCGGAGCAGGGAAGCCAATCTCCTATGGAATGCACACCGTCAGTAGACTCGGTGTATGAAGAGACAACACATTGCAGGCATGGAATCCAGGAGTTCTCTGATTCAATTAAGCTAATGGTCGATACAGACCACTATGTGAGGTCGGGGACTATTGAGGCAACATTTTCACAGGCTGATTCGACAAGCAACCTCAGCTACTGGACCAGCAGGCTTCGTGTCCTAGCTAAATAGCCTTCATTCCAGTGTCGGTTAAGCAGGATACAACTATCTCTTTTGTCCTCGCCCATGCCCTCAGGGTAAATTCACGGAAAAATCTAGAAGTTAAATTATTCTTCACTAACCCATAGTTTGCTGAAAAGTCAACAGGGCGAAGAAAAAGTGATGTTCATTCTTTTCTAAAGCCCCGGTCCTCAAAGAATCGTGGTCTCAATCATCCCTTAAAATATTTGCATAGATAATTCAACCAGCTTTATCAATGGGAAATTTTACTATCTGCAGCCCTCATATGCGTATAGTATATTACGTAGTATTTTAAAAGTTCTCCGATATATTGTGATCAAAGAGAGATAAATTCGGGGGCATAAACTTTGTACATAATGACAATGTCGGCCTATATCTTCCAGCCTTTCTAAGCGATGTGCGAAGCGGGGGGCAGTTACATTGAACTTTATAGCCTCTACATTTTTGCTTAAAGGTTCCTCTATCACTGAATTGACATAAATCTATTCTCCACCTCTGCCATTCAAATTGGGGAAGGTAAGCCTAGATAGCCAAGCACCTATTCATTTTCATCGAAGTCATCAAATGGCCAATGCTTCTGGGTCATTTCTTGATCATACTTGTTGTCAGAGACAGAGGCAATTGCCATCTTCTTAAGCTCCTGTTCCCGTTCAACTGCACCTTTAAACATTTCGTTTGACGTCCATCCATCAATGCTTACTCCAATAGCATCTCGAATTCGAGAGAGTTGGGTATCCATCTCTTCATATTCCCTTTCAATGCGGAGAGCTTCCCGGGCTTCTGATGGGTCGAAAGTCACAGGGCATTGAGGTATATGGCAGTTAGCGTTGTCCACCTGTTGATCGTCTGCGCAAGCAACGATGATATTCCAATTTTTCACGATATGTACTAAATCCGCTTTTAGCTGAGCGTTATTCCCTTCCCAGGGAGAAGCAGCATGGATAAACGTTTTCCGTTTTAATAGATGGTTTGAGTTTGTGTCAAGGGCGCGAAAATGACACGGGTTAAATCGTTTCGTAAGTTCAAGATAATAAAAGTGTAGGTGTCTCCTTCGAAACTTTTCTAGTGCAGCAGAGCGTTCATGTGGATTCATTTCATCTAAGTTATCAGGTAGTTTAGGAGGGGTGAAACTGAGTGATTCCTCATCGTCATAGTTTTGAATGTAGTGTGGAATCCCAGCCGCAAGGAAGAGGGGAAGGGCGGAACAGTGTTGCCAGTCAATTAAACCAATTATGTCCAAGTCCTTGTTAACAAAGATATTGTTAGGCTGGAGGTCAGGATGGCGCAAGATTGGCCTCTGTAGACCTTTGTCGTGCGGGACAAGATAAGGTATGATTTTTAGGTACTTCTCAAGAGTTTCGCTATATTCCTCCGGAGCAGACTTTTGATAATTCGTAGCTTCCCTGTATCCTCGTTCAAATGGAAAGCGCGGTTTCGCATAGGACTTTAACCATGCTAATTCTTTCTTCGCTGCAGCCTCCATACACTGACCGGCATCTAAATCTAAATGAGGCTTTTAGAAATTCTTTGTCCCCATGTTTATTATTTTGAGCATAACTTACGCGGACAGCGATTGATGTCACGGAGAAAGGACCGTTCCGCATACCACCACTTCAAAGACGTGTCCGGCCCAACACAGATTTCCGGGCAACCATGAGGAAGATTAGAATCCCGGGACAGGTAGACAGCAACTTTCTGCAATTCCGGGGGTAAATCGCGCCAATAATATAAACTACCGGATGCTGGAAGCTGGATTGCAAATAACTTCGCCTCAAGTTGGACCAATCCTGCTAAGACTTTTAACCGTTGTTTATCTGAAAGTGTATACCACGAATCCCCAATTGGGGTTCCATTAACCTTCCCCATAAGAATGAATTCCGCGCCAACAGAATTGTCAGGATTAGCAGAGTAACCAAGGACTTTCGGCACGGGAACATTATGGTAGCGGAGAAGGCCCAGCGTTGCAACCTCGTTCGCAACAGCAAGCCTTGTAGGGACGGTAGAAGGGTAGGGTAGCCGGGCGAGAATCTGGGTATTATCACCTTTCATTGTGATTTCAAAAATACGATTAAATCCGCCTTCTGCAAGCTTCCTGAAGCTCTGGATATCGGCTTCATGCCGGTCAACGGAGGCAGCAGCAACGCGTTTAAGCTCTTGGACGTTAAAGACTAGGGCTCTTTCAGCTCGGCGAAGCGACTCGTTGTATCTGTAAATAAGGGTTTGATTTCATCAGCCTCTGCAGTTCTATCTGTATGCATGCAGTGACACTCACATCCATCTACCAGAGGTGTACTCAAACAAGTGTTGATTCGGTTTATCGGTCGCACAAGAGCTGATAAAACGTATTCCAACAGACTGCCTGTGGGAGGCCTTCAAAGAACTCCAGTAGAACATGGTTACCAGGCAAATAGAGGAATGCGAAGGCGAGCGTAACCATCGTGACGTGACTGACATGGAATTACGTTGTAGACTTTCAGTTCCCGTTGATGGAAGTTCCTTTGCCACGATCGACCAGATATCACTCCGCCGTAGTGCCATAAGTAATAATCGGGAAGGTTAAGGTTCCTCCCGCTCCCGTTAAATGTTGTACGAAACTTTCACCGGTATGAAATTGCCCCAGCTGCAGTGTTTTACACACTGCCTGTACTGGCACTGCCGGAGAGCTACATTGTCAATATGAAGGGTGCCACTTTACCCGGGTTGGATGAGGGTGTGATCATAGTCGTAATAACTGGTTACAAAGTGTTAACTAGTTAGATGTTAGTCACACTAAGAATGATGGACAAGGATTATGAAACTAGTCATTCTCTTCGAGTCATCATGTTTGCCTCCTCACACTCAGATAATTACTCCGTACATCTTTGGTTAACTGGTGAAAAAAAAAAAAATGGCAGTTCTTACGGTTGCCTCCAAGGCAAACCATTCCCTCTTACTCCCTGCGCTATTAGCTGCTGAGTACGTTAGCCTGACAGATACCAATACCCCAATATCTACCGTGCTTGAGACGGTAGAGTCCGTAGGTCCAGCAAAAGAATACCTTAAACTATCCACGCAAGATGGAGTATTGATCTACGACCAAGATGTCTACGGTTACCTACGAGAAAATTTTCCAACTGCCCAGGTTGGTAGCAGTGATGAGGTATATACTCGTTAACCAACTCCACAATATTGCCCCTGCCTCGATTCTAACTAGTGATAGGTACTGGAATGGATCACTCGGTCTCTAGATTTGTCACCAGTCAATTTCAAATCCGTAGAGCAACCGCTCAGAGAACTCGAGAATCATCTTTCCCTGAGATCATTTATTATTGGATACTCGCTTACCCTCGCGGATATTACCGTGTGGGGGGCTATACGTGGAAACAAGGTGTCAATGTCCACCATAAAACAACAAAGCGGAAATATACTGAGATGGTTTACTTTAATTGAGTCTTTAAATCCCTGGATGAGCCGAGTTGCATTTGATCTTGAAGCCCCTGCCCGTGAGAAACGAGTTGCTATGAGCGCTGCTGGCGCCAGCTATGATATCGGCCTGGATACCCAGAGAATTGTTACTCGATTTCCACCAGAGCCTTCTGGGTATCTACACATTGGCCATGCAAAGGCTGCTTTGCTTAATGATTACTTTGCCCATAAGCAACCAGGGGGTACACTTATATGTCGATTTGATGATACAAACCCCTCAAAGGAAACTTCGGAGTTTCAGGATGCAATTCTGCATGACCTCCAGCTACTTGGGATTACTCCCGATAAAGTTTCTTTCTCTAGTAACTACTTTGGCCAAATGTTTGAACTATGTGTGAAGCTAGTTTCTGAGGGCAAAGCATACGCAGATAATACCGACAAAGAAGTGATGAATCAAGAGAGGCGTGATGGTGTTGCGAGTAAATGCCGCGAACTTACTGTTAAGGAGAGTCTCTATTACCTCACACAAATGAAACTCGACACCCCGGAAGGGCGAGGATGGTGCATTAGAGCGAAGATCTCAGTGGATGATCCTAACAAGGCAATGCGGGATCCAGTTATATATCGATATAACTCTCAGCCACACCATAGAACTGGAAATACTTGGAAAATATACCCTACTTATGACTTCTGCGCGCCGATTCTGGATTCCATTGAAGGCATTACATATGCTCTTCGGACGAATGAGTATAGAGACAGAAATCCTCAATATACGTGGATTCAGCAGGCTTTAGGCCTTCGCGAAGTCATGATCTGGGATTTTTCTAGGATGAACTTTGTGCGTACTGTTCTGTCGAAAAGGAAACTTGCGCTACTGGTTGAGAAAGGTGCAGTTTGGGGCTGGGATGACCCAAGGATGCCTACTATTCGTGGTATTAGGAGAAGGGGGATGACTATTCCTGCCTTGCGTGAATTTATTCTTAAGCAAGGACCTAGCAGGAATATCATCAACCTTGATTGGACGTCGATATGGGCTGCCAATAAGAAGATTATTGACCCGATTGCTCCCCGGTTTACTGCCATCTTGAAGGAAAATATAGTGTTTACAACGGTTTCCGGTGCTATGGAAGAAACTTTAGTGGAGCAGAGACGGAAACATCCAAAGAACCCTGATCTTGGAACGAAGAGTGTCGTCTATAGTAGTAAAATCTATCTTGAGCAGGAAGATGCGCAGTCCTTTTCGCTCAATGAAGAGATTACGCTGATGAACTGGGGAAATGCAGTTGTCCGCCAAGTTACTCGTAATGAGATGAAGAAAATCTCGCATATCGAGCTGGAGCTTCACTTAGCTGGTGATGTGAAGAAGACGAGCAAAAAGATAACCTGGCTTTCTCAAGACCAAGGTCTCGTCCCTGTGGAATTGGTTGATTTCGACTCTATCATTACGAAAGATAAGCTGGAGAAGGACGATGACATATCACCGTTTATCAACTGGAATTCCGAGTTTCGCTCCTATGTCTGGGCCGATTTCAATACTGGTGAACTTCGGGAAGACGATATCATCCAATTTGAACGAAAGGGTTACTATCGGGTCGACCGCCCGTTTTCTGGGGGACGGTCCGCCACTTTTTTCTCCGTTCCTACCGGCAAGACACTCTGAGATGTCCTTGGTGAGTATTGCATTAAACATTTCTGGCCATCCAAATGAATCATTTCAGTCGATTCTATGTTTTCTCTGCTCTCAAATGAGCTCGTAACCCTCTGCACCAGACACCAGTTGTATGTCCGCCTCCTTAGCCTTGCCTATGTGGATTATTCACGAAGAGATGGTTAAATAATTACAATCAAATACAATTCTTAACATCTAGCTTATGTAGCTTCATTCTTAAAACAGGTTTTCATGAGCGGTAGCAGCAGGCTTTTCTTGTTAAATCTAGGACAGAGAATTAATCTTGTGAAGGATAAAATTCGTACAAAACGTCCAGTTATAGTCAAGGGCAAGCCTCCATGATATATCAGGTGCGGAGAATGACTCTTATGAGAGCGGGCTGTCACAACTTATTTGGACTTGTCTACTACTATATAGAAATACCTAGAAGAGCCCAATTCTAAAAACTGCCTTCAAGCAACGTCATCAAAAAGATGCCCAACCCTCCCTCACTGTGGTTATATAGTCTTCCTCGCCCACGCAATCATTCAAAACTAGCCATGTAGGCTTCTATGTTCTATATAAAAGCAATAACCCATATTATCGATGAAATGGATTCGACTACCCGAGAAAATATTCTAGAGCGCCAGCTGGTAAACCTGAAAGCTATACGTGGGCTTTTGACGGTTGAGCAGGAACTGGAGATTCTTCGGAATTTCTTCCACAGATGCACTCAGAACCGCCAGGTCTTGTGGAGCGGTGTTCCGTATCATTGCGTTCAGCTATGGGCCAAGAATCATGGGATGCAGACGCTGAGCATGGCCATGGGCCCATTGATGGATAAGAAAGACCCATCGTGTCCCAAATCGAGTATGGGGCCGAATACATGGAGCAAATATATAAAGGGAGCCTCAGCCATTTTTGCCTTTTATATATCTCGGGGCGGATCAGTCATAGTTTTAACGCCGCCTCCTCCATTCAAGTTTAACCCTTCGGGGGCGACGAACTACCAGGCCATTGAGGAGCCGATTGTGAAAGGGGTATATGGGGGCCGCGCCGTATCGCGGATCGAGTTTGTGCATCCGACTGTCCGTGGCGCGGAGGACTTTTTGTACCAAGCGTGGCCCAACGATCAAACCTCCATCTGGGTTGCGAACTTCGGATCTTTGCCCGTCGAACAACCACTATGGCGAACGGCGCGAATGGTTATATCGTTACGAATAATTACCAAGGAAAATGAAATAACTGCGGGTCAGCCTATCATACAGGATACAGGCGCAGCAAATCCAGGGATCAGGGAAAAAAAGGTAGTAAGAGTCGTATCTCTTTGCGTAAACACCTAAGAAGCAATGGATTAGGAGGCTAACATAGCCAAAGGAGATCACATCTACGGCGAATTCTAACTCACAAAGGGGGAAACAAACCAAAGCTAAGAAAAACGCCAATGTCAACGCTGTGCCTAAGGACCGGAAGAAAGAGAAGGCAAACCCGGAGAAAGGAAAGGAGATGAAGGAGGAAAAAGAGAAGATGAAACAGAAGGCAAAACCAGAGACAGGAGAGAAGACGGAGGAGGGAAAAGAGAAGAAAAGGAAAAAGAAGAGGAAAAAGGGGGGGAAAGAAAAGGAATGCTATATTTGAGCTTCCGTCGAGTGTCGAATGACCAGGCTGAGTCGTAACGTCTATCAGATAGTTAACAAGTTATTTGTCGTAGTTATAATCTGCCATTCGGCCAAAAAGGCGAGCCCGCACCAATTGGCGGCAGAGAGACTGGTTATATTTTTGATATTATTTCTGTTAAGTGTAACTAGGTAGTTTACGTGATGATCGCTAGTTATCGTCATAGCTGGGATATAAAAACGTCTTAACTAGTTGTCTCGCCTTGCAACGACATGACTCTCGCCTGGACCTTTTCTAGCAAATATCTTACTCTTGTTTACTTCATCTGCTAGTTATGGATTCGGGTGCTGCTGATGACAAGCGAGTCTTGCAAACCTACGGGAAGACCCAGTACGCGCAATGTAACTATGCTGACGCGCTCACTGCTTTCACGACGGTATCTTACCACAAACCCCGTATCAGCTCTGAGGCCGGACTTGAATCTTTCTAATGGAGGGGAAATATATAAATCCAGGCCTTGAGCCAAGGAGAAGATGATAAAATAGGGATACTGAACAGCAGAGCCGCGACACACTGCAAACTAGGAAACCTGGACCTGGCACTCAAGGATGGGAGACAAATGATTGAAATCGGTGCCTCGGATGCAAGAGTATGATATTTCTATACCGCCCCCATAGGCAAATGGCACTGGTTGTATACGATACTGACACTTCTAATCTAGGGGTATCTGCGAACAGCTCAAGTTCTGCAGCTGAAGCGGAGGCTGCATGATGCCCTGCGATTATATGAATATGCCTTGAAATGTGTAGATGCAAGGGACACCAACCGTCCTGTAAGCCCATACTCCTTTATCAACTTTTGAACATAAGCTGACTTAAACGTAGAAAATTGAACTGCTCAAAACGAAGCTGGACAAGGTTTTAAATCCACCACGACGGGATCCATTCGCCGTATTACCACCTGAGCTGGTTGCAATGGTTCTACAGTATTTGAATTTGCGAACACTAATGTAGGTGGAAGCCATTGTGTCCTGTATATGTGTGCAAGTCTACTAACTGACACCTCTGTGGGTGGACAGAACGTTGCTTCGGGTCTCCAAGAGATGGGCAGAACTAGTAACGTCCATGGGCAAAGCCTTTTCATCCATGGACCTCTTTTTGGCGAGGAGAACAATTCCATTAATGGCAGTCCGTGCATATTTTCGGCGACATGCTAATACCATCGAGGTCGCTACCCTTGAGCGCCTCTCCCCGCAGAATGCTACGAAAACTTTAACCTGGCTCTCTAGATGCCCCAAAATTAATGACGTTACTTTGAATAACAATCTGGCACTACCGACAGATATTAGAATTCTCCATACATTCACTGGGCTGAAGAAATTGAAAATACCGAAATTTCCGCTAAGTTTCATGGAATTTGACTCTATTCTCACTATGGTTACCACGCTCGAATGCATTGATATTTCAGCAAAAGCCCCCGAAAAGTTGGGGGACTGGAGCTATTGCTCCCGTGCGCCACGGCTGCGAGCTTTGAAGATAACGCTGGATTATATATCAATCACAAGGCCCTTTTTCCTCGACGTAAGTAAGACGAAACTCATGTTCTTTGGTGTGGGAGTCGTGCTTAACATGGTCGTGTGCATAGAGCTCGTTAAGTGATAGAATGCCTGCTCTTGAAGAGCTGAGTATTCTCGGTGACGATGCAAAGATCTTGCTTCATGACCTGGATACAGATTTGTCAGGCCACCCATGTTTACGCGAATTTTACATTACCAATGTCACTTTGGATGCTCATATCAAAGCCCTACCAAAGTCTTTGGAATGTTTATCCATGATCCTTGTATCTAGCTCACGCATGCCCATCCACAGCTACAACTTTCTGGAAGGCCTCTTTAATTTAAAGGAGCTATACTACCACAGGTCCTCTTACGACATAGACTACATGCTCGAAAGATACTTCTCTGCTTTGGAGCCACGCTCGACTCCGATTTTGACGACACTTGGATTGTCAAACTGTCAAGCGTCTGCAGGGAATCTAGTCCCTTTAATGAAGAAGGGCCATCTATGCTCCATAACCGACTTGATTATTTCCGGTATCATTGGGGTGGATGATAGCATCACTGAAGTTATGGTCGATACAATGCCAAATCTAAAAAGGCTGGATATGTCGGGCACTATAATCACGGGCTACTCGATCAAGCTATTAGCTGATGCACCGAATATGAAACTAGAAAAAATGGCCTTGCATAGCACTCTCAATCCAATTAACAGAGATGCATACGAGTATGGGAAGAGTAAAGGGATTACATGGGAGGCAACCATTACTTCTAAGATTCCGTGGCTATCATAGCTCCTTAGTACTAGTCTGCGGTATGTAAATACCTTGGCGCTTTATGTCTTAATATATAAAAGGGATGAAACCCGTAGCTTTTATTCTTAATCTAAATTTCTAAGGCCTTTATAAAATAAAAGACCGCAATGTATATATGTGAATGGAACGACATGCCTCCCGCTAGTCCATCATTAGACGCTTCCGGGGCAGATGAAGGGAAATAGAGAGGGGGAAAGGGAAGAAAGAAGGCCAAGGCAATGAAAAGAACTACTTTACTGGCCTGTGGGGACTCCTCGCTCCTGGCACCACTTGAGAACTTCCTTATCCAGTTTATCCCTCTGGTCTCGTACAAGCTCTATCATCTCCTCGACTTGGTCCTTGTACTTGTCAAATGATCCGAGGTTCTCACTCTGTGTGCCGGCTCCGTTCTTCATGAGTGGAACGACAGCACTATCATAAGTGGAGATCATGAGGTCCATGACGGCAAAGAGCTGGTTTGGAAGCCACTATTTACATTGTCAGTAACTATATACGTTTAGGAGGGTTAGAGTCGAGCTTACAGTGACGATGGGGCTTCCTCCGGTGGCGGTTGGATGGGCGGTGCGCTTAATGATGTATTCTCTGGCAAAGAGCCAGTGTCTCCATCGGAAGCTGCGGACATGGTCAAGTGTCTTCATGTAGAGGAACACGGTCTCTGGGTCCTGCATGGAATACTTGGGGATGTCGAGCTCAGCAGATTTAGCAGCGACATGGGCAAGGAACTTGCGGTGGGGCATGGGACGGTATGCACGGAACTCATGCAAGATCTTCGTCAGGGGGGTGTCTGGCATGGGGATCTGGCAGAGGTGGTCAAGGAGTGGGATCTATTAACAGAAGAGAAACGAGGCCATTAATTAATTGTATGCTTGTGTTTGGTATTATCACAAGGGTGGCTCTTACAATGCTGTCGTTAGCTCCGGACTCTCCACGGAAACTCAGGGGCTGGTTGTCTTCAATGCCCTCGTATACAACACCGTTGGGGAACATGGACTGGGAAGTAATGCCAAAGATGAAGACACGGAACGAGATGTAATCACCTGGCTTGGAGTTCTTCCACATATCTATAGTTAAGATGTAAGTAAGGTTCTATGATATTGGGAAAGAATATGTTAAAGGGGGTGCTGTAAACATACCTTCCATGCAGGCTTCAATCTTTGCCATGCCCTGAAGGATAGTTCGGTAAGCATCGTTGACAGTAGCACGGTCAGCACCTTGCTCAACGGCATTAAGGATACGGACGACACCATCGACAAGGGAGCCTGTCTCCTTAACCATGTAAACGTGGGTCAGGATGAAGCCGGCTTCAGAGCTAGTAGGGTCAAGGCCGTGTTCGAAACCACGGATGAGCCTCAAGTTAGAGTAGTCATATCCTTTGGTGGTGTCTGCCAGGGCATAGTTGTATAGAGCATAAGAGGCAGCATATGAAAGGAATGGAGGGAGATCCAAACTGTCAATGAAGGTTAGCATAACGCTACTTCATGATACGGCACCCCAAAGACAGGGGATATATGAATGACAGTCAACAGGGTAGTAACATACATCTGAGCACATCGGTACATTGGACCAGCAATAGAGTGGGGGAGCCTATCCCGTCCAAGGCCGTAGCCCTGTTCCGGAGACGTGTTCCAGGACTTCCAGCAGGGTTCTAAGAGGTATGAAGAGGCTAGGAAAGAGTAGTCTCTGAACACGGCAGTAAGGGTATACAGATCCGGCTTCCCATCAGGGGTGACGATCTTGTCAATCTCATCCGTGAGATCCGGGAGCTCAGCATGGACGACAGAACCAAGCTCATAGGTAGCAAGGAGTCCAGGGGTTCCATCAGCCTTCCGGACGGGGAGACGGTCCATAATAGAGGTTAGAGGAGCAAACACCTCCGGAAGGATAGTTGGTGGAAGGATGGTTGGCATAAATCCTGAGGCAGCAGTGATGGTGAAGGGGTCCACAGACTTAGGAAGGGTTTTGGGGTCATCAAACACATGAGGAAAAGCCTTCATGGTTGAAGTAGGGATGTCCTCGATCCGAGTCATGGTGAAAAGAAGGGGGTAAGTGAATGGGTGAAGGTGGTTATAGGGGTTATAGGGGTTATAGGGATGTGTTAATGGAGTTTTAATAGGTATGTACCCTGGACAGGAGTGGTGGCAATGTTATGTGTAAGGGGATATGTTGGTATAAGATGAGTAAAGGCCTTTTTCAGACGTGAGAAAGGATATGACCAAGCAAATGAGCATAGAATGGCTTATTTGTCCTGGGGAAAAAGATAGAGAGAAAGAAAAAGTCGAAATCCGGAGGGGAAATTTGGCAGCATTATATATCCTTCTTGAGGCCGGAATTGATACCGGCCTCACGCACTAATTACGAAAGATGGGCAAGAGAAGATGGATCTGACCAGCCGCCGTTTGATCAGATGACGAAATAAGGTGGCTTTCTTGGATATAACCCAGAAATATGCATCATAGATGCCAACAGCAGTATCTCTTCATATTGGGCGTCTCTAGAGCCCGGATATGTCTGTATCTTCGATATAAAATGATGAGGAAGAGGCTCATGTCTTGATTAGGTAAGGGCTATTGGCGTTACCCAAAGGAGACTGGCGCCAATCTGTTCTCTCGATTGATTAGATTAGATCGTCTATATCCGCAACATAAAAAGACAAGATCAACCTCCAAGGAGTTCCCGAGACGATCCTATACGCTTTCTGATCCCTTATTTGCCCTCATGGCTCAGGGATGAAAGGTCAGTCTGATTTTACATGGCACTTCGATGTCGCTTCCTATGTCTCTTTTGTCCCAGCCTGGCGCAAAGTAGTACATGCAAACTACAAGGTCACCCAAAGTCAAACATCAAACGCCACGCTCACGATTGGCCATGAGCTCCGGATCAAGCCAAGAGGCCGGAATTGAACCGGCCTCCGTTGGTATCCGGCCAGTGGAAATTATTAATAATCTTGTTCCTGGGGATGATGGGAAACAGGAGAACTGCGAGTGGCTACGGAGGAACGGAGGAAAAAAAAAGGACCCAGACGGAGGGGAAGGTATATGGGGTGCAGGTGCACATGTTTTATCCAACCCTAAATTAATATCATACAACGACAAAAAGAGCCCTCAACAGAGATAGCTAACAAAAAGGAAAAGACAGAGATAAAAGGGGGAAGGGGAATAGTCAGGGTAGCGAAGTTATCATGACGGCCAATATCAGACAGAATAGAGATAATACCCAGAAAGGAAATGGTGTTAGGCTCTTGCTTTTTGACGACGGTATCTGCAGGCCGCTACTGATATGCACGTCGTAGCAGACAGTCTCGGTTGAAAGGCCTCCTGCTCTTTGGCACCGCTGTGTAAAGGCAGTGTCGGTCCCTTTTTCGCTCGCACTGGTATTGTGGTATATCGAAAGGTACTTGACCCGGAGATATACATCTGTCGTGCTAGGAGAGCCACTCCACATCCCTCCATCTGCCCACAAGTTCATATAAACGCTCCCCTCGTCTGTTGGAACTCGAATATTGTTCGTGTGCACCACCTTTGAATTCTGGTAGAACCGTAACTCTTCCTTTGTCCAGTCAAACCGGTGGAGCTGGAAGGATTCAGATGGCCTATGCCCCTTTAACGCAATAATCTCAGTTGCATTGTCAATCAGCCATCCCCGGTCGTCCAACGCCGGATGTGTGGTGTAGTGGACCAACATGGAGTCCTGCTTGAACTCTCTCGTCAAGATCTCAATATCAATCTCATTTTTATCGTCCTGTTTCCAATCCATCTGTCAGTGCTGTCATCACAAGATATTAAAGTCTGACACGAGGAACACAAACATGGTACCAGAAGAAGCCAGCCACACTACCCCCCGAAGCATTTTCCATTACCATGTTTGCCCTGAAGCTTCCATGCAGAATATCCGATGCACGACTCGCGATAGACGCCACACTGACGTTATGTGCTGACATCACAGACTCCTTAGGATATCCTTCCTGCCGCAGAGTCAGGTGGCCGTCTTCAAGGTACACATTCTCAGGCCGGTTGAGTATGGGCAATGGAGTCGCCCAGTTCATCACCGGTAGCCCCCACTTCTGGATCGCCCAGTCGCGCGTGAATTTGGGATTTGTGCTAAGCGGCTTTGTTGGCGAGAAGGCGCTGAAGTTGTTATGGATGAGGTGCGTATAATAGTCTTGGGTATCGTTGATGACGAAGCCGCATTCGCAGCTTGCCTTGACAGTAGGATAGAGGAGGAAGAATGCCAAAAGGACGTCCCTGATGAGAGATGAGAGTTCAACTCGAGCAGTTCTCACCGGCATATCTGAAGCTGGGTATCGATCGGAGCCGATGGATCAGTGGCAAAGGTTGCTTTGGCTGTGGCACAGGGGCATCAGCGGTAAGCCAGCGTAGATATAAACCAGCCTGGCTGAACTGCTGAACTGTATATACGTCTTTTATGACAAGAGTTCAACCCAGGGGGGTAAAAAGGCGCAGTCATGGTCCCTTGGAGTCCATAGGCTTGAAGGAAGAGAGAAGAGCGAGCTTCTGGTCTTGCGACAGAATTACCGCAATAGGAAAGGACGAGGTATTCATCCTGATTAGTGAGGAAGGCAAGACATAACCAAGCAGATTAGTAAGCCTTTGCATCTTGCATAGCAGTCAAGCAAAGCCTGTACTTGTTCTCATAGTTGAAAAAGTTATCCGATGTTGTAGATATAATTAGAGGACGCTGTCATAGAAGCATCCCCCACCATCAAATAACTATGCCAGGCAGTGATATGTCGAAAACGGCCCTCTCAGCGCCAACGCAACGGTCAGAAGGCTGTCCTTTATGCTATTACGGAGGTCTCCTATCTGTCGCAGAAACCCGGCATCAAACAGCATTTGCATTGTCGTTGAAACACCGAGAAAAATTCACCTGATTAGGAGAATTCATGTGATTGACCGAGGTTAAAGCAGCCATATTCTCTCATACTAGATCTGGACAGACACGAAGTACGCATTGATGGTTTAGTGGTAAAATCCGTCGTTGCCATCGACGGGCCCCGGGTTCGATTCCCGGTCGATGCACTTTTTTTTGCACTTTTTTTTGCACTTTTTTTACCCTCATAAACCACAGCCGTCAACTACTAAAACCCCCTGCCACCGCATTATTATGTTTTACTCTTGTAAAGGCACACGGGTATTTCTTTGTATACTACTCAATGCTGCCCCTAGCTGATCGAAAACTTGAGCTCTGCAAGATGGGAGAGAGATGATTGTTGTACCAGCTAAGAAAAACATACAAAGGAGAACTCCAGACACACAGGCAAGAAAGCAGACAGAGACGGAGAGACGATATAAACTCATGAAAGCATAGTAATAGTATAAAGGAGCCGCGTGCAGTACATGAGTGTTTAGCTGTAGTCGACAGTGGGGGAAAGGGAGGTAATAAGGATAAAAGATTATAGACGCCATAATGCCCATGGTTTGTTTGAATGAATCCCATATAAAAAAGGTAGGTTTTGGTTGCAGGAACGAGAGGGAAGGGAGAACGGGGTAGATAGGGTTGGATTGGGAGTTATTTCAAGTAATCGTCAACAACGTTGATAAACGCCCCAGCGCCGCCGTCTTCGCTTAGCTCGCTAATAAGCGCTTCAGTTTGCTGGTAAAGTCGCTCTAGTGTCGCAGAGGAGGATTTTCCTAGTGATACTACGCCTCAATTAGTCGATACATCTAATGTGGTTGATACTTCCAAGTGGAGGGTGGGGGTGGACGTTACCTAGGATAGCAGAATTCAGCTCCTCTGCGACTCCAACCCGACCGCTTGGATCTAACAAGTGGCCGTGGACCGACGACTTGGGATCCGCGTAAGCTACTAGTGAAAAGATGTCGTCTAATGTCTTTTTATGTTCCTTCTTTTCGTCTCCGGGGTAGTCAGCCTGCAGCTGTTGACCGTAGAGGATAGCCTCGTGCAGAAGGTCTTGGTCCTTCGTAGTTGTCACGGCATCATTGATATTGTTTCCGTCAGTGTCCATCATGTCACCTGTAGCGATAGCTTCGTTGGCCTCGGCCTCTACTTCGGGTTGCATGCCTGTCATTTGGTCGTCTACTTCCATATCAAGGTTGAAGACGTCCGGTGTTGTTTTGGCTGGGCCAGTAACTAAGCCGTTCGAGGAATTGGTGGCGATAGGTTGGGGCTCGGTGCAGCGACGCATCATCTCGATGAACTTTCTGCATCGTAGCCGGAAGTGGATGTGGGGGTTGTCACCCAGGACGTTGGCGTAGTGCACATTTGTGAGCTTGAGAGCCTTGTCAATATCACCTTCTAATATTGCTGCTCGGATTTCTAGAAGATGAGAATTAGTATGCAAGATATACAGAATGGATAGGAGACTAGACCTACTCTGCCTGTTAACAGCATCTATGTCATCCTCGAGCTCTAGCCCTTTCAAGGATGGGACGTCTTTGGAGTTCTGTAAAGCGCGCTTCTCATATTGCACTTCTTTGGCAAATACTTTGGCGGTCTCTACATATCCATCATGCGCAAGAAATTGGGCAACGAGTTTCTGCATAAACTCCGTTTCGTCTAGCGTAGGATGCAAGGTGGACAATTCCGTCATCTGGATGCTCCGCTGAACATCGTACTTTTCGTTCTATTGACGACCCCAGTTAGTATACATAGCTCACTCAACGGGCTATAGGGGGTCTGAAACATACCGCCATCATGCTATCAATGTCAAAGATAAACGGGAATTGGCCAAAATTAGCTCTGACATGCGCCCCAGGCTGCTTCCTCATCCCTACGCAGGGATAAAGCTTTGACGGCTTCAAGTCTCGGAAGGCGTTTCCTACCAATATACCATTAGCCGTCTGGCAAAGCATATAATAGAAAGTAGCAATAGCACTCACCGAGGAATGAGCCGTTCTTCGTGAAAAATGCACTTCCGGTAGAAAATACAATACCGCACCCAATCGTGTCATTGACAGTAAAGGTAGGGCCATATGGTCTCCCCTGTCCCTGATTGTCACCGAAAAAAGTCTTGCCGTCGTCACCATGGTAAGCCCAAGATTCCTGTTCCCAGCCTGGAAGTCTCTCTAAGGACGCCTTGTTGTTTGAGAAGCCCACACCAATCATACTACAAAAGACGATTAGCAAAATGTTTTCTTCACAGGGTAATAATTTTTCAATATAACATACCCATCCTTCGGTTTGGCTAAAATGGTAACTTCAAAGTAGTATATACCGCATTTTACCGGCATGGGCTGGTCGGCTCTTACGGCTGCCGCCTCGTGTTCCTGTTTATGAACATGGCCAATGTACCGCACCTCCAACCCGTCTGCCAGCAAGTCCAGACCACCGTACTTGTCACTCTCGTTCCAGCGTGCAGGCAGCGGGATGAGTGCCTGTCCCTCTGCCAGTGCGGTCGATTCAGCGCCTGGACCGTGACTCTCAACAATATCATACGTCATTCCCCTGTGTGAGGGAGCCATACGGTGTAGATTGAGCTGACTTGATGATGCAGATAGAGAGAGCGAGGAGGTCGAAGATGGTAGGCCATGGTGCTGTGCTGATGACCCGGAGGTAGGCGTCTGTTGGCTTTGCGACTGTGTCTGTGCATCACGCTGGGACGAGAGTTTGGATTTATGAGCTGCGTACAGCTGAGCCACGTATTTGGAGGACCGGAGGTACGAAGGGGTGAAGAAGGACGAGTCTTCTGTGTTATGATGGAGTGGATGGTTAATTCCGTAAGGGAGAGAGTGCAGGTCCGTCTGGTCGAGGAGTTTCTCGAATTGCTTCGAGTACGAAGGGAGGTTGCCGTGGCCCAGGTTCTGCTGCTGGAAGGAGAGGTTTGGATTCGACCTCCGCCAACTGCTTATGCTTGCGCCAGCACCGCTACCGTTGGTCTGCTGCATCGTGGTGGTGTCCAGGATGGCAGACTCTGGATTGCGGGAATTGCTTGTACCGGGAACGCTGGGGCTGGACGAGGCGTTTAAGCTTGGACGGAACGGAGACGATGGGAAGTGTTCGTCCTGCTCGTGCTCAGCTTGTCCGGGCTGGCGCGACAGGACAGAGGCGTAAGAGGACCTGCGCGTGCGATAGATGGTAGCGGTGGCCGAGCTTGGGACTGGGTAAGGGGAAGCTGGAAGACCAGAGCCTGCGCCTGTGCCGGAACCAGGACCAGAGCCTGGTGCACCGCTCATGGTGGCAGTGGCAGTCCTTTATGCTGATGCCTCGATGCCGACGATGGCCGGAATAGCAGGAGTCCGATACCTTAAAACAAGCTATGTAGTTTACACCGGTAGGTCAGTGAATGGACAAGAGACAGGTATCACTTCTGCTTGCTTACCTTCTTTTATATTATCGTTATTAATACCCCTGCCGCTGCCGCTGCCGTTCACTGATATCTGGTTGCTTGATAGTTTGTCTGTGTGTTTTTTTTTTTGCTGCGTTTGTCGCACAGTATCACCCGTACGGTCTTCAAGCAGCAACAGCTCTCGATATTTCTACTTTCGAAGTTGGGCTGCTTGCTTGCTGCTTATCGATACGCCGGCATAGCCCGCGAGTAGTTAAGCATAGGCGAGAGCCAGCTGGATAGAACACTGCCGCAGTGAAGGCGAGCTACAGCGGAGAAAGCTATTGTATATAAGACGTGGTTTATGAAGCCATGGCTGTGAGCGTGTTTTTATCTTCTTTCTGTAATAGTTTATGGGATGTTGTTTTTTGAGGGGGAGAGAAGTCCGGGGTCGAACGGTTAACTAAACAACTGGGGTTATAGGAGAGACGGGTCAGCCGTGGCTCGAGGGCTTGTCAGGGTTATATAGACCTGGGAGAAAGTAGAGAACGTACGTGTGGAAAGGCGAGCGAGGCTTTCTTCCTCTGCTCTCCCTTGAAGCTCGCGATGTACGAAGGAGAAGAAGTCAAAAGTCGAAGAAGTAACAGAGATCGAGGGTCACATGAGCGAGGCAGGGGAAACAAGCCAACGCACACGAGCAGATGGAAAGATAGAGTACGAGAGAGTAATGGAAGAAAAGACGATGGATTAATCAAGTAGTTATTTGGTTGCTGCTGCTAAGAGGCTCGAAAGGCCGGTTGATATTCTAAATGTACATGTAAAAAGCCCACCACCAGCCATAACCCAGAGACCACACCCAGTATCCATAATTATCTTATTTTGCACCTGGCAGAGAGAAAAGGGAAGTAAACAAAGGTAGAAGAAAGGAAAGGGGTGAAAGTGAGAATTCAGACCCAAGACGCCGCGAGTATAATAGTAAAGAGATATAAGGGGTGGACGAAATGGATAGTGTACAGGGAATAGAGGAGACGACGGTGATAGCTTTAAGAAGCAACGGCCACGGGAGCAGGCGACTCGATGCCCAGCATGCTGCCAGACGGCGTCTCATCCCGGTCAGCGTCAACATCGGGGTCAGCGGTGCTCTTCTCGCTCTTCTCACTCTTCTTCTCACTTTCCTTCTTTTCCTGGTCCGTCTCCTTCTTCTCTTCGTCCTCCGTTGACTTGGGACGCGGTGGAGCCCCCCAGCTGGGGACCTGCCAAAGCACGCCGGTGAAGGACTTGAGCTGGAACGACTTGCGCTCCCACTTGCGGCACGGCTTGCCTGTGCGGTCTAGGGCACGCAAACAGGCATTGATGGCGCCTTGGTTCGCTTTGGGGCCCAGACGGTGGTGGGCCGGGGGTGGTGGACGAGAGGGAGTCTCTCCATCCTCACTTTCTATCCTGTTAGTTGGATACACACAGATGTCTCACAATCAGCAGAAGGCCGGCTTACAGTCTTGGTTTCTTCTTGGGACCTGGCTTCCCTCGTGGCTTCGGCAGGCCGTCTGGACCCAAGGCGGCAGCGCCTCTCTTGGTCCCGGCTTTGGCTGCACCTGATGCCGGTGCCGAAGTAGGTGCGTTGCCGGCAGCTGGTGTCGACGGTGCAGGACCGACAGAGCCGTCTCCAGCGTTCGTGGTGGAGGCAGCATCGCCATCGGAGACGATGTCGGTCAGAGGCGCTGGCGGCGTGGAGGGAGAGCTCGACTCTTCCTCCTTGGCCTGGCTGTCGTCGCTGCTGGCATTGCTGGGGAACCGGCTGAGGACGGCCGGTGGAAGGCTGAGGACGACAATCTTCCTTGCCTTGAGCCTGCTGCTGCTGCTGCTGCTGCTGCTGTTGCTGTTGTGGCTGTGGCCAGAAACCGAAGCTGACGGAGCTGGTGCTCGAGACGAGGTCGACGAGGTGTCTGAGCCGGCCATTGTTGCAAAGATGGGGGGGCGTCTTGACTCTCTCTCTCTCTTGGGTGGTTGCAGAGTTTTTCCCTGTTTTGCGAGAGAAGTTGTTGTTTGGAGGTAATTAAGTTAGGGGCAGTTTGTCCGTCGGCGTCAGGTCAGGGCCAGTCGCAGAGTCGTAGCTTCGTGGTCTGGTGTCTTGGTGATGGGCTGGTAATAAGGGGTAGAAGGTAGAGAAGGGGAAGAGGAAGGGTGGGTGAGAAGGCGTTGTTTGGTCCATGGTTGTTCGCTTGTCCTTGTCCCGCGCATCCGTCTCACTTAACTAACATGACTAGTTGTGTGTGGCCTCTTTTTTTTTTTCCTTTCCCTTGCGCTTCCTTTCGCCGCGCCAGGAAGTGTGTGTGTCTTTTTTTTTCTTTCCGTCCCTTTTCGTGGCTCTTTTGGTTTTTCTTGGTTTTGGGGAGTTTGGGAAAGTTGCTGCTTAGTCACGGTTGCAGCCAGTCAGAGTCCAGTATCTCTGACCGCTAGACTGCTTTGGGACGTATGGTATTGGTATTACATGATTAGTAATGCGTTATGTTCGGTGATTATAAATAGAGTATCTACTTATGTAAGTGCTTATATAATACACAGCTTATCCTTCTTATGGGGAGGAAGAGAGAAAAAGGACGATGTTATTTTACTCTTCTTCTCCCTTCTGGCTGTTGTTTCTCCTGCCAATGACCGTCTGAACGGCCTGCTGTACCTCTGGAGCCTCCCTCACGCTGTCCCTGCTTAGCCGTTCCTTCATTCCCCGCCGCAGCCTGGCCACTCGGTCTGCGTCACCTGCAAAGGGCAGCATGTCCATCCCTAGCAGCTTGGCAGCCTCTGCATCCTGTGCCTGAGCCAGTTGCACGATCCGTGTCAGCTGTCTCTGCGTCTGTCCGCTCAGCCCTTCCTCGCCCTGGCCCTGGCCTCTGCCTGCCCTCAGCTTTTCCTCCGGAGGGGTGAGTTGTGATATGAAGATGTTGATGGTCACAGACGCCGTCCGCGCAAGGGACAGCATCTGAAACGGAAGAAGGTAGAAGGTGTCCAGCCTCAGCAGCTTGGACAGCGTCGCCGGAAGGTAGGCCGACGGGATAAAGGTTGCGTTCGGGTGGGTAAGCAGCGTCAGCTCGAGGGTCAGGAGGGCGAAGAACGTGTAGAAGCGCCACTTTCTCACGCATCCTCCTGGTTAGTTTGGTGTTTTTCTCCAGTACAAGGATATAAGAGGCACTCACGTATCTCGCCCATGCAGAGAACCAGAACATGTTCAGCACAACCATCATCAAGAAGCCGGCCAGGTACTGCGGCACAAGCGCAAAGAGGCCCTCGTAGAAGTATGCGCCCATGCTCAGCGCCTTGCCTGCGCCTTCGGGTCTGTCCACCACCCCGGCTCCGAACCGATCATACGCAAACCTCTTGACCGGGTCGAGTAGGGTATCCTGCGCCAGCCTTAGCATCACGAAGAACGCATCCACATCCCCGCCTTCCTCCGTCATGTTGCCCAGGGCCGAAGCGGTGGACGTCTGTCTGGCCTTGTCGGGGTGGAACAATGCGGCCAGTCGTCGGAAGCGGGTCTTGATCGTCCGCTCATCCGACGTTGGCAGGACTCCCAGAAGACTGTAAAAGTCCCCGGCTAGTCGGAGGCTGCGGTACTCTTCATAGATGGTATACAGCAGGTAGCTGCTTATCACTGCGACGTGGATACGGCGGTTGTGACGAGTGTGTAATGACGAGCCGGGTTGAGGGTGCGGTGAGCCCGCTCGGATGGTGATACGGTAGTAAAAGTTTTGCAGGAAGGACGTTGCTAGCTAGGTATCATTAGAATTAAGGATACGTAGCAGGAGTGTATAACGGGTGCTTACACCGGGAAGAAAGGCCCAGCCTGCAAAGGAGAGAACTCTGGATGCAGCGTCCATCGCAAAGGTAATGAAGAGAAGAGGGGGGAAATTAGGGTAAATAATCTAGATACTGTCCATCTTATCCGTCGCTTTCTCACCCCTCTAAAATAATATTTTTTTGATGCCACGAAACATCAAAGAAGGAAAGCCGGCGGCTAAAGTATAAGAAGGGCGCTTCCCGTCCTGGCGCTAACCGCCAGCCAAGAACTTTAATTTCTTAATTTTTATTTTTTCCTTTTCACGCAAAAATAATGTCACGATAGAAAGGGAAAAAGCGGCCAAAGTTACGTTGTCAATTGACGGCCCAGCATGTCCGTGGATGCGATGGATATTGACTCGATATCGTCGCCAGAGAAGAAGCGCAAGGAAAAGAGTGAATCAAAGAAACGCAAGAGGCATGAGCAAACAGGGGATTCAGTCGTGGTAGACGACAGCGAGAAGAAGAAGAAAAAGAAGAAAAAGGACAAACATTCGAAAGATGAGAAAGGTTCAAAGAAAAATGATGATAAAAAGGAGGAGAAGGAAGAAGTAGCTGCGTCTCGAAAACCTCTTTCAAAATCGACCTCGAGAGACAAAGATACTCACACCCATTCCTCATCCACCGCGGACCAGCTACCTTCTTTCCACCGCGTGACAACAACACTATACCTCCCTCTCTCACCCATTGCCATATCGCCAACTCATGCGGTTTCGTCCCTACTAGCAGAGCACATCTCTCCCTTGCTCCTGACTTACTACCCGCCCGTCCGTGGCGTGGTACTCGCTTACTCCAACCCTTCCGTTTCAGCTACCAAGCCCACTCTCGACTCAACATCGACATGCACGCCGAATCCAGAGCCACTTACTCTCGCCAAAACTGCAGGAGAATACGGTGTCCTACACATCTACCTAACCCTCACGTTTCTTGTCTTCCGACCTGAACGCGGCCAGACGCTCGAGGGTTGGATCAATGTACAATCAGAAGACTTTTTGGGTGCCATTGTATTTAACCTATTTTCCATTGGTATTGAGCGTCGAAGGCTGCCTGCGGACTGGAAGTGGATAGCGCCGGGACAACAACCAGACAAGCCCAGCACAAATACCACGACGACAACTACATCTCCTACCTCCAGCAAGGACGAGGAGGATGAGGATGAGGATGAAGCAGACTCGGATAAAGAGAACTTCAAACCACTGGCTTCAAACAGTGAAGCGTCACAGTTCGAAGACGCAGCTTCTGCAGAGACGGGATATTTCCAGACACGCTCGGGCAAGCGTGTGCGTGGAACTATTCGGTTTCGTGTCCGTGATGTCGATGTTATACCGGGCAGTGAGCGGGATAAAGGCTTCCTTAGTCTTGAAGGGACCATGCTGAGTCGCGAGGATGAGGAGAAGCTTGTTGCTGAAGAAAGGAGCAAGGCATTGGGGGCAGGGAGGGCAAAGGCAGGTGATAACTACCATGATCCTACGTCTAGAGAGCGTGGAGAAGAGGAGGCTGCGGATGTGGATGTGAGTATGTCCGGAGCTATTGACGAGATACTACCCTCGACTGTGGAGAAAAAGAAGGAGAAGAAGGAGAAGAAGAAGAGCAAAAAGGAGAAGACGAGCTCTAGCTCAAAGTCATGAGATTTTATGACGCCCTTATATGAATCGAGATCTTTTACCCTGTCTTTCTACTGGAGTGCTTATGTAATCACCTAGCAGCTTCTTCCTAGAGGCTCAAAAGTTGTTTCTCTTCAACTCTTCGACGAAGCAATTGACGATGACCTTAATATAGCCCAAACTAGACAACACGAGATATAATAATATAATATTCGCTATAATGCCGCCAACAAACCAAGAACTATCACTCCTGATAAACCCTCTCGTCCCAGACTCGGTCACACATAACAACCGGGTACGCTCATCCAAGTTATGGCCTGCACGATCGAAGAGAAGAATACTAACATTGTATCTTAGATCCTCGCAAACCTACATTCCCTAATAGCATTCCTGCTAGGCACTGCAGCCGGGATACTCGGCCTCCAATCCGCATACGGCTTCACATTCTACCTGCTAGGCACGATATTCGTTTCGTTCCTAGTCCACGCCCTGCTAGTGAAGGACAATACCAGCCCAGGCATAAGAGGAAAAGACACAAATAAAGGGGTATCTGGCATCGGGGTCTACTTCCCGGGCGATGGAGAGTTGGTTCCTTCAGGTGGCGGCGGGTATGCGAGAAAAGGCGCATGGAAGGACCTCTGGTTCAGCGGCCTCGTTGCTACAGAGGCTATCAGCGGGTTTGTCCTTGGGTGGGCTGGTGTCGGTGGTGTCTTGAGATAGAGGAATGCCGAATACCTTTTTATTCTAATGGAGAGATCTTCGACGCACAGTCATACCCATAAAAAAGAGAAGGGAAAATGGTAATTGCTCAAATACGTAAAGAGACAAGTTAACCAGGTCATTCAATATCATGAACAGGTCCAAGAATTCCAGTCACACTAGACGGCTTCTCCACGCGCAGCAATGAATGCCTCCATATGCTCTGTATATTCCGCAGCGCCCTCTAAATGTTGCTTCCCGATAATAAAATGCGGCACACCCTCAATCTTCACTGTGCTCCTTATCTCCTTCTCTTCCTGCTCCATCTCAGCTATCCCCTTGTCACTAACCAGCCAATCCGCAACTTCATCCTCGCATAGGCCAGCCTTCACAGCCGCCTCCACCACAACATCTATCTTACTGATATCTTCCCCCATCTCAAACTGATAGCGGAAAAGCTGTTCTGAAACCTTGCACTGCATTTCACTGCCCTTCTCCTTATACACAATATGTAGTAGTTGATGCGCCAGTCTGGAGCTCCCCATACGTCCATCAAACGAGAAATTGATGCCACACTGGGCTCCAACGCGCTTGAGGCGAGTCTGGGCAGCTTCCACCGTCTTGGAATCTTTCGCACGACGGAGCATCCGATCTATTCTCTTTTGGTGAGTCAATGTTGTTCCCCATTTTCACTGGAGGGATATAAAATCGGGAGGAACCGTATACCCGAGATCAATTCGCTCTCCGCAGGTGGCTCCTTGTCAATAAAGTACGGCTTCCAAACGATCTCAAATTCATCCTTGGAACCTCCCGGATATGTCTTCTGGTAGAGACTGATCGCCCGCTGAAGGCTGCGATAACCGATGTAGCACTGTTGTTCCGTCAGTCCGTCATTTTGCGGGGAAAGATATAGAGGCTACAGGAATAAACTACCCATGGACATATAACATCCGACACAACATTTATTGGAATAACTACCATGGTTGCCGCTATCTGGCCTTCAGAAAATCTAGGAGGATATGGGTAAATGTGCTGGGGTTTCAGAGAGATCAAGTGGGCGTAAAACGGGCTACCCGAGGGATGGAGGGGACTAACCAATAACTATTTAATCCCGTTGCCTAGAGTCATCCTTCGGGATAACTTAGGCCTCTTCTGACGCATATTTTAGATCCCCTCAAAACTATGGCGAAAATCAGCGTACGTAGCATGTATAGGAGCCTACATGCTAGGGATCTATGGTCCCGGCAGTGCGCTATACAGTAGTTTAAGTGAATATAGGTAAGGTTTCATCAGGGACAAGAAGCTTGTGTTTATTTAGCCTGAGATATGAACATTAAAGCCAGTGATTTGAAGCCTCAGGAACGTCCGAATATGGCGGCTTCAATAAGCGGACGGCTAGTGCATTTGTTCTATTTGACCTGCAGATAGCATTCTTCCTTAATCCTTCGCCGTATGTACGTTTACACGTCGATATATCGTATATATAGTCGTTATGACTGATAAGCCTTGTGTATCTACTATAAAGCTCCTGTGGTCCTGACGCTAGTTTGAAATGTATATGAATGAAGGATAGAATTGCCTAACAACCTTTGGTATACAATATTAAAATATAATAACTATAAATCTGAAGAAAGTCTATAGATGGCGGGTATATTACAAAACAGGTGGAACAAACGAATGAATCGAGAATCACGGAGAAGTATTTTCTGGGTCTATGACACCAGCATTCTGCTTCCTCAGGCCTCTGAGCCTGTTCTTTTCTTCCAGCACAGCCTGAGCTTGTCTCTCCTTCTCTAATTTCGAGAGAGGAGTGCTGATATATTTATTGGCTTCTACGGTGCGCTGGAGTGAAAAGTCAGCCGAAACTCATTTACTAGCAAGGAGCAGAGTGGTAATTAGGAACTCACCGTGACAAGGGCCCATAAAAAGGGTATCCGAATGACTTCACTACTAACAATAGCATCGCCAGCCTTTCCGTCTTCAGCAGCTTTTCTTTCAGCTTCCTCTTTAGCCTTTTTGGATTTGATCCAGACGTTCCCGAGGAAGAATATAGCAACCAAACTAATGGCCATGATAGGAATGATGGAAATGAAAGCCCACATCACAGCAGTCTTAGCCAAGTCGCGAACGTAGTTCTGGATATCAGGTGGCAATTTATCAATAGCCCCCAAGCTCTGGCTGGTGTTGTGTAGATCCACACCTCCGCTACCACTTCCAGGGCGGAAGACTTCGGCCATTTTATTGTTAAACACACTACCCATAATGGTCAAGGCAAGTGTTCCCCCAAAAGGGAGACAGAACCTCATAATCGACATAGCCGGGGCAATTTTATCTGGCCAGATACCTGCAACATGAAGAGTGGCCGGCATGAAGCGCATTCCAGTTCCGGCGCCGGCGACGGCCATCATTCCGCTGACGACGGGAATGTTGCGAGTTGTGATTGCCCAGGTAAGGAGGGCAATACCAATAGTTTCAATAACAGTGCCGGCACTCAGGGGAACAAAGGTTTGCGCGGGCCAAACATTGCACGTAAACATGGCAAAGTAGACACCGACTAGCAAGTGAGGTTAGATGTAATTCTCTTACAGTAAAAAAGTTGATACTTACATCCAATTCCAGGGATATAGTAAAGCAGTTGAAGGCCGGAACGGCCAGCTTCATAGCCTTCGACAAGCGTAAAGTAAATAGAAATAAAGTAGAAGACAGAAAACATGACTGTAGCGTGGTTCCTCATCAGTATTGAGCCAAACATTTCAACATGTACAAGTCAGCTTACCAGCACCAGTTGCAAATTCAATGATAGCCAAGACGATCGTATCTCGGTTCCTGATGATGTCTGACGGGATCATGGGGGACTGTTGGGGAAGCAAGCGGCCGACTATGCGGCCCGGCTCAAGAAGATATTCATAAGCGAAGAAAAGGATAAAAAGAATTGATCCGATAACGAGGGGAGTAAGAACAGCTGCATGAGTCCACGGATATGTAACACCACCCCATGCGGTTCCGAGAATGAGGAGACCGACACCGAAAACGAATAGAAGAGTGCCACCGATATCAATGGTGGCTAAGCCGGGTAAAAAGCTGCTCCGTCGAGATCCCTTGATGAAATGACTGCCTTGTACCAGTTCGTTACGGAGGAGAAAGTAAATTATAAAATGTGCAAAGAATGCGACCTAGTGGATAGTTTAGATGAACCATTACTATAACAGCTGGATAGAAGGACTTACTGGGATGGTCAGAACGAAACAATATCTCCAATTAGACTAATAAAGCACAGTCAGTAAGAAGACACCTGCCAATATTCGGTATTGAAGGCCCGGAGAGATCCTTACGTTTGTCAGATAACTATTCTTAAGTTAGCTATATGAGGATTATAGAGTATAAAAACATGGAGTAGACTCACCCGCCGATAATGGGACCGACACTGTAGGAAAGCCCTGCAACAAACTGAAAGATGGTAGAGTTCTTTGCATTATCCTTCAAACTGACTTTATCAGCTAAGATGATTTGGATCAAGTTTGTGATGCCCGAAGCACTGGTTCCCTGAAGTGCTCTACCGAGTAGTAGGACGCCCCATGATGGAGCCGCGGCGCATAGGACACTGCCGATTAGCATGAGGAACATTGCCAACTGTAGGACGAAATGTCGACCAAAGACATCAGATAGTTGACCGAATGCGGGAATGAATGCAGTCGAGGTAAGGGTAAAGGCAGTCACGATCCAATTCAGTTGGTCGAGCTTATCTATGTAAAGAGGTTAGATGAAGGTAGTCGGAGAATCTGGTAAGGTATCGTACTAAAGTGAGATGCAATAAAAGGCAAAGCAGCGGCAACAATGGTTAAGTCGACAGAGGCGAGGAAATAGGGCAGTAGTAAGCCTGCAATCAACTTCCATCTGTAGACACGGGCATCGTGTTTTTCCTTCTTGCACAGCTCACAAGGCCCAGTAGTCTGAAATTCAGGTTGTTGGTTTTGGTCGGCTAGCTTAAGGGAAGCATTAAGTTGCTTGGGCTCAGCGGAGCCAGTCTCCGGGCGAAAGTGTGTCTGCTCTGATACTTCCGATAACAATGGTGAGGCTATGTTATGGTTACCGCTCTGTTGACGGTGGGTGCACAGTTTCTTCTCCTTCTTTTGCTGTTCAGAATCGACGACAGGCTCAGCGCTTGACTGCCTCTCTGCGCGGCGTTTCTTGATCGCTTTATATATGAACATAATGCGCGTAGGAGTGAGCAACAAGTGGGTAAAGAGGGATAAAGAAAGTCCTATATGAAGTGCACTCTGGTTGGGATTGGGGTATAGGGATGAAAGTAGCATTCCAGAAGGGAACAACATCGCTCTATATATCATAACCCACCCGGCCAGCCAGATACGAGCCAACTACCACAATAGGATAGCTAGAACAACGCCCCTAGTAACCTGGGAAAGCTTGATGCGAAGAGTGGAGACGAGCGTCTGGGTGCATTCTGGGAGTCACTGCCACTGACCGCAGACAGGTCACGGCCAGCCTGGATAGACATCTTCACGCGGACAGTGGGCGTCTATCGTACTTTGATAATACGATGGGCAGGCAAAGCTGTGTCATGAGTTGCCTTGCCACCAAAGATAGCGAGTAAGCATTGAACGAACTAGGTAATCGACAATGCGGTTACTAGATGTTGGGCGACGATACTTCCTGTACGAAGTATTATGGTTAATGAATGGGGAACAGGGCGACTAGGCAGAAGCGTTTCTATCTATACTGCGCGCAGGAGAGCCCATGGGGCGTGTTTCCATGAAACATATCAAAAAGTAGTGTGCAATAAGAAGTTGAAACCTCGAGAAGTCGCAACTCCTACCGAAAAGGGAAATCCAGCACAGCCCAGAAGGAAAAGCCGTTTAGATGACTCAGCCTTGATACGCTAACTTCTTTTGGCAAGGAGTGCGAAATTTAATAGAAGCTCGGACCAAGTCTTCATCACTTTTAAGGTTTACACGAAACTTATTGTGGAAGATATTCGTATTGTTGCGCCCAGCTCAGCCTCTACAGGGCAAAGGGAAAAAACGATACCAGCGGGAAGAAAGAGGAAGCAAAGAGTTTGTTTAGGTTCTGCTGCTTTTTCTGCAGATATTATGTATCATGTATATATTTGTATATATATATATTTCATGCCCCAGATTATATGGGGTTAGACACCGGGTAACTCCAAAATTCTCATGTAATCGCTGAGAGGTATTTCCAAACAGAAAACAAAATAATAGTAATCTAATCCAAAACCAGAGAAAAAAGAATGCGCAAGGCGGCAAAAGGTAAAATGTAATATAGACAGAAGAAGCAAAGCAAGCAAGAAAAGGTCATTCAAACACGACACTCTATAAATGAAGTCGTGCGAAGACTTCTATGCGGCAAATTGGTATCATTGCAAGGCGTTGACCGTAGCACTCTGGAGAGCACTGGTCAAGTCAACGTGGAACATTGGACGGTTCATGCTGTTCACCACAGCACCTCGAGAGCCACCGACCTTCTCGATTTCTTTGTGGTAAACACCATCCTTGCAGATCTCCACCTGTTCGGTGGGTGTCTGCGAAGCTGGGGTGATGGTGCCAATTTCTTCATCGTGGATCCTGGCCATGCCAGAGTGCTTGGGGTCTATGTCTAGGGAAGCCGTAGAGCTGTTGGATCCGTCAACATTGGCGACACTGAACACTGGCTTCCAGCGTGGGGCGGAAAGGTCAGAGCCTGCAGGAGAGGTGGGGTAGCCGAAGCCGGCGGCAGCAAGGGCACGTTTTGTCCATCTGTTGTTGACATGAGCGAAGTGCCACTGAACAACCTCAGGTGCGGCATGTCGGTCGAGCTGCTCGCGAACATCTACTAGATTCTGAATACATGTGACATCCACATTGTTAACGGAAGAGAAATCCATAATGATAGCCTTGAGAATTGGCAAGTCGGCAGTCGAAGCCTCAGTCTCGCCACGCTTAGGTCCAGGATTGTTCCATGGCCTGTCGCCCAAGCGCTCGTAAGCGTTTTGGTTCGTGCGGCGCGTCTTGCTCAAAATATGGGCAACGAAGTCATCAAGATAACCGTTGGCATTAGGATAATTGAACCCTTCAGAGAACTTGTAGATGAAGATGCCTGGTAGAGCGTGCTCAATTTGGACCTCAGGGTTAGAGCCATCGTTGTGGCTGAGGGGAAGGAAGACATTGCGGCTGCTTGTGCCTCCGGGGATGCCGGTGTTGTCGTCAAAAGTTCCATATTTGCCATCGTTGTCGATGACATGGTCGCCAACAACAGAGCTGACCTTGACACGACCAAGGAATTGGCCCTTAGCCTTGACAAGACGGAACAAGAGAATACCAAGGGAGAAAGCGGCAGTGGCGTAGATACCATTCTCAATGGTCGAAAACACGGCAACGAAGACACCTACCAAGAAGACGATGACTTCGATCGGGGAGACTTTCCAGAATTGATAGACAACGTTTGGTGGAGTGATAAGATCGCCAACAGCATGGATAATGACAGCAGAGAGGGAGGAGTTAGGAATATAGAAGAAAACAGCAGGAAGGGCATAAATGGCAAGGAGAACAACCATGGCAGTGAAGACACCACCGAAGGGAGTTCTAATTCCGGCCTTGGAAGCAATGGCAGTACGAGAGAAAGAACCGGTGACTGGGTAGCCTCCGAGGAATGGACCAAGCATGTTGGTGGCACCGATGGCGACAAGCTCTTGAGAGGGGTTGATGGTGTAGTTGTTAACGCGACCGAAAGACTTGGAGATAGCAATGTGCTCAAGCAACAGGACAATAACAGAAGCTGGGATTTCACCAGAAAAAGTGCTCAAAACTCGCGAGTTAATGACTGGAACGCCAGCATTTTGGAAACCTATCAAGAGTGCGTCAGTATGGTCTTTTCGAATTCAAACTTCTTTATGGATCTCAGCTTACCTCGTGGGACAATGCCCAAGATCTTGAAGATAGGGTCCTTTCTGTGGTTCCTGTTGACCAAGAAACTGATGAAGGTGTACAGAAGGATAACGAAGACTGCGCGCAGCGTAGAGGTAAAGAAATAGACCTTGGCCTTGGAAGGATGTCGTTTAGCCATGAAGCCACAGGCCCAACGGATAAAGTAAAGCAGAAAAAGAGCAGTCAACCCCATTGCGGCATCGATCTTAGCGCTTGGTAAATGCTTGAGAGAGCCAATGATAACTTCGTATGTGGTTCCTCGCGTGTTGAAACCGCTGAGACCTAGCATAGATGGAACCTGACCAGAGGCAATACTAAGAGCGGATCCGGTCATGAAAGCAGAGATGGCAGTGAGTGGAATGAAGTCGACGATCCAGCCGCATCGAATCAAACCGATGAATGCGATGATACCACCAGCAACAATACCAATTGCAGAAGCAATGACCTCCGGCGCAATGTCAGGGTATTCAATCTTTGCCTTGTCAATAATGTGCCCAACAAGAGTGGAAACAACAGCGACAGGCTACAATCTATTAGTTGAAAGGTTTCCAATAAGAATGGAATATCAACATACCCCGATAGTGATATCCTTGGAGGTAGCAAAGAACCAGTAGATCAGAACACCCATGAACGACGAGTAGAGACCAAACTGGACAGGCAGCTGGGCAAGTTTGGCATAAGCCATACCCTGAGGCACGACAACAACACCAACAGTCAAGCCTATAGAAGAGATGTCAGCATGATATATACTTCTAACAGGAAGAGAGAATTCAAGACTCACCAGCCACGATATCACCAACCAGCCATTGGACGTTATACCTCGTGATCCAGTTGAGGAAGGGGAAAAGACTGATCAAATAGTTGACAATGTCTTCACCGTTTGGGGTGAGCTCCCTGAAGTAGTCCATCGTCGTCGGGTCCCGGTCGAAGTACATCTCTGCAGATTGGACGGAGAAGGTGGACTCGCCGCGGGTCACGGGGTCAGTAGGGACAGGAAACTCATCCTTGAGGCCAAGGACTTTTTTGACGCCCGCTCCGAGCTTCTGCATCTTGGTCTGATATTCGGGGGATTCTGAAGCCATTGTGGATTTTTTTTTGATGACCGTTGAAGAAAGGTATATATAATAAAGCTGGACCAGCAGCTAGGTAATATCCTATCTATGGGTTAAAGAGGATAGGAAGAGCCGGATCGGAAGACTGGAGCAGAGCTTTGAGCAAGAAAGTCTCAAGCAAGAAAGATGACAAGAGCTTCGATTTGGCGGAGGTTGGAACGATAGAGCTACCGGGCTCAAGATCAACGGGTCCTTCTGGAAATGGTGAGCTTATTGCGTGCCCATTATCAGACTGATGTTGGATGCAAATGTCAACTAAGGGTCGGTTCGGACAGAAACAGTCACGAATATCAGGTCGATCCCTTGATGGACAGCAACCACACCAGCTCACTAATGGAGGAAGGGAGGAAGTATGAAAATGGAGGAGGAAATGAAGGAGGAAGGAGCCTAGAAGAGAAGAGGGTTGGAATTGAGGAGGACTCGACCACCTTTATGAACACTTTGATACGGCCGCCGACCCAGGAGGTTTTTAAGTTATAGATCGATAAGAGAGGTTTGCCCGACGGAGCATGTACCTCCTACGACTGGCGGGAAGTCACGCAATCAATGGGAAACGGGCCAGACAGGACAGTGCAAGGGGAGTGGAGAACCATGGGCCACGGAAATCCAGGGAGACAATCCACAGTTTCCGCCTTTGACCGTAACATCGAAACAAGGACGAAGGCTCCCAGACGAGAGACGTCAACCAAAGTGTCGCCGCAGCCATCGGGATGGTGGATCACATTTGCAGTCACTCCTCTAACTGCAAAAATCGAAAATGAGACGTGGGTGGGGGGCGCGCCAGGAATTGCAAAAATGGTCAGTCAGGCTTCTTTACTCGACTTGTACATGCCGTCCTAGGCCGGAGGGATAGGCAACAAGCTTAATTTCCAGCCATAACCGCTACAAGGATGAATGGGTTGTGTGTGTCTATCAGTCAGGCCGGAGCAACAGGGTGGTAAAATAATAAGGGAGAAAAAGGAAAAAAGAAAAAGAAAAAACTTCCTGTCCTTTTAACGGTCATGATGTGAAAGTAAACAAGGTACACATGAGGATGGTCGTCTCACCAAGCCTTTTTACAACGTTTGCTATCTCCCCCTAAGATGAGCTTGATATCGCCCAGAGATAGGCGCCGAGTGAGCAGTTCATCTCTTCAACGCCCATCAGACTGTGACAAGAACGTGCTACTCAACATCAAGCCTCTCGTCAGGTTTCTTGTCCAGATGAAGATTTCAGCCAGCGTTGTACGCCAAGGAAGGTTAAGTTGACGCAGCTTTTAGGATCAATTATAGCATCGCCTCCAAGACGCTAGATGATGGCATCATACCAGATTCGACAAGCTTCTTTTTTTGTTCTACGTGCAGGCTTGTGAGCCTCTTTTTTTACCCTTTGATGTCCTCTCTTGGAATATCTACGGCTTGCCTAGGGCCCCTGGAGGCGAATCTCTTCCGTCGCCCCGATCCAGTTAGTGTTCTCCAAGGGAAGAGTACTGGTGATGCTGGCGAGGGATCCACCAGATACGATGAGGATAACTATACGATCAGACCTCACAGTGGCATGGGCGGTCTGTAACTTGAAGAAGAATGCAGAAGGAGAGAAAAAAAGAAAGAAAGACGCAGGCGAGAGATGGGGTTTGACAATCAGTTTCCCCGACCCCGTACGAGCTCATCCGTCAACTATTACGACATCGTACATATCGTGCATGAAGCAGCTTACCAACTGGTCACGAAGCAACGGGGGTAGACGATGGATGGATGGGTGAACAGCAGACATTCAAATACTCGATCAGCTCAAGAGTTGGCGTTGTGATTTTCTGACACACATGACTAATCTTCAGCCCCCGGCTCCAAGTGCAGACAGATATAGCGATGTTTCGCGACCTTGTGGCAACCTCGTGTATGGATGGGCTGAATGTAAAATACTCCAAGACAACAACAACCCAGACAGGGCAGATCCCAAGCAGGGGGCTCAGAGATAAGAATTTGCAGGGCTTAGGAAAGAGTTCTTGGCACGGTTATGGGGGGGACTGCTCCGTATTCCTATTTTTCCACGGCCCATATTGCTTTTCCTTCAAGCATGAATAATATGTGGAGAATCCTGGACCAAGCAAGGGCCCTGCAACGAGGCTAATAGGTTAAACTGTCTGGCTGCTGTACTAGCGGTTAGAAAGGTTGCAAGAGGGCTGGGAAGAGGCAGATCAGGGTCGACCCGGCCGTTTCACGATACGTCAACACCATCTCTGGCGGACCGAAACACCATGGTCAGCCAGCACTATATACGGGAATTTCGGCTAGCAGTCGGCATCGATGTGCGGGTTATCATGTGACCATGCTCCCAAGTCTCGAGAGAGAGAGAGAGAATGAGAAACAAGGAAGCGAGCAGAACGGGCCTGGCTGCTGCAGGACCTAGTTTGAATAGCCCCAACTAGCTGAAAAGAGGCTATGTCTCGTTCTATTTCTGTCTCTAGCAAACCAAGAGCTGCCGCCGCCACAGTCTCACACAACGAAGCCAGCTTGCAGCACACAGCCAAAGGAGTGTCCGATGCTATAGTCATCAGCAGGTTCGGTCCGGTTGGTGGGCGACAGGGGAAAACTGGCAGCAGGCATATTGCTCTCTCGCCATGCCGCGTTCTGCGCTGTATGGAATTAATTGCCAGAAGTTGTCGTTACTTCAGGATGTATATCTGATCTGGCTTCCCTGTTCGATCAGCTTGGCAGTCATTGGCCGTAACTTGACCATCCGCTGGCCCAGACAGTTTGGAAGGAAACCGGTCTATCCTAAAAATTATTCAGCCAACACATTTCACGGCTGGTGCCCGAGATATGAGGTACAGGAAACGAGATCTCCACACCACGAACCCCTACCCCAGCGTTTGGTACTCTCTCGCCCATGGCAGACAGGGATTATCAACAAGGATTCGCTGTCACATATGCCGTATCGCATTTTCCCGTTTTGAAACAACTGCTGACATATTTACATAATTGCATTACCCTCTCTCATCTTTGAAATATTTACTTCCAACTGCCTACTTTTTCGCCTCAAAACATGAAAGAATGACTCAACAACACGAACACCTTGGCAGCTCAAGGATGAGAGACAAGATTTCTCAGCACCTGGAATCATCCCATCCCTGGACCCTTGACCGGTTATCATCGACGCCCAGGGATCGTGGAAAAGCATAAAATGCTTGAATCCCCTCTTGTGCAACCATGGAAATGCAACACTCAGGCCCGACTTATATGCACAACACAACGGCGTAGTAAGGTCGTCCGACAGTGGCCGTCTTCTTTCCCCGATTGCGGCATAACCGGCTGGCTTGACCTGTGTATTCTCATAGAGAGGTTCTGTTGGTCAGTGTATTGGAGGATTATTTGGTTCAATGCTGGTTCATCATCAGTTCATCACCAATTCATGGAACATGCATGCTATCCTTCCTTCTCCATGACTTCAGCCCTTCGGCAGCCTGCTCGATAACTCTGGTTCCTGGAAAGCCCTAGAGCAGAATTGAAGAAAATTGCCTGCAGACACCATTATTTATTCCCCTATCACTGAGATGCAGCCTATTTCGTACTACGTCTTACAAGTGTCTTGAGCCAACACCGGAAATACGGAGGTAGATTCAAGGCTGATCAGCCTAAAGAAAAAGGCACCATGGCCAGAGCCAACCCTCGAATCAAGGCATCTACCACTTTTTCTAGGAAATATGGTTTCGTCGTTTACATATTTCAACACTATTGCTACATTTCTGAAAACATTTGTATCGTTATCAATACATCTTCGTATCGCCATGCGACATCGCTAAGGTAGATCCTACATCCTAGCACCCATTGTCAAAACAAGCCCTGGCTTGCCACCCCAAGTGTCTTACTCAAGGACATCTGGAGCATTTGCGAGAGGCATTCCTCACTTTGAAGGCCAACGTTAAGATCAAAGAGTTTGCTTCCCACGAAGCGAGCTGGGGGGCACAGCACAAAGTGGGAATGGCAAGGCGAACCCCTATATTTGGTTTCTACTGCATTATTCATAGTTGTTGGTGCCTGCTCTACAGTTTCACGACAGAGAAAACTATATTCCAGTAGCATGAAGTCAGTTTAGGCTCATGCGGATAGATGCACTGTGATTGAAATATATTCGTGTGACATACAATTCGCTTCCGGACCGATTTGGCGAGTGCGCATCCAAAATCGTTCAGCAAGAGATAACGCTTGTGTATTCTGGAAAGGAAAATGAACAGTCTCCAGGAGTGAACCAGGGAGCCGAATGAAACAGGAAATAAAACACTGTGGTGCGAACGGTTCAAACACCCGTATCATTCGGTACACGGTCGTCCCGAATACGCCTAACAACCCTGGCGGCGGTTCAATTCTCTGCACGAGTTATAGTCTATGTTTGGACCAACCAGCCCTAATCAAAATAGATGCTCACACCTTAAATCGTGATATCAAGCAAGTGACATCGCAGCAACGAGAAAAGGGATAGTGACACAGAGCAGTGTTCTAGGCGCTAGATGCCTTGAGCAGCGGTAGCACCACCTGCAATGCAGAAGACATCAAAGGAAATTATCGAACTATGGCAGATACATTTCCGACAAATATCTGGTCTCGCCAGGCATCATCCTACAACGTGCAATTATTACTTGTTCTAGAATTTTTCACTCAGGATCCCTCTTTGCTTTTTCTGATCTGGGTAATCCTGTCACAAACAGAGCCAGTAGGACAAAACACGATCTGCGCCTGGCCAAGCAAATGTCTTTCTGACACGGGGAGTGGACCAGATCCTGTTAGTGGGTTTGTTCTCCAACTTTATTTCTTCCATGCAACGCTGATATACATAGTACATACATATCAACTCTGATGCTATGATATGCCTGGAACACGGAGATGCTATTCTAGGATCCGTGGCTGAGACCGAGGCCCTGGACAGGCAGCTGAATGAGACGGAAGGATGCGCAGACACCTCTTTCATCTTCCGTCCAGTAAACATTTCATGCCTTCTTCGCCCTTGCCGCATCACATCCATCAATCATATATTTTAAATGAATGAATGACTTGTCTGTATGCGCGATGACTGTTGCACTGAAGCTGCAATTTCCTGTCTCAGTTCAGTACCCCCATGCCCCCGGGTATCTTTCCGCTAGCATCACATCTTATGATTATTTATTTCTCTCTGTTCGTTGAGCAGACATTACTTCAGTCTTCGCGTGATGAGCCAAATAAGCCCCAAACTGTGGCTGCCCGCTGACTTGACCATTCCGACACATGATACTATCACCGTCCATCAGAAGTCTTTGAAGAATCACTGCGGCCCAACACCCACTTCCCTTTCGACGGGGAACACTCCATACGATGCCGCTTTATGTTTGCGAAGAGGCACTTGCGCTCTTCATGCAAGAAGTGCAACAAAAAATGTTCGCTTCCTAACGCAACGCTTACATTGGAATCCAGAGGATGAAGCCTCTGAAGCCCAAGGACGATCCGGTCCTCGTATTACGCGTTTTTTTTTTCTGACATTTTGTTTTTTTCCCTTCTTCTTTCGGTTATTGCTTTGATTGATGGACTTTGACAGTCTTTTGGTGAACATTTAGTGTTCGTGGTTGTGCGTTTTGCAGTAAAAAGATCAATGCCATTTTTTTTTTTTGCTGACGCTGAAGCCACGAACGATGCCAATGTGAGCAGATCCCGAAATGAATGAGGGGGTGCCGTGCGCCCCTAGCTAATAACAAAACATCGGTGAATTGATATTTATCTTGCACACTTGGTGTGTTGGGTGTTCGGACAATTTGCGGACTGATTACTCGATCCACTATCAGTCGGTCAGTGCCAGAGGTTGGGCCTATCGTATTGGTAAACGAGCAATGCATGCCACCCGTCCATGTTTACCATGTACTGCTTTGGGCAGATCTACGATAACCATCGACCACAACATACAAAGTATGTTCCGTGCTGCTGAAGTCACCCCTGGGAGAAGCAATATATAGGCCGGCCCATATCAATATCTCCAGAACGCCATCGGAACGCCATCTTCTCCCCCGGAGTATTTCGTGTCCCTCTGTACGTCGTACTATATGTAAAGTACTCCCCATCCTCCGGACTTAACAATTCTTCCACGATATGATCGCCGGCTCGCGGTGGAAGCCCCAAAGCAAATGCCACGGGCAAACCTAAATCTGCCGAAAACTCTATTGCTCTGCCGGTACTGCTAAGGTATGGGAATGGTTACGAGAGTAATTATAGCTCCAAATGGCGATAAGACATGCTTGGGGCTGAGAGATATCAACAACACAACACGTAATGAGCTCTTGTTCCTTCAGTCGACATGGGGCCCTTGACCCTTGGCAAAAACGCCCTTTTATTCCCTGGGTACATATAAATATATATACATATACGGAGTATATATATACGTCTGATATCCCCAGCTACATATCGTCTCTCGGTATATTGGCTAAAGGAGCCTACTATGAACATCTCTCGCAGGAGTTCTTAGCGGAGGGCACGCCTCCTTCGGATTTACTAACAACTAACTAGATATATCATAATACTCCTTAAAATAAGCGGTCTCCGGCCGGCTCACGTTGCTTTTTCCACTAAACCCAATCTTGGTTATATTCATCCCTATGTGGGAAGAGACGTGCAACATATCTGACCAAAGAGGGTGCTTTGTTGGGCCGACTTTATTACAAATACGACCTATCTTTAGTGTTTTCCTCGGGGAAAACTACCCACCTATCAAAAGGACTGCACTACCTTGGATTATATGCAGAATTCACGTGCGGTGTTCGTTCTTCTGAGGGGAAGAAGAAAGTCGCAAAAGTTGCTTTTGATAACTATATTCAGAGGTCCATATATTGTACACACCTTCAAACCTCGAAAGGCGGCCATGAAGAAGAAATACTGTCCCTTCAGCTTGGCGCAGGAACCGTCAGTTATTTTCTTTTTGCTCTCCTTCCCACTCTTCCGACCTTGGCAATAGGCAGAAGAGCACCTCCGCCAGTCTACATCGGTCTAGAGAAGCTTCTCCTTGGCCTCAATAAGCGACCTTGGCCTTTCTTCGCCTACACTATGGCTTGAATCAAGCTCCTCTTGGAGATGTCGGCTGGGGACATACCTAAGCGTTGTTCTGTCCAATTAATAACCAAACGGGGACCAGATAGTGTTAATCCACCCACGGAGGACGGAGTACTCCGTGTTCTGAATACCAATGTCACAAATCAAGCATCCATCTACCTTGACTGTTCCATCTGCACTCCATATCGACTCAGCCTTTAGCTATACATATTCTGTATAGTCTGAGGGGGAGCTACCGTGCTTCCTATTGGCCGCACTAGCCACCAACGCCAACTTCAGAAGCCATCCATCTCCGAAAATGAGGATTGGCGCAACCCCAAGAACATCTGATCGGCCACGCCCGCGTGATAATCAGTACCAGAGAGCTCGGTACCAACGAAATACCTACAGCTCTTCCCTCGAAAAGGTGTGCATTATGCGATCGTCATGGTGGTATGATACTTCAGTATCTCGCATTCATGTATGATGATGTCGAAGAGCAGGAAGGCAAATACGTATCCGTCAGTCGTCTTGGATCCCCTGGCTTATACCCCACGAATTAAGATATGCTTGGAATGCCAGAAGATACTTGGCCCAAACCCTGATATCTGCTTGAGTGCTTTGAGTGCTGCCATATGTTCCTTGGCCCTGACTTTGTTTTGTTTCTTTGCTTCTTTGCTTCTTTCTGTCTATCCGAAATGATACCCACCCGCCCACGATAACCACCTGAGTATAGAGAGGCAGCCTCCAAAGTCTCCACTACCCTTGCTCCCCAGGCATTTCTATGGGTTTAAATACCCCCCCATGGCCTTTACATGGCGATCAAGCAGCATGCACTTGTGTGCATGAGAAGCCCCGGTCTTTATCCCAATAGGCCTAAAATGACGTGAACGCGGCAGGAGGAAACGAGTACAGCATAGATGGCCCATTTTACCCATGGAAGTATACACCCGGAAGTTAAGAAGCGAAACACGGACAAAATGCCAGGCAATGTTTACTCAAGTATTCTCTGCCTTATCCTCTAAACCCCACAAATATATGCGACCGGATCAGCTCCCGCTAGACGTAGTGTAGCTATCACTACTACAAGTACGAATTTTGCAAACTCACCGTCCGCCACATCCACATCCCGTGAGACTCGTTACTTATGCAGTAGCATGGATTTTGCTAGAATAGCTAAGGGTCTGTGATTGCGAGACGGAGTGGCCTGACCAATTTCCCGCCCAAGGCCGACTGCTGAAGGAAGTATCAAATCTGACAGCGCGAAAACAGATATTAAAGCTATTGGTCCATATTTCGTATTTTAGGGTATTGATTGACCCGGTGGGACGGCGAGAAAGTCTCCGTTCAATATACACATCGCTGAGATAATTTGTCTCACGTTGGGGTCAAGTATGATCTCATAAGTGTTGAGTTATCAAATAAACATCTGGACGTCCTCTTCCATACTCGTCCAAGGAGCACCGCTTTACCTAGCTATCACGATTCGTATCCAGAACAGAGACCATCACCGCAGGGCACTTTTTACTGCCATTCCTTGTTGTATTTGGCTAGCATTTCTGGTTGAATAGATATATCTATGCCACTGTCCTGGAGCTTGGAAAGAGCGATCAGACAGTAAAACTACGTGGTACGTGTGCCCCTGAATAATAAAAATTATATATTTATCTGAGTGCCTTCTTACATGTATCTATATCAAGCTTGGAGTGAGTATTTCCATTCCCACTGTGCTTTTCATATATACTTCGCAATCATAATTATCCATCGCCAGCTACTATCTTCTTTGAAACAATAGACCCAGCTCATACAGGGAGTTGGTTTAGACCCCGGTGTAGGTCATTAAGATGAGTTGCATAACATAATAAATTCAAATATGTCATTATTCTAGATTTACCTACTATCTGAAGGCTATATATACAAGTCGACTCAGGCTCATGGTTAACTAGTCAAATCAACAATAGAAACGGAATGAAGATCAAAAGAAAACGTCCAACTACTGTATTCTCTTTACTATATATTTTCTAACTTCTCCTACTAGTTATGTATTGATATGATAAAAGGGTTTTCTACCTTGGGCTGGACGGAACCAAGAGAAGCCACGCCGCAGAAGCAGATGACGGACGACGACAGACAGGGCAAGCAAGATCAAGTCAGGCCATTCCGAATATAATCATAAAAGAAAATGGATTCGTTCTATTTCAAACAACAGACAAAGTAGAGGAAATAAAAGGACAACACGAAAAGGGAGGGAAATTAGACTTCGACGTCGATGTGAACGTAACGAATTGGAAAATGGATCAGGTCAGTCACATCGTCAAGAGAAACAAAGAGAGTAGAAAAAGAGTAAAGTAAAAAAGAATTCGCCGATCGAATGCAATGAAATTATAAGTTTCCCGACCACCGACCACATTGATGTCTTTTTTTTTTATTCCAGTTCGTTTATCATTCAGCGCATCGCACACACTTCGCTATCACACCCCCTCATGGCAACAGGCACCGGGTTTTCTTCAAATGTTCCGTACCGCTTACTGAGATGCGCACTGCATTCTCTCGGCGCCGGGCGGTATGCCATCTTCATCATCATCATCACCTCTGGCAGCTCCTTGGGCTCTAGCTTGGCCTCCGTTGCTGTCAACATTCTCCAAGGCAAAGTCCTCTACCATGCTGTCTGGTGGTGGAGCCTCCTGGGTCAAACGTGGTGGTAGTACCTTCTCGAGCAGTTCGAGGTTCTGTAGCTGGTCCTTCTCAGGAAACTGGACGTTAAACTGGATGTAAAGATTTCCGAAGTCGTGGTGGCGGTAGGATGGCATTCCTTGACCAGGGATTACTTTGATTTGACCTTTAAGTAGAAAAATTGTTAGAATAGAGTTTAAAAACGCATAGGGGAAAGAAAGGGGAAATACCTGGTGTAATTGGTTCCCCTGGGGCGATGGTCACACTAAGCCATCGTTCATCGAGATGCTCAATGTTAATAGTACCACCAGCTAATGCAGTAAGAAGGTCAATGTTAGCCTGGTAGAACAGGTCATCGTCCTTGCGCTGGAATCGAGGGTGTGGTTTCTGCTCAATTTCGAACTGAACGTCTCCGGGCAACGCGTCTGGCATCTGGTCGCCTTCACCACGAAAGTCGATCTTGTGGCCTGTCTTAACACCCCTGTCCACGTGAACGTGTAGGACTTTTCGTTCTAGGATAGTCTTCTTGCCGAGACAGCGCTTGCAGCGGTCGCGATCACGGATAGTTTCACCTTCACCACCACAATCCTGACAGACAGTTTGGAATCGTTGAATCATAGGGCCCATCTGGCGCATCATGGTACGCATACCAGAACCATTGCAGGGTCCGCAGGTCTTGACGGCACCCTCCTTTCCACCTCGCCCATCACACTGGGAGCATATGGCAGATTTTTGAAGGGCGAGTTTGCTGATTTTGCCGCGATAGATGTCTTCGAGGCTGACCTTGTGCACATGATGGATTGTGCGCGCCTTTTTGGGGCCAGTTTCGCGCATTCCGCCGCCAAACATACCACCGAAGGCACCACCGCCTCCACCGAAGAATTGGGCAAAAAGGTCTTCAGCGTTCATGCCGCCGCCGGCACCGCCCTGCTCAAGACCCTCTTCACCATACTGATCATAGATGGAGCGTTTTTGGGGATCCGAAAGAATTTCATAGGCGTGGGAGAGGTCCTTGAATTTTTCCGCAGCATCGGGGTTATGCGCATTTTTATCTAAGGCTGGTTAGCAAAAGCGCCTGTCTATTAAAGGGAAGGAATATTACCTGGATGATGCTTCAAGGCGCCTTTCTTGTAGGCAGTTTTGAGCTCTGCTTCTGTGGCTGTTGGGGCAACCTGGACAAGTCAGTATTACGGTGATTGGCGCTGGATTACGAATGAAAGTGTTGGCTTACCCCCAGGATCTCATAATATTTGGTTTCTTTCACCATGGTGACTCGTCGAAGAGTCTATCGAGATAGAAAGAAAAACAGAGAAAGCAACAAGTAAATCGAGCTAGAGAGAGGGGTAGTTGAATTCTTTCGTGGTAAATCGAGGTAGTTTGCTTCTCCGACACTGTCTGACGGTATGAGCCTTGTTAGAAAGGATAACCTGACGGTTAAAAAGGTGTGCAGTGCCTCTAAGGTCAAGAAGCCAGAAGTTGATGAAGTTGATGAAGAGGAAAAGTGAAGGGCGAAATGTATGTTAAATTGATGGAATTATTAACGCCGATGCTTGAAGCTGGCGAACGGTGGACGGCGGCAGGGAAAAAAAAAGTCAGAGGGATGCGAGGCCCGCGGTGGGTCAGCGTTCCGTTGGTAACTATCACTTCAGCCACAGTACTTTCTTTGAGATTGTAAGAAACTGCAGTGAAGAATATCTCGACAACGAATAAAGATGTAGCGATGCTAGTTTCTGCTATATGTTCCTCGAGATCGCCTCTCTCTTATATCCAGATCTTGTATCTAAACTCTTCTTAGCAATGTCTGGATAAAGGCAGGGAGGCAGCCGAAATCTCTTGACCAAGTAGCTTACCATACCGTACCCAGCGTTCCTGCTGGGCGTGTGGCGTTGCAGTTCTGGAGGCTTCCACGGCTCTCTAGCGCTTTCTCTGCGCTTCCACGACCTGAGTAAGCAGCCACACACAGTCTTACCAGGCAGAAGCAGACTTGATACTCTCAGATTTTATATTCTGGCGAAGAGAAAGAAGTCGAAGACGAAGACGAATAAGAAGAAGTTGAAGTCTGGATTACTAAAATAGGAAGAAAGAGACGAAAAAAGTTACGCGCGCTTAGATAAGAGAGCGATGAGCTTGGCGGTGTGTCCCGAATAGGAAGGGGAAGAGAGTTGGCAGAAAAGGAGATATATAGATGTAGGCCCTGAAGGAGTAAGACTATGTTCTATTGCAAGGCCGGGCGGAATTAAACGTCCTTGGGGTTGGCCAGCTTATATACATCATCAGGGGTTACTTCTCATCATATAAAAAATCTCTAGGTAGCAGTGAGTCGATGTATCTCTTCAAAGTAAAACTTCAAGTCATCCGGTTTAACGAACGGCGTAACTCCTGTAGTCAACGGTTAGCACTAGTCATAAAAAGCTCAATTGTGTATACGCACCATGCCCCAGGTTGGCAATCCAGCCTTGTTTTCCACCGCCGAAGCCCTTTACCATCTCTTCCACCACCGCCGTTATCCCTTCTCTTGTGCCGTAAAGGCATCCGGGGTCCGCATTCCCCTGCAGCACCACTCTTCCATTGGCAACAGCCCGTGCCTTGGCCGCATCATGCTGCCAATCCAGCCCTACAACATCATATCCGGACTCACACAGCTCATCTAGAGCATACCATGCCCCTTTTGCAAATACCGTCATGGGCACAACGTCAAGGCCCATCTCGCGCAATCTCTTGGGCAGATTGGTAGAAATATACCGCAGGTATGGCAGTGCGAAGTCTGCAAATGCTCGTGGGCTAAGCTCTCCGGCCCATGAGTCGAATACCTGAACCATCTGTGCTCCAGCCTTAACCTGCTGTGCAAGATGCTCGACACACACCTCCGAAATCTTCTGTAGTAGCTTCTTCGATGCATCGGCATATTTGTATATCCATGTCTTGATGGCTGCAAACATCTTGCTTCCACCTCCTTCAACCATATAACATAGCAGTGTCCAAGGGGCACCCACAAACCCAATTAGAGGTACCCGGCCGTTCAACTTTTGCCTTGTAAGGGTGATTGCTTTATAGACGTAGTCCAATTCCTTAGTAACGTCGACTGATCGGTTCACGACCTGTGTGTACTGTTCGTCTTCTGGGGTCCGTAGTGGAGAGGGGAACGAGGGGCCCTTCTTATCAATCATCTCGACTTCCATACCCATTGCTTGGGGGATGACCAGGATATCAGAGAAAATGATGGCGGCGTCAATGAGCCCTGCGTAGCGTTCAATGGGCTGTAGAGTGAGAGTTGATGCTATTTCTGGTGAGCGGCAACACTCAAAAAAATCGCGGTTTCCCTTGGCTTCATGGTATTCGGGGAGGTAACGGCCGGCTAGATGGGTATGTTAGACCTGGTTTCCGATCATTCGATGCCAGTTTGGATGTAAAAAGTCCGCACCCTGTCTCATAATCCATATCGGTGGTCGCTCTACGCTTTCGCCTATAGAGGGGTAAGTAATGGTTCTGTGGGGGCAGGGATTTATTTTATGGTGTACCTCGAGCCGTCCGAAGTAGAAGATCATTCTTCAGAGGTGCAAATTGGTTAGACATGGTTGTTGTGATTGGCATGCGCTGTGGTTGGTTGGTATGAGGGGTGGAAGTTGATAATATTAAAGCAGTTTGAATATCAAGTTAAACCTTTTTAGCTAGCAAAATAGGCCGGGCTGGCGGAACAGCTCCACGAAAATTATGTATACACCCGCTGCATGATAGTATTTGCTGCTTATTTTGAAATATGTAAATGCCATTGGTTAATTCCTATGAGCTATGCCAAAATATATGGTTGTTTTTCTTGGTTTTTTCATTCTTCATCACCCCGCACATTTTTGCGGAAGTTTCCTATAAAATACAAAGATTCTCCAAGCTGTTTCAGCTGCTTCTGCCTCTCCTTCTCATCTTCCGCAATGGACATGTCGAATGATGAGCTACTGTTAATCGCATCTAACGCTGCGCCTGGGCACTCTTCCCACTTAACACTTCCGGAATCCACAGTGGCTGTGAACTGTTGTAGAGCGATGGGAGGGGATGGTTTATTGCACCTTTGGAGAGTTGTCGAGCCCGGTTCATGGACATTGTCTGACGATATTATAATAGCACCTTGGTCGTTAAGACTGGTGCTATCCAGGACATTTCCCGCTGCCTTGATGGTTGACAGTGGTACAAGAGAGTTATCAGCTTTGACGCCGAAGGATAGCAGTTCTTGTGATCTAAAGATATGACTTAATTCAAGTTCAACCAGCTTCATTATTTGAGGAGTCAACTTACCCTTCAACAGAGACGAGAATTGCCCCTTTTACAAGCTGGTATAAACTGGGTTGTCCCTCGAAGGATACTGCTAGAAGACCACCGACAGCAATATCCCCCTGGCTTCGGTGCTCAAGTTCCAATAGAACCTTCTGGGTTACGCGCCCCTCTCTCCAGTTCCAGACGAGGATATAATCATCACCGCCACCAGATATTAATAATTCCGGGGCCCAGGGTGGGATGCATAGTTTGCTAACAAATGATGTGTGGCCCAGGCAGTACCCGTGAATTATATGCGCCTGTGGCAATCCTCTTGAGACACGGATATGCTCATCCCTATCCGCGGATAGGATATAGCTTCGCGAGTCATCTGGAAACGATACGAATGCCAGGTCTGTCAACATCGACACGTGGCCCAGCAGTAGTTTCAGCTCAAATGTAGGTCCAACTTTCTCACGTTTGACGACTGGCGACCGTAGTTGTTGCTGGAGAGAGTATAAGTTTTTCTTCGTATGGACTGTTAGTGGGTTGGCGGAGGGCTTGAATGCTTTCGGTTCTGTCGCTGGTGCGGTCACCGTAGTATCGGGGGGTCCGTAGTCGTCACCTGGCAGGAGGGGGAGTGAGTAGACGTCCCCGAACTTATCTCCGCAGAGGATGACCGTGTTTCCCTGTGTTAAGGCGAGTGCGCAGGGTTTTTTGGGCATGCATCTGGCACGGCAGTTAGATAGATTTTACATAAAACATGGCTGAAAACAGGCTAACCGTTCACTTAGTTGCCTCAAGGTCCCGTCAATGCCCACTTCAAAGACCCGTAGACACTTGTCTTCTCCCGTTACCGCGATAACATGTTCCCCTGACGGCGTACTTAGCAGCAGCGATATGGTTGTCCAAACAAGCGACGTTTTAGATTTAGGCGCCGAATGGGTTTTGCCATCGATTTTCGTATCGCCTGACGCAGGTGATAGCTTGCGCCTTTTTCCTGGCGGCGGCGTGCCTGCACGATCGTTGGTAGGCTTATCCTCTGCTTCCGGCTGGCTCTCAGCGGGAAAGGGCGGTTGAACAGCCGTGGGAGATGGCCAGACGTCCAATTGAGTACCATCCTGAGTATCAAACGTATACAACTTCGGGCCAGCTGCGGCAACGAACAGGCTGCGCTGAGCTCGTTGCAGCCGCTCTATTCGCTGTATTTGATGGCGGAGGGCCATATTATCCCCACGATTAGACAGGCAGTGGAGGTTGGAGAGTAGCGTCAGTCGCCGGTGTTATTATCTACTATCCACCGTTAATAGAACATCGCAGAATGCAGGTTAAAACAAGTACTTACTCTGTCCAATTCCTCCAAGTCTTTCGCTTCTACTTCTGAGAATTTGATACGAGGAAAACATCATATACATCACGTGATTCACTAGCGAGGAAGCCAAAAAAACCACAAAAAAGCCAAAAGATAAAAAAGAGAGTAAAAAAATACAACCAAAAAGAACATCAACAACATCAACCATCAATCAACCATTTGCCCTTAAATATCCTCTCTTCAGCAGCATAAGAAGACATGGGGGGCAGATCTGAAGCCAAGGCCGCTTACTTCGATAAGCTCAAGAGCCTTCTTGACGAGTATCGATCCATTTTCATCGTCAACGTCGACAATGTCAGCTCCCAGCAGATGCACGAGATTCGTGTTGCTCTCCGTGGGCAGGGCGTCGTGTTGATGGGAAAGAACACCATGGTAAGCTTGCGATTATCAGGGAAGTTGAGATTGATGGGGAATGGAAGCTAATGGATGCAGGTTCGCCGTGCTCTCAAAGGCTTCATCGGTGACAACCCTGAATATGAACGCCTGTTGCCATTTGTCAAGGGTGAGTAGTATAAAAGTTTTGCAGTAAAAGAAGAGAAATAGAGGGAGTTGCTAACGAAGCATTGGCAGGCAACGTTGGCTTCATCTTCACCAACGACGACTTGAAGGAAATCCGTGAAAAGATTATCTCCAATCGAGTCGCTGCTCCTGCCCGTGCTGGTGCCATTGCCCCCGTCGATGTGTACATCCCGGCCGGCAACACTGGTATGGAACCCGGCAAGACCTCTTTCTTCCAGGCTCTCGGTGTGCCCACCAAGATTGCTCGTGGTACCATTGAAATCACCACCGAGCTCCGTCTCGTTGAGGCCAAGAGCAAGGTCGGTCCATCCGAGGCCACCCTCCTCAACATGCTGAACATCTCTCCCTTCACGTACGGTATGACTGTCGCCCAGATCTACGATGCTGGCCAGACTTTCGACTCGAGCGTGTTGGACATTGAGGAGGACCACCTTCTTAGCGTTTTCCAGAGCGCTATCAACACCGTCGCCTGTGTCTCTTTGGCGACCAACTTCCCTACCATGCCCAGTGTTATCCACTCTATTCTCAACAGCTACAAGAAGTGTGTGGCTATTGGTATTGAGACCGAGTATAGCTGGGAGGCGATTGAGCAGTTGAAGGACCGCATCGCCAACCCTGACGCCTATGCCACTGTTGGCCCTACCGTGACCGATGGACCAACCGACAAGCCCCAGGAGGAGGCCAAGCCTGAGGAGGAAGAGGAAGATAGTGAAGACGAAGGCGGTAAGTCATTATTCTAATACCCCGTTTATCTTTTTGGAAGTGGCTAATGAGTTGGATACAGGATTCGGTGATTTGTTCGGTTAAACTGATGGATATGAACGTATGATGTATCTATGACACCTAACCAACAACTTTTCGCTAGTGAAAATGCACACACACAACAACGCCTAGGCTATTTTCTTTTCTCTTGCTCCCACGTTAAGCTACCGAACTAACTAGTGTTCCGCCTCCGTTCCCGTGTCCCCTTCATAAAACCCATTTCGGTAAGCCAATAACTCTCTCTTCTTTTTTTTGCTCTTTCTCTTCCTCCACCCCTTGCTACCCATACAAACATAAAACATAAAACGCACATCTCGCCAGGCGAAAGATTATACATTTTTAACCCCGAGTGGCCCGTCTGGGCCTCTTTGAAGATTACAAACGCAACAACACTCTAATTTTTTCATGACGCCTTTTGATCTTAATTATTTTACCTTGTGCTTCTTTCTTGAGTTTGTGGGGCATGAGCTAACTGGAAGTCTAGATGACACCGAAGTGCGATGTAGACTTGTAGACCGTCTCGGCCTTTTAAAAAGGGCCATCATGCATGCAATGTCTGGATTCTCCATGTCCATGTCTCAACCGTCTCTCCAACAACCTATCGGAACCTTAACCCCGCATCGTCTGAAGGGGGGCCTTCCAGGTTCCTGGATGGAAGTAAAATATATGTGCAAGTTGTAAACATGGATAGTACGAATATACCGTATACACATACATTACATAGTACGTCTTGGAGCAAGGCGAAGGGGAGAAGAAAAAAAGGGGAGGGGGGAGAAGGAAGAAAAAAAAAGAATTAACCCGTCGATCGAGTCCAGCCTTGATGATTGAAGCACAGAGTCATGTTCCTGACTCCTTTCTGCTCCTTAAAAAAGCACATGTCTATATATTCTTGTAGGGCGTTGTGGGAATCGACTATCACGCCACGAGTGCCCTGACCTGTTTCATGTTTCATGTTTTTTTTGCTCTTCCTTCTCGTCCGCTAGCCGGGATGCCGGAGCGTGGGGAAGACGGGATAGGCGTGAGAGGTAAAGAAGAGAGGGTGAAGGAAAGGCGGCCTCGGCATGGGAATCAGTGACGATCGACTGGGAGGCTCGTGTAGATGGAGTCGATGGAGATGGGGGACGTATATATGAGGGCTGATATAGAATACGACATAAACGGTTGACCGTTTTGACAGGAGAAGAAGAAGAGAAGATACCGACGCAGCGCGCGAGAGAGAGAGAGATCACCCTCTCCCGCTGACCTAAAGACGCCTTCCGTGATGATCAACTCGGGCTCGCCGTCGATATCTGTATAAAAAAGCACTCTGTACGTATTCGATGGATGTGCCAGGCTATGCCGTCTCGGTGCAGTGCAAGCGCGGCAGAGCGATGGGCTTCCAGAAGGGCCGCGCAAGATCTCACAGGCGAACAAGAATGATGAATACGAGGTCCAGGGCAGGGAAGTCGGCCATGCAGTCACTAGACTGGGCCTTTCTTTTCCTGCTAGTCGCATGTCTGTCTTCCTCTTCTTCCATCCACCCCTTCACGTCGTCCAAACCAACCAACCGTCCATCCGCAGGATATGTTTATGTTAACTGACTTGGTTTATCGCATCATATGCTTGATGCTATATATAAAAACCCTGTATGGCCGCCGTAAGATACCGTAAGATACCTTGATAACGCTGTGTAAAGGCCGTAAAACAGATACATCCTCGGTCCTTCTGGAAGGCCCCGACGGTTCGTTGAGCCTTTCTTGGCAGACAAAAAAGGGAAAAAAAAAAAGGTCGACTTTTTCTTTCTTCTTCTTCTTTTCTTCTCTGTAAATGTTCTCTCGCTTGTTGCTTTCTTGCTTCTCCTGCAGTCTTTGCCTCCTTGTCGCATGTACCCTGGAGCACCCACCTGGAGCACCCACTTCGACCCCCCCCGGAAACCGCTTACATAGCCTTTCGCGCGCTCTCTCAACTCTCGCACAACTTCCCAACTTCAAACCACCCCAAAAAAAAAAAAAGAGGACAAGGCCCGCACTGGACAAAAGAAGTTTGACGCTCTCTCGTTCTTCCTGCTCGGTCTGCTCGTCTCGCGCGTCGCTGTCAAGATCGGTAAAGTCGTGATAGACACCAAAGATCGAGATCTTTTTCTTTGTTTTAGTAGGGGGAGAGAGGGGGATATCCACTGTTTTTCTCTCTCTCCTTGGAGGTTCGAGTCCAGCCTAATTGAGACCCCACCAAGTCGACAGGCACCGTCGCGGATAAGGAAGAAAGAGGAAAGGCTGGAGTTGAGCTGAAGGGGGAGAAGCAGAAGCAGAAGAAGAAGAAAAAGGTGGAAGCGGAAGAGAGAGAAAAAAGAGAGAGAGAGAGAGAGTGACATGTGTGGCCTGCCACTTCCGCTTTGGGACTGATCCAGATCTCCCTCTCTCTTATTATTTTTTCCCACGTCCATTCGTCGTCTTCTTCTACTTTCTATCGACCTTTTATTTTTTCACCAAGACAAAGGACAAGTTTGGATGCCCTCAGACACACGCTCGACAGGCGACTTCCACGCCTCACCCTTCCAATAACCAGCGATAGACGATGGATGCAGTATGTTGGGCCGTCTACCTGGACGACAGGGTCGAGAGGGAGCGCTGGATAGATAGAGACAGCGAACGTATGATTGAGTCGACGGAGCTCGCAGCAAACGTGGCACGCATCCTCGCCATCTGTAGACAGGGTATGTCCTTTTATTCTTTTTATTCTTTTTTTTTTTTTTTTTCTATTTTATATTTTCCTTTCTCCGTTGGGTACTGAAGAATGAGGTCACAGTGTACGTGTGCAACTCGGGCAAGTCATTTGCTACCAAGGTTGCCGAGTTGACAGACTCTGGCCGTGATCGCGACCCTGATGCGGCTATCATTCCGGTTCTCGCATTCATCGACATTGCTGTGTCTGGGGATGCCGAGTCGTCTCATAACCGACGTTCGTCGCTCAACCTCACGCCCATCTCGCCTCTCGCCCAGCCACAGCAGCAACAACAGCAGCAGCCCTCTGCCGTCTCCCCCTCTTCAACCTCCAGACGCAGTCTCGCCTTCTCGTCCGAGTCAGAAGAGCTCTTTGGTCTACACCTGCTCTCGCGCTTCTCTGCGGACATACAGGCCCGCGAGGCTCCTCACGCCATCATCCCAATCGCCATATTAAGAAACGTACTGCCGCCTTCGACGCATAACTTGCGCAGCGGGAAAACCGTCGAGTCTAGCCCGTCAACGAAACCGAGCTCGAAACGACCGGACGACCGTCAGATGTCGAGATGTCTGGACGCCGGTGCCATTGACGTCCTCGTGTCGCCTATCGACCAGACCAGAGTCCACGGACTGCTTACCCATGTGTATCGGATACGAAAAGCGGCCCAGAAGGAGAACAGTCGCTTCATGGCAGCGTCGGGCCAGAAGATGAGAAAGTATTCCTGGGTAGGCGTCAGCTCGACCGCAGATGATGAGAGACCCTATGCCTATCTCAGAGAGGCCATGTACGTGTTTTTTTTTTGGTCTCCCTTGTCTTTTCCATGATTCACCCAATGCTGATATTACCTCTAGGGTGTCGAAATTGATGAAGAGAATATGCAATCCGGAAGAAGCCTTGGATGACTCGTTGATTAGTGATGTATGCGTCTCGGATGAACGCAAAGAGGAGGTCAAGGCTGCCATTGCGGAATGGCATTTCTGTGCTCATGACTTTACGGATGATGAACTATTCATGCTTCCTGTTTGATGTTTGAACATACTCTCACCATGCCGGAGTTGGAGCACTGGAGGATCAGCCCCGGTACGTCTCTCTTCCTCACATGCACACGGCCGTCCCATGATATATATATAATTACTAACTTAGTACAGAGGCTCTACGGGAATTTGTACTCTCCTGTCGCGCGGCATACAATTCTTTCATACTCTATCACAACTTTCGCCACGCTGTTGACGTCCTCCAGTCGACCTTCCACATCCTCGTGCGCGTGGGCGCAGTCCCTCCATTCCCCCAGGGAAGCGAACGTTGCTCCTCTGGGACAGGGATGTCATGTCTCCTAACCCCCTTTGACGCTCTCACCCTCCTGGTTACTGCCCTGGGCCACGATGTTGGCCATCCGGGTGTTAATAACATGTTCCTCGTCAAGCTCAACGCCCCCCTTGCTCAGCTCTACAATGACAGGTCAGTCCTTGAGGCCTTTCACTGCGCTGCTTATTCTCAGATACTGCGTCGGCACTGGCCCACTGTCTTTCAAGATACAGAACTGCGGACCCTCATGATAAGCTCAATACTGGCCACCGATATGGGGATTCACAATCGCTTCATTGACGAGCTAGGGAAACTTAGGGGTAGGTTTGAGGCTGATGCAAGAAAAGTTGATAATTGGATCGAGAAGGATGTTAGGGATTATCGCGTTCTGCTTTGTGCCCTGATCATCAAGTGTGCTGATATCAGTAATGTGGTGCGTACACAATCAATCATCCTTAAAAAAAATCTTCAGCAGAATCTTTACAGGCTAACTTTTCCAGGCACGCCCATTCAACGTTGCGGAAAAATGGACCGACGTTTTGCAGCAGGAGTTTGCTAACCAAGGGGAAATGGAAGTAAACATTGGTATAGAGACGTCTCTTTTCGGTGGACCCCCTGAATTAGGCAACTTTATCAAGAAAGCCAAGGGTCAGGTCGGATTCATGGACATCTTCTGTCTTCCTTTATTCGACGGAGTTACCGATATCCTTCCCGACTTGGCTTTTGCTGCCAACAGCATACGACGTAATAGATTTATATGGGGTAAGCTCATGGAACATGAAGAAGAGCTGGATTCTCACAGAGCCCGCAACTGCAATACTCCACGATGTCTGAGCCCGGATACGACATGGAATGAATATAGGAGGCGTTTGGTGGAGGAAGGGCCAGCGTCCATGGGATACACGATACACCATCGCTCGCCGCCGCAGTCACCGGTTCGATCCCCACCACAGCTGGATGGAGAGGCGGGCACGACCGCGATAACTTCCAGGATAGCGAATGTATCTGTCATTAATGGCCTGAACCACATCAACCAGCCATCCCAAAGATCAGCCGGCCGGTCATCAGCCCCTAATACAACCCGCACAATTGACTCTGGGAGCGGCTGTAGCGGTAGTGGCGGTGGAGTACGCACCCAAAGCACAAGCACATATACGAACAATACACTAATCACTCCGCTCTCTTCCACTACTCAGGCAAGCAGCGTTATAAGCGCCGGAAGCAGCTTCGATGAAAAGGATGGTAATTGTCAGTTACACCGACACCCCAACCTTAAGCCACCCGCGCATGTTCGAGATCATGATCGTGATCGCGAACAGATGGGCCGAATTGGTACTGCCGTCAGTGGTGCAAGTACCGCTAGCAGCTATACCTCTAGCCTTGGGCGGAGCCATGAACATGACAATGACCCGGGCCAGGACATATATGCTGACGAAAACCTTCCAGTCGACGCATTACCTCCTACCGATGGAGCGAGCAGTTACCAGCCCCAGACCTGGTATGAGCGTGCTACCAATAGCAAGAACCCACACCGTCAGGGACAGACGGGCGAGAGGCGATCGAAGTATATAAGCAGCTTGTTTGAGAAAAGTCTGGTCGCCAACAATATAATCAGCAACAATAGCAGCAATCATAGCAACAACAACAACCGCCCAGCTGGCCTTTCATACTCAAAGTCTGCCCAGTCGACGCCGTCTGTGCATAATAATTGTCAGAACACTCGCGGTAGGCGTGGTCCAACAAGTCATCCTCGCTCCACACCTTCTAGCCCTCCATTAGCTCCATCCGCCGCCCCATTTGATCACGATGCAAACGATGCCCACCTATCCTCTCTAACGCCCAATCATGCAACGATACCATTACCTCGACGCCGATCCCGTCTACGTCTCGCCTTTTGGCGACGATCCAAACCTCAGGGCCCAGGACATCCTCACTCTCCACCACAGTCAGACTCCGCCCCATCAACCACGGCATCAGCATCGAGTATGATGAGCTCATCCGATCATTATTAGACTGAACGAATTCTATCTCCTTTACCACGTGTATATTCATCCATACCCACCCCCTTTTCTCCATTCATTCGTTCATTGCATTGATCCATATCGCATTCGGCATCTTTCCTGTCTCAGTCTCCTTTCTATCCAAAAACACGGTTTTCCTGGTCCCGGTCGGTTTGCGGGTTTCGGCGTATAAATGTTTCTTACCTTTCTCTCTCTTTTTACCTGGTTCCATTTGTTCCTGCTTTCAACTCTGTTTTGGCGTTCCATTCATGACTTGCAATGCATATATGCAGAATGCAAAGGCTATGGTTATGGTCTCGTCTGTCCAATCTTCCATCCTCCTTTCCTTGCGTTGACTTTTTCAATTACGAAGCGAGTTAGATTATATATTTTCTTCCATTCCACCCTGTTTTTTACCTCTATCCTTACTACATTGACGCAGCTCTTCCATTTTCTTATCTAGTCTTGTTCTTATTCTTTACTATATTCACTTTTTTTACCTCTATCTACCTCTCTAGGGTTTGGTCCCTTTCCCTTTTATTGCTTACCTGCCATTCTACATCCTACACCCCCGTCCGCCCCTTACGTTTCCGTTCACATTCACCTTTACACCTTATACTTTACGCCTTACGCTTGTCCCTGTTCTCTGGCCTCTCCGCCATCATACTATAACATAACATACTCAACCTTCGTCTCGTATCTTTCCAGAATTGTATACTTGTAGCAGACGCAATGACCCTGAAAGTTACTTTCGAGTAAACGGAACCAGACTTGAAATGACATGGTAAATAGGATCCAACCTGCCAATCCTCACCAACAAATAGGCCACCTTTCAATCCATTACACATAGATATGACACCGCTGCCTGCTCCCCCCCCCCCCTCCCCACAGCTGTACTGTGTAATTATTTCTTATTTACAATCTTCACACGCCCCTGACTCGCCAGAATCAGCCTGGTCTTGATCCTGGCCCCGATCCTGGCCTTGGCCCTGCACCTGTTCCTGACCATCCTCCCCATCGACCACCCGCCCCTTTGCCAGAGCACGATCGATATGCCCTAGGTCTCTCGACGGATCAATAATATCCCTTACCAGAGCCTTGAGCTGCTTCGCCTCTTTTGGCATGTTAGCTCGCTAATCATACATTATGCATACATTTGACATCCCCGTATATAACTCCCACACACAACACACCTGCACAATCATAAACTTACCAGGAAACCCACCGTTCACCTTCCGATCCCAAAGCGTACTGGTATGGGTGGTGAAATTCACGTTAGACGCATATTGCATGGTGATGGTGAACACGCCGCCTGTAGCAGGGACGAGAGCTACTTCGCCCAGTGCCGTGGAGAAAGTAGAAAGAAGCTCCTGAGCGAACTGCGGGAACGGGTCGGTGTTAGTTGGCGACTAGCTGTCGGAACTAGGGTATTAAGAGATATTCGTGCATACATAGGCCGCTCGAAGCATCCATTTACACTGAGTGCAGAAGGTGATTGTGATACGGGGCAGGTTGACTGGTGCGGTGGCGCTGGATTCCGATATCAGGGGGTCCTCGAGGGTTTGGAGGGGTGTTATTGTTTGTTCTTGTCCCTGTGCAGGAGCTGGAGGTTCTTGTTCGCTCATGCTGGCTATACTGGGTTTATTTTCATTTGCTGCTATTGCGGCCGTTTGGTGGCTTTGGCAGAGTGGGAATGGTGG